CGACAGTCGATGCCTGACGATGAGAGAGTTCAGTGTAGCGCGCAGCACCCCCATGCGGCCGGTTGACCGGGAGCTATGCTTCGGCTGCATCACGTACACTGCCCAATCCGCCGTCGTATCTCCTGTTTCGTGGACGCTATTGGACCAGGGTCTAGCATTGAGGTACAGCGATGCTATCGCTCCAATCTTCTCTAGGTCTCCTTTTTCCGCTTCGGCTAGGGCTGCCGCCTTGTCGGCATTGTCTTTGTCATTGGGATGGGTATCGTTGAAGTGTTGGTCGTCTACACCGAATAATCCAGTGGCTGGTGTACCGGTCACGATCCAGCGAGCAGAGACGTGGAGTGCGTCTATAGCTAGGAGCACATTGCTCTTGTTGTTTATCTTCGCGTAGCCTATCTTGTGACCTTCGTCGACTATGCAGCGCTTGAAGTGGACTTCTGCCAGCGGACACCCCACCATCATAGTTTCTCTCCATACTCTATCAAGCCGTGACTGGGTAATGAGGACGAGGTCATAGGCCGCAAGGACCTGAGAGTTGGGGATTTCCTCCTTCTGGCTAGTCAACTTGAGAACCTTAAGACCCGCCGGGTTTCCTGGGTGGACAATGTGCTTTTCGATTTCCTGGATCCATTGTTGAACAAGGTTGTTGGGGACAATCACTATGGACGCATGAGTGTGTCGGACTTTCTTTGCCGGGTTGCCAACAGAATTTTCATGTCGTCGAAGGCGCTTGGGAGCCTCCTCGGGGACGTGGTAGCGACTGGGGTTGCGGCGAATTGCTGCTATGCACTTGTCGTACTCCAGCTCTTGGTTCGCATCATAGACGTTGAAGAAGATCTTCCAAGGAGCTCCTTTGATGTTGGCATTCGAGGCTGCCATGTCAGCGAGCGATCCAATCTTCTTCCTTACGCGCACGTCGCTCCCTTGGTAAATATCGGGGGTGCGGGTGGACAAATGTCGAGTCGCCAAGATGACGGCCAGACAGATCAGGGTCTTGCCCGCGCCCATCTGCTCGGCCAAAATACCGCCTCTGACACCATCGTAGAACCTTGGTTCCTTGACGAGGGCCCCGGAGCTAGTATCGTAGTAGTAGGCTGCACCATTTTGGTCGATTCCTTTGGCAATTCTTGGATCCAGGAACTGGCCAGGTCCACGTTCACGCTGAATCATGACCGCAGCTGAGCGGCGCTGGTAGTCATAAAGCTTCGAAGTATCATTCAGACCAGGGAGGTTGCCTTCGAGTACGTTGTAAATGGCGTCTTGTTCAAATGGATTGGTGACAGCATGGGGCGCCGGGTCCGGGGAAGGGATAGTGTTGAACATCTGGAGCAACGAGGTCGAATCATTAGAGTCTTCTTCATCTCTGAAGACATGGTCGAGTGTGGTTCGAGTCGAAGTTGGCTGGCCAGACCAGGCCTCTTGAGAAAAGTCGAGTTGGGCAATGAGCGCTCTGCGTGATCTTCTTAGCCTGGTGCGGTCTCGGTCGATGGCCTTATTGTCGACGTCGTCAGGCAAGACATAAATTCTTGCAGTTCCGCGTTCCCCATCCTCCGCGCGAATGAGTAGATGGACTCGGATCCATCTTTCAACCACGAGGTTCTTGTAGTTCTTGAAAGCCGCAGACAAGAGGAAGGTATCCTCTACATCATCGAATGGCTTGGGGGCTCTGACGCCTTTGGCAGGTTTCGTCGGCGCAATGATGCCCCATCTTCCGAATCTCTTCTCCAACAGCTTCCACTCTTCAGCTGTAAGCTCAGTGTTTTCCCGCGTGATGGTAAGGCTTCCCAACGGAATGAAACTCGATGGTGACGCCATCAGGCGAGTTAACGGGCCACCGTAGTGCGTATCGATCGAGAAGCGAAATAGTGCTTATCATTAATCAAAAGCCGCGTAATTCTTGCTCCTGAATGAGTATAGATGGAAAATTGGATTTTGCAAGTGACAGGTTGATGAGATTGGATGGTTGCTGATGTTTCAGTGTAAGAGGAAGGTGAGCGTAGGTGAGTGAGGCGAGGTAAGTTTGGAGACGCATTGGAGCCTAGGTACAGTGCAGACGACCGCTGGACATGGCTCCCATGCGCCTTCCTCCACGCAGAAGGAACAGTGCGACTTTGCCAGCAGATGTCAAAGAAAGTATGGCTTTGTAATTCACCCAACTCAATAATTGTTTCTCATTTTCACTTCTCTCCTCAACATCATCTGAATTATTTAGTCAACGAATTAAATCAGAAATTTGGCTCCCCAGCGCGCAAACTCCCATCGCCAATGTTTCGTGTCCCATGTCCTCCAACACCAATCATGACCAAGACGAGGATAACGCCAAACGACTCTCAAGTTGCTCTCTGACACCAACCATGCCTATCATGGCAAGTAGTTCACAACTCTAGTTCTTCTTGCCCTTGGGAGCGGAGGTGGCGCTGAACGAGACGCTCTGGCTGGTCTTGCCCTTGGAGGCCGTGTCGGTCTTGACGTTGTTGTCGAGCTTCTTCTGCTCGGCGTCGATCTTGGCCTGGTTGCTGGCACCCTGTGCTTGCTGCACCTGGAGAGCGAGAACCTCGAGCTGGAGCTTGAGGACCTTGTTCTTGATCTTGCCAACCTTCAGGGCATCGGCATCGGCTCCGGACGCCTTGGCAATGGCGTCGTTGAAACCGCCGGCGTCGGTCTCGGCACCCTCTGCGGCGACGCGGGCCGCCTGGAGAATGGCCAAGTCATCCTTGCTGACTCCAGCAAGGTCAGCCTTGATCTGGGCAACCTGGAAAGGCTGTTAGGTTCATCGTCTTGCGAGTGGAGTTGTGTGATGATAACTTACGGGGAACTTCTGGGCAACCTCAGCAAGAGCGTTGCCGGCGGTGCCGTCAGAGACTTGGAACTGAGAGTAGTCCTGAACGGAAAGAAGCTTGGCCTGGCGCTTTTCGGCTCCCTCAATGGGGGCGGAGAGACCAGTGGCGGCCAGGGTGAAGAGAACGGCGATCTTGGAGAAGTACATGTTGTTCGAAGGTTGTCGAAAAGCGTGGGTAGTTTGGTACTATGAATATTTACAGTTATAAAGATATTGTCCGGCAAAGAGTGAATGAAACAGCGCTGCTGTGATGAATGAGAGGAAGGTTGACTATGGAGTTTGATGTTTTGCTGATAATAAGAGGAGGAGCAAAAGAAGGAGGCAGTAGATGGTCGGGGCAGCGGGAGGATCTTATACCAAAACTCCCTATAGTACCACAGTCTATTCATGTTCGTCTCCTCCATCCTAACCACACGCAAGGTTGTGCCCGTGGGCCCCGCGGCCTCCCTCTGACCTCCTCGTGGCTCGACGGACGACTCTTTTTTCGTCTGTCTGACAGGGCACCTCATCTCACATCCGTCACAAAACAACCCCATAGATGCCCTGCTCCTGAGTCGTCCGAACCAGCATCACAAGCTCGTGATGGCTCATGGGCGTCTCATCCGAGCCTGGCTGCAACATAAGGGTTGGGCGGTTGCATCAACAAGACCAGCCAAAGCCAGGTTCGACCCCTGATGGACTCCATTGAGGAGACAAGCTTCTTTGCCAAGTAGCGGATCGACGAGCAACGTCGATTGTTCTCTCGGCGAGCCACGATCCAATCACACGCCGCCGTTACATCCTTGCAACTTGTAACCTGCGCAATTTCTGCCATTTTGAACCGCCGGCTACCGAACAGGCTCTTCAATCTCCTCGTGTGGGTGTTGGAAGTTTTGGCCTTGTGGCTGTTGCGAGTTTGAAGTCTGTCGAAGATCATGGTGGATCTGCCTCATACCCATGGCAGCTAAACCCGATCGGGCCATCGCTACCTGCCTGTCTGGACAATGTGGGGCGGCTGCCACCGGTTGGCTTATGGGAACGGGTGGGATGGAACGACCAGATGGTGCAAACTGCAAGGTACGGCCACTTTTCCGTCACTCTCTTGACCTGTCTGGACAATGTGGGGCGGCTGCCACCGGTTGGCTTATGGGAACGGGTGGGATGGAACGACCAGATGGTGCAAACTGCAAGGTACGGCCACTTTTCCGTCACTCTCTTGAATCTCTATTCCCACTTCTTTAACATCTTAAAACTTCCCCCGTCAACATTCTGCCCAGAAGCGATCCCGGAGTCGTTCCCGTCTTGGCCATTTGGCGCCCCATGAGCCTCATTGCTTCGCCATTAGTCCCAACTCCTGGCCCATATTACTTTCTTCGGATGACCACATCCGCGAAAGAGGCAACACATGGGATGCCATCACTCGCTCGCAGCCTACCTTACACAGTAGTTAGGAGCCACATGACGTGAGGTCTCCAATCTCTAGTCTCCAGTACAAGTTGCGTCCGACTCAAGCTTCGAGATCCCCCGTGCCACCTGACACCTTTGAACCCTGCCCCTTTCCTCGGCTGCAGTAGCCTTCAAAAAAAAGGTCGAAGAGGTCGCAGTCACCCATATAGACGGAATCCTGTGAGCGTGTTTCGAGTCTTGGCCCTACTTAGTACTGCGCTCTGCCTCTTTCATGCAACCCCCGCCTCAGTAGATCGGACGTTGACCCTCCCGATGAAATCTAATAATTTCGGCACCACCTGCCGAAAGCCTTGCTCCCTTGCAGACACCAAGAGGAATGGCCGTCTCTTGTTGGCCGTCAACCTTTTACAAAGTTGGACGACATCTCATATCGGGACGTCAAGTGAACCTTGTTCCGAACAGCGGGCGGCACTATATGCGAACGACTGAGTCGAGAGCCCCCCCTCCGCTTTTTACGGCCGTCAGATCTCTAACGACCGCGTTTGGATCGACGACGTTGAAAAGTCTCTTTTCTTGTCAACTTTCTTACTTGAATTGTCATTGAATCGTTTCTAGACATGACTCAGCCTCAACATTACGGTGCTTGAGCCTGGGGTTCAATTGCATCATGGATAGAGCGCTTCTTGGCGAAACAAGCGCTGTTTTCCCGCTCAATGCAGAACTCAATCGACGACCAGGGCAGCTGTCACGTTCCAGAAAGACGGAGAAAGAGTTTAACAGTTCAACAAGTCTGATTCGGGGGTATCTACTGATGATACCCACGTGTGAAATTGAAAGCTAGGTATATACGTGTACCAAGGAGCCATCTCCTCCCTATAACGCCATGTCTTCCCTTCATGCCTCGAAAAAGAAAAGAAAAAAGGTTTCCAAAGGGGTCATCTATCCAGTAGATGATGAAGAAGTGAAAACAGCGAGTCGTAAATGTCGTCAAAAAAGAGGACCATGACAGAAACCAGCCTCCAAACGCCTTTGTACTTGCGACCACCACTTGAGTCTAGACCTGTATAACGTTCACTCCAAATGAGTCAAATGAGTCCTACCACCCCCGTTCTGCATCTCATCTCTCGTTACTCTCGAAAAAGCAGCCCAGTTTAGTACCCAGTTGCTCCAGGAATGGCCGAGACGCCAGGGATCGGTGCAGAAGGCAGCGCCGTCGGAATGCCAGCAGCAGCCGCGCTGGGAGCGACCGAAGCAGCGGCAGCCGACGCGCCGCCGTCAGCCTGGTAGACCTTGACCGAGTTGATGAGCCAAAACGCCTCGGTGAAGGCCTGCGGGTTGGCCGCGACGTAGTCGGAGCACTGGGGCGCGAGCGCCGTGCACTCGGCGTTCTGCTCCCACACCTTACCGGCCCAGTCGCCGCACAGGGCCGTGTTGAAGACGAGGTTCTGCTGCTTGAAGTGCGAGGGGATGTCGCACCCGGAGCCGCCGTTGAACTTGGCCAGGGGCTGGCCCCAGGAGGAAGGGACCGGGTTGCCGGAGCTGACGTCGCCGGGGATGGCGCTGCGCGGGAAGAACCAGACCGAAATGGCCTGGGAGTTGAAGTCGACGGCGTAGACGCCGCCGCCGATCGCGTTGAAGCCGTCGCCGTAATTTTGGTTGCTCGATGTCGACTGGCCGCAGCCCGTGGAGGCGCTGCCGGCGTTGCAGTCCTTTTCCTTGAGGGTTGTGGAAGAGATTGTGCCGTCGTTGGTGATGCTGCAACCGGGTCCCGTGTGGAGGGTCACGGCGTTGGACTCTTGCGTGTTGACTCCCTCGATGATGTCAATCTCACCCGAGTTGGGCCTGTAAATTATGTCAGTAAGTCATTTCATCTAATCTCACGGAGGACTCATGAAGCCACCCATACGAGAGCAAACTTACCAGTTGGGACCAAACATCCAAAAGGCGGGCCAGACACCGCAACTGCTAGTGGGCATGTGCTGGATATCAGCGACGAACAAGCCCGTATCAAAGGCCTTGTTCGACGTGACTCTCACCGACTGGCGTCCCTGGCCCTTGGTCTTGGAGTCGACGCCGAGGTAGATGCCGCCCCGGGCGTAGCCCGCGAGGCCGCTGTTGTTGGCCGTCACGGCGCTCGTGTAGATCTGCGAGCCCTTGGTCGGGTCTGGCTGGTCGAAAAAGCTAAACTCGTTGAAGAAGTTTGAGCTGTCGTAGTTGTCGTGGAGGACGTACTTCTGCTGCTGCGCCTGGGCCAGCCCGGTGTGGCAGCAGAGGAGGAGGGCGGCGGCGCCCACCAGTGCCGTCTTGATGCGCTGAGAAGGCATGGCTGAGGATATTCTCTCGAGATCGAGATCCTTCTTGTCTGATGAAAAGGGGAGAAAGGAGGGGTTTGAGACCTTTTTGAGAAATGTTCCTCTTCGGGGTTCTGATTGACTTGTATCCTTTCGGTTTGGCTCTGCCGGGCTGGATGAGGTAGGTAGTCGAGTGCTGGGATGAGGGTCGATGAGAGCCACAAAAGGAGGATAAGATGTCTGAAGAATATGAATCAAAAAAAGGATCAGGGAGAGTCAAAGGGTCATCTAAAAGATGAATGAAGTGAAGTAGGAAGAAAATGAATGTCGTCGTATGTTCTGGAGTGAGCCGGTCACTGTAGGTGGTTGGTAGGAGAGAAGTTTCTCGTGTGTGTGTGGTTTGTCGCGTCGTCCAAGTCTGGGCAAGACCTCAAGAAAGGGAGAAAAGAGGGGTGGTCCAAGGCCTCTGAGGAATCTGAACCGTTTTTCCTTTCCAATAGTCCGAAGGAGTGGAAACCCAAGGGCAGACAGACACACACGGTGCGGCTGGGAGCTCTTGGTAGTGGGGTGTTGAGGAGAGAGGATCTCGGCGGCCTCAGCTTCAAAGGGTGGGCAAGGAAAAAAAACCTCCCAAGAGACTCGTGTCGACTCGGTGATGGTGAGATGGACAATGACGCACAGCGTGGTTGGTTTGCTTGCTCTGGACCCTGATTTTGCTCAAAAGATCTGACTGACGCGGTGGAGTGAGACCGGTGGACTTGTGTCGTTGCGCTTGGCAAGAAAGGTGACCAGATGAGGCAAGGTGAATGGGACCAAAAAAAAGAGTCAGACGGTTGTAAGAAGGAGTGAAACCTCTGGTGATGACGATAACTTCAGCCGGAAAAGGATTGAAACGGCTGTTGCCTGCCTCCTGGGTGGCTGACGAGAGAGAATGAGAGAAGAGAATGAGTGCCTCGAGGGGGCTGTAAGAAGAGAAGAGAAGACGAAGAAAAAACGTCTGAAGGAGGCTGAACAGAGGCCTTGAGTGTTTAAGCACGACACATCACGGACTCATGAGTCTCAACCACATTGGGGAATGCAGCCAGCTAAATACGGCTCGAGGTTTCCTGTGGTGTGGGGAGGTGACAAGGTGAGCAAGCACCCCGGCCACCGGACAACATTTGGGGATCATGAAAGGTGACCTATCTGATCTCTCCATCTCTCGTCTGTTCTACCGAGTTCTAGGTACCCGAGGCCAGGCCACGTACACGCCGCACAAAGGGCATGGGTGGTTTTGGGAACCATGGTGAGACTTTTTTTTTTTTTCCCTTCCTGGTCTCCCGTCTCTTTCTCAGTCTATATGCCATCTCGGCCCAGCTCCCAGGGGTCCTTGCCCCACGTCTCCATGTATGTGGTTGTGTTGCGCCGAGTGTGTGCTCGAGGGTTCACTTTCCAACGAACGACAGGTCCTTGTTTCAATATGTTTACCCGCCAAGGCTTGACAGAATTACCAGGGGAATCCCCGGGGGAGATCCATAAAGCGAAGACGGGATGATAGGGGAGGGTCCAGCCCGTTTCGTTCTTTCGCCGTGCCGAAGAAGCTATATGTGTGGTGGGTGCTGTACATGCAGCATGCGAGTCGCCTGCTCTGCCGAGGCGAGATCCAAGTCGAAGGTGCCAGTCAGCGCGAGCAGGGTGGGTTTGTGCGTGCTTTTTTGAAAAGAAGAAACTGGGGACCGGAGGATCATCATGTAGATTCAACGGGTAGGGGCAAAAGAGGGTGATCGTCAATGGGTACTTTGCCTTCACGTTGATACCCTATAGGCTATAGCACGAGGATAGGGGGCTTGCATGGTTCCAAGATGGGACGGGAGAGTAAAAAGGAAACAACTTAGGGGGGAAGAAGAAGTTACCCAGGGGAGAAGGGCCAGCCAACGAACGGGCGAGGGCAAGGGAGGACGAAAGACAGACAAGACCGCAAATGGAAAGACGTTTGAAGGTCGGGTTGGATGTCAAAGATTCTAGACGTGGAGTCGGGCGTTAGGTTGTGGTGGGTGGGCGGTTGTGAAGGTGTGGTGTTGGTCGTCTCTGAAACTCGGGCCCCCCATGCCAGGGGCGGGCGGACGGACGTCCAATCGTCTCGCTTCCGCGCCGGCGGGGCCCGTCAGTCTGGAGCACGCGGCGCCCACTCGCCTTAGCGGCGGCGGCTCTCTTTCCCAGTCTCTTCTTCCTCAGTGGCTCTGAAGACTCCTGGTACCATGGTACATCACCGTGCTCCCCCTGCTTCTGTGGGTGCTCTAGCTCTGATCCATGTATCTTTCTTTCCCAGACTGGGGCAAAGATAAGGTACCAGATGAACGCTGCTGCAGAGGCGACGGCAGTCAAGGCTCAAGTGAACTTGGGTGTTGCGCCGAGTCGCTGACAGACTGACAGAGTAAGAGTCGCCCGCAGCTGTCTGTCACTCCCTCAGACTAACGCAACCTTTTCCCCCTGACAGAAAAGGAGAGGGCGCTAGAGACCTGACTTCGTCGGCCCCTGCATCGGCTCTGTTGCTCGTGGGTTGGTGGGGTTCGACGTTCCCTCGAGGGGCTTGGGAGGTTGAAACATTTGCAGAAAACATTGGCATACCCAGAAGACGGGACTCGCAAGAGGGAGGCAGATGGAGGGGCACGCCGCGCGAGGGGGATAGTCTGACAAGACCGCGGACAGGCTGAATTGAAACATTTGCCCAACCGCACTCACACATCATGATACGCCACACACACTCTCTTACTCACCTCACTCACCTTGGCTACTCACTCACTCACTTGTCACTCACTCGGCCACGCACTCACGTAACATTGCGCACAAGCATATTTCCCCAAATTCTATCCAACCCAAACAACACTCTCTCGTCACACGGACTCAATTCAATTCATGAGACTCAGCCTCGGACTCGACTCAACTTTTATGAGTTTCGTGTAAACCGTAGTCCTACAGATCCCACTCCCATCGCATCAGCCTCACTCAGGAATGTTCGAGCCTCTAGCCGCCTCGAACGACGGGGCACGCGCGGCGGCGCCGAGATCCATATTATGAGACATTTAGCCCGACTGAATCTTTCTTGTCCTTTTTTCATCTTTTAATAGTCTCCAGGCTTTTGTTTTTTTATTCTTCGCCGAGGTCTCAACCATCGTAGTAGAAACCCCTCGGCACCCTTGCCCACCAGATGCCAGGGTTCATATTAGCCGCTGACGAAACCGCCTGCATCGCATCGTCACAGCACATTGGGAAAAGCGCCAAAAGAGAAGAGTTGCCTCTCAAACACACTTACACACATATAGTACGTACACATATACGCACGCATGCAGTGCTGCGCGACGAATACTACTCAATCCTTATTTGCCGATACCCGTTTTCTCCTCATGAACCCCCTCTTCGTCCTTCAAAGGCTTTTGTCTCCTCCTTTTCGGGGACCATCTGCGTGCGATCTTACTGTAGTTGGGACGAAACACGCGCTTCGGTGAAGATCGACCCCTTCCCCGTTCCCCATTCACCCCTTGTGCCGTGCGCCCGCGGCAAAGCGGCCATGCAGAGAAGATGGCACGGTGGATGGGAAAGAGATCTTTTGCCATTGCAAAAAGGTGGATATCCATCCCCATTGACATCCCTCATCTGCTCAACGCGCCACTCTGCCTCACAAGCAAACGTCGCATTCTCTCTCACAGTCATGGGACTCGCAACCCGCGATGTTGGCACAAGTACGAAGCTACAGACGCAGATTCCATGCAAGCAATGCCATCAGTGTCGGGATAGGTAAAAATGAATGATTGCTGAGGCAAAAAGAGGAAGAAGAAAAATCCCAAAGCTCCAGAGTACCAGGACCCCTTCGAGGGCCCTCCCTCCACATTCCCAGGGGTTCTAGAAGCAGGGGACGCGACGATCACTCCGAAGAAAACAAGCTGTCGCCATCCCGAACAGCCGGCGCGGGCAGATCAATATATTCGGAACTCGCAAAGTCCACATCTCCCCGTCCCCAGAAGCCCTGGACGGAGCCACTGTGTTCGTAAGTGCCGAGCCCTGACTCCTGCCGCCATCTGCTCGAATCAAGACTCAAAAGACGGCGCGATTGCGGGTAACCCAATGAGTTGGCAAAAGGAGTCAGTTAGTCATGGAGACGGATTGACACGTGTTAATCCTCAGAGTCACCATTTGCTCTTTGGTTTCTTCTTGATCGTTGCTTCATGCTCCTAGTTCTTTGAGTGGGCTTTCCAAAGCCCGTACCGAAGCAGCAATTCTTGCGCAGAGAAAACGATGCAACAAAAAAATTGGTACCCAGACCGCCGCCACTTAAGGTAAGGTACGTGATAAGAGGCGAAAGGGAATCTTCCATCCTTTGTAGGCTGATCACGTCCCGGCGGCAAAGAGTCGCTCCCGGAGTGGAACCGGGGCACCCGCACCACCGCAGCGCCACCCGTTAGCCGCCCTCCGACACGCCTTAACAAAGTCTCTGTGCCGAAGGAAACGTCGCCGGCGAGCCACTTTGCAGCTGCCGCAATGCTTGTTATCTCTTGAATCCATATTGACATATACCCATTCCTATATGCTAAACGTCCCAATCTTATTCACAACGCATGCTGGAAATGGCGCAAGCGCTCCGCTTCATAACTAGCTGTGATATCAAGTTGTCGTCTTTTTGTTTGCCATCATGCTAACACGGTAGTCAGAATCCGGTGGCGATGATCCATGCTCGCGATGGCCCAGCAAAAGTGTGTTCCTCTCACAGCTTGACTTCCTCCCCAAATGTCAATCGTCCCCTCACTCGATTTTGAATCGAGCTTCCTCCTTACACATACACTAGGATTTGGCAAAACAAAGTACTCATTGCCGGCCCGTACTTTCAGAGAGGCGGAATATCTGCTCCCTCTTAACTAATCCCGGCCGTTAATCCCCATCCTCGTGCAAGGAACAGCCTGCCATCGCCACCTAGCCCATCCCAGGTACCTCTCCTCAGGGGCGGCATTGATAAGCTTGTTTGTTATCAATGCTTCCCGTCGATAAGACTACATTTGTGTCCGGCACCAATGTCAGACCATGTTGGTAATAAATCTCCAAGCCCAAGGAAGCGTTCATCACAGCAGTCGATCGTCATGCAAGAGAGTCACCATCGGCTATGTAATAGGTAGATGAGACACGTGCAAGTGGTGAGGTAGACAAGGCATAGATTCATCACGCCACCTGAATGCAAGCTACCTGTGATGGAGCTACCTAAGGAGCCGGCGGAGGCTCTCCATGCCAGAAATTCTTTCAGGCGGCTCTGCTCCTCAAATGCTTCCACGCATATTCTGCAAGTACCATGGCATACAACGTCTAATGTAACACGAACAAAAGATTCAGGGGCCGGAAAACAAGAACAGCACCCCGAATTTTTATACATCTCAACTTGAGAGAAATGTCTCCTCCGAATACTCCTAACCGCCTTCAACAATGAACGCCCTTCATTTTCGAAATGTTATCCCTTGGTCCGCGAAGCCGCTGCTGTGGACGGGTTCTGCTTCTTGTTTTTTCATACCGCTCATGAGAGGTGTAGACGTCAGGTTCCCCAAGCTCCCGGGCTTCGCATGCGTATATGTGTAGTATGCAAGATAGTTTGTTCCCATTGATAAACAGGACGTTGGAAGTGAAACACGGTTGACCAGCCGTTATTAGATGGCCCAACGGTGATGCGCAAAGACGTATCAGGGCCGTGTCTTGGTGAATCGTCAGCCATCTCAGAGCTTGACCTTTTGGCCGGTGATCTTCTCCCAGATGACGGCAATGAGATCCTCCTTGAAGCGTTCCCACGGATTGCGGTTCAGATAATAGCTGAGCTCGCGGTAGTTGTACATCTCACCCCAGCAATCGCGACCCCATTCGCAGCCGGCCATGTTGACGACGAAGTCTCGGTCCTTCTGGTCGTAGTGAATACGAGTGTCGTTTCCGTTCTCGGAGCAAGCGCCCGGCGGGAAAGCGTTGATCATGCGCTGAGGGAGGAAGGCCGTGTGTTTGCGGATCCAGGGCTGCGTTTTGTAGAGCTGCTCCAGAGCGTCCTGCTCCTTATGTTCCCACTCCATGTGCTTCTGCTCGTAGGCGACGGGATCCCACCAGACATCCAGCATGCGATCAGCCCAATTGCCTCTCTTTACGAAGAAGGAACCGAGGTTGAAGCCAGAGCAGTCCTGGGAGAGGATCAGGTTGACCGACTCAGCCTTTCCATCGCCAATCGGGCTTCGGGACTCCTCGTCCAGGTAAGGATCGGTGAAAGGATGGCTGATGTTCAGAGGGTTGTACTCGTTGATATCGCGGTAGACGTGTTTGCTTATGTCATTGAAGATATGGTTCTGTAAGGGATAAGATAGTTCCATGACGTAGGTATTCAAGTCGAGCCACCAAACCCTTGACCCATTGTTAGTTCAATCACGCCGAGAATTGAGCGCTGCGACATACCATTCAGCTTTTGGATACTTGCGGAAGGCGGAGCGCACAAAGTCGACCTTCTCCCAGCTCTCGCGCCATTCGTGTGCGTATCGCTTCTTGGTGCTCATGTCTACGATCTCAAGATCATATCCCCATCGGTTGGCGTACTTCTTCTTGTTCCGTACACTGTCTCGCTCAATAGCCCATTCACGGGCCCCCTTCCACTCCATGACACCTCCTCCGATATTGGCGGCCAAGATAATGACGTACTTTTGGCCTCCACCAAAGTGTCTTCGCCAGTGGTAGACGAGAGCTGCGAGATGGTTAGCGAGGGAGCCAGACTCACGTCAAGAGGAGGAACGTACGAGTGTTGTAGAAGATGGTCATCGCGAGGGTGAAGAGGAGCAGGATCAGCAGGCGCAGCTTCATCTTCCTGCCCATGCGCGCGAAAATGTTCCGTATCCTTCCCACGAGGGGAACCTTCTGTGCCGCCCATGATCCTCGCCCCAATTTGTCCTTCTCTTTCTCGACATATGGACTCTGATTGTTGAACCGCGGTAGGCTGCTTGATATCCGGCGCATGTGTCGTGTGAAGAAGCCTTGGTTCTGGGTAGAAAAGGACGGGTATCCGTTCATACCAACGGTCCTCATCTTGCTCTCCCAAGGGGTAGAAGCGCCGTTGGATGCTGAGAAGCCTCTACTCGGACTCGATCGACCGCTGGTGTTGATGGTCAGGCCAGGGCTGGCCCAACCGCCTCCAGGTATAGGCGAGGGACTGCGCGAGAGCGACATTGCGGTGTTGGGGGTGCCTGCAGCGATAAAAGAACACGAGCTGTCAGCAAGCGGATCCTGTCATTCGATTGTCCAACCCGTATTCTCATCGGTGGCATGTCGGTATACGGGGGGTTGGAAGACATAGACATGTACGAATAGGTGTACCACGGGCCGGACTGGGAGTTGAGGAAAAGGACGGGAGGATGATGCAGGACAAGACGTACCTGGAATTGGCGCAAGACCAGGCTGCTGGCCGTGGACTCCCAGGAATTGGGGAGAGCCACGGTCGCCTGGGCTGTCAATGTTGACTGCAAGACCGCCAGATGCAGAGGAGCGGCGTCGGTGATGTGAACGTGCTGGCCTGCGATCGCTGAAGGACGAAGAGGCGGCGAATTGCTGTGATTGATCCAGGATGAAAGATTATCGAGGGTTGTGACCAGATGGCACTTTACGAGCCGTCTGGTTACAACGCGATAGCCAAGAAGAAGTATTCGCTAAAGGTGTTGGGGAAGGGGGTCGATGTATCCGAAAAAGGGGGTCCCCTCTCTCTTCGGAATAGGCAGAATGGCTTCTGGTGGTTCGTGGAATTCGGGGTGAGGCTGTACAGGTAATCCAGCCAGGGGAAGGTGTTTTGCTGCGTGGGCAGGGCAGTTCGATACAGGGCCTGTCGATAAGGTAGAAGCTCGGAGGATTATGGACGGCAGACAGCCAGAGCCTAGGTGTAAGGAATTGGTGGCTCGGTTCGGTGGTGCTTCTCCCGTAGGTAGTAGTGTCGATGCGACGGGGACAGGTGTACGGAGTAGACAGACAGAGAGAAAAGTGTTAGGGAGGAGGGCGAAGTGGAGGAGAGTCGTCTTCCGGCCGGGTCACTTTTTTTCGCGAGGGTATTCCTTCGCGGTACTGGTGGCTGCAGCAGGAAAGAGAGACCGGGAATTGACCGCCTGCTGCCACTGGCGTGGGGTGGAAAGGGAGGGGGAAGAGCACGCGGAGGCAAGATTACCACAGTACCTTAGGTACGTGAAGGTACCTAGGTAGGGGGCAGGGATGATTGCTGACGGATGACAACTGGACCAAATGAAGCAGAAGCTGCGGAGGCCGACAAGGGAATTCCGAATCTCACAGACAAATATGAGCAAGATAGTGGCAGAAGGGAATGTCTGATTCGTAAGATTCAAGAAAGGGCCGTTTCCCTTTTGTGCGACTATTTGTTGATTTGCTCCTGTGGTCGTCTCGTATCTGCAAAGGGAATGGGCTGGGCTCAAGCTGGGCAATAATACCTGAAGGGAGGCCATCCATCCCCGGTTGGCCAGCGTCCAGTCCATCCCACCGTCAGTCTCTCTCCTAAAAAAGTAAAAAAAGGCACTTAATTTTTATTGCTAACCCCTTCTCGCCCGTAGTCCAGTATAGATGCAGAAATCTGGTGCGTCTAATCTTTTTTCAGATGGAACGTCTTTGCTGGGTGCCAGGATGCCAAGGTTTCAGGGCTTCTAGCGGTCCGCTGACATTAAATCATGGGCCCTGCATTGACTCGGGTAGCTTGCACACGGCGGCAACGTTCATGCTGCAGCAGTGAGACAGGTCAAGTGTACTTTGAGACTGGTTGTTTAAAGTAATAGGCTCGAAGCCTCCTCAAACTCTCTCCTCTCAATAACCCCGGATACCAGCAATTGACATATCAATCGTCTGAATATCGCGATAAGAACGATGTCATAATCATGGATGTTATCTGCCCAAAAAAAAAAAGAAAAGTGTGTGAATAAACCATCCTGAATTGAGTTCACCTGATACATGTACAGAATGAGCCAAGGGAGGAAAATAATACAATCTAGGGCATTCACGAACCTGTCGCAATCGTCAGGGATACCAAATAGCTTGCTGAGGTAAGGAGGTAACGAAAAACGCTTTCTAGCCAAGACATGAACTTTAACGCATTTCAATGCGGCCCCTGAATACCTTACACAGACAGATCTCGCATGTGCTGAACTGAGATGCTAGTGGATGTCGAGTGACGCTGCTCAGCGTGACATCAAGTAGTGTACCTACCTGTCATTCAGCCCTTGAGACGCGTCTTGCTAATTGGCACGAATTGCACGATGTTGCATCTAGTGGTTTCCGCCCCGGAACCAGACTTTCGAGTGACAAGCTGCGGTATAACATTTCTAGACCACATGATTCTTGACATGTTTGATCCTCCCGATTGGAGATTGCGTTCAAGATCGAGTGGAGCTGTCCCTCGTCTTCCGCCTCAAGTCCAGACCAGTTTTTAAATTAACAGCGGTGTTTCGGTGACGCCAGCATTACAGCAAAGATGCCAACTCCACAGCCAGCGTCTTGTACGAATACTCCTGCCGAAACAACCGCGCCAAAGTTCAATCATGTACTGGCGTTGCACGCCGTTGACGAAAACTGTATGAATCATACACAATCCCAAGATGTTAATGCTCCTCTTTCGCCCTGCTCTTTGGAACGGCAAGGTTTTCGATTCAGAAAGCCCGAGCCCTCCCTCGTCCATTGCGAGGCAGCTAGCCGCACAGCCACTCACCCACTCAATGCTCATCGTCCACCTGCTCAGGACCTGAGACCGGATTTGTATGGCCCTGTAATTCCATCCCACAGCCATGGCAAAAACCAATTCCCAGAGCTATGGTAAATGAGGGGTGACGGCTGGCGTGCAGACACGTAACTTGTAAGATAGGATGACGGGCGGGAAGGAAAACCTGTACCTCTGCCCACCAATGGCATACGTCGTGGCGTCGGGAAGACGTTCCAGCCGGCGAGGCGTGATACCCGAGTTCTTGACTCGATCGCTTCCGATGCCGATGCTTTTCTCCATTCCGACGCGTTGCTGGCTCATGGAGGACTCGACAATACATTGAGTGCTTTGGCAGGTGTGGCATCTTTTGCTATGACGTCCTGTATGAGCATTCCAGTTTGACAAGACTGGAATGTAGTGCGTATAGTGCGAGACTCACATTGGACACACAACGAAAAACGGGCTAGCTGAAACGTTTCGACATGGCTAGCCAGCCAGTCACTGACTTGTTCTCAACTTTGAGATATCAACTACAGAGTGAGCAGTTCAGCTTTGGAGTTGACAAAACCCGGCCCGGGCAGCGGCATACAATTGTCTCGGGTCTCCACTCCTTCGGCGACTTTAGGTGCGGAAGATGATCCATTAACGGCGGCAGGCGTACGGACTCGGTGAAAGGTGAATCTACCTACACTTGTATCTGGCGGGAAATCTATTAATAAGACCAGAGTGGCATACACAGTATGTATGCGTCTTCAGCCACACCTCGTTCAAGCCACAAGGACAGGTTCATCGCAAGCCACCCACACTTGCCACGACTTCCCCAAACTCACTCACTCCAACCACACACAGTGATTTGGCTCATCGTGGTTCACTGAATGATATGATTCGGCCACGCGAGATGAGCCAACACTCTGTTCATGGATGTCCTGCATGCCGCTACATCCCGCAGAGCCGTCCTGCCCTCCATGTAACCGCGGCCAAATGAATGGCCAGCGTTGCGGTTGCCTGTGCAGGCCCGAGAGCTGGCCAGCGCCTCCACGGCCAATCAGAAGCTCGAGATGTCCAACTGGGCGCCTACCTCATACTGCGAACTGCATCGTCCAGCCAAACATCGCGAGGCCTGGCCGTGACCCATGAACTCAAAGCCGCCGCGTGGTGATTCGGCCCTAGTCATATAATGAAGCTACCTGCTCCTGCCGCGCCATTGACCTCCTGCTTGTTTCGTGTTTTCAGATGTAGTTGAACGAATCTCGGTGGGTGGCTATCCGGTTTCCCTTTTTTTGTTCATTGTGCGCCTATTCACGACTCACAGCCGAGTATTCCATGGGCGAGAGTTTGTTGTCAATCATTGTAGCACTTTCTTTGAACCTGTCGCTCTTTCCCTCTTTGCTTCCTTCCCCAAAATATCCACCAGCATCTCTATCAAAGCCACGCCTTTGTTCCAGCTTGACACCCACCTCGACCAGAGAAGCCTTTCGGTGATTCGTTCATTCTTTCTCATTCAGAATTTTTTGAGAGGCTCGAAATCTTTTCATCCTCATCGAATCAGTTTATTACTTCGACTTACACGCATTGTCCCTCAAAGTTGCGTTCTGAGGTTTCCGAGCTTCCCATATCAACATGTCCTCCAACGGGGCCACCGTGCCTCAACGGCAGCCATACGATCACCGGCATGATAACGAGAGAGAAGACTGGGAGGAGTGGGAAGATGAAGATGTGGTCACCCCAATTATGGACGATGACCAAGAGCTCATCATGGACAAGACGGCCGCTCCCAGTCCCCTGAGACCAAACAAACCGGCTTCGACGAGATATTCACAGCCACGGTATTCAGTTCAGAAGTTGAGGCGTCTCAAGTCCCGCCAGCGGCAAAAGGCGCAGAACGCCAAAGCAGGGATCAAGGTGGTTACAGACATGGCAACGTTGCGACAGCAGCAACAGGCACAACCGAGCCGGATTCCTGATCTCCAGCAGCCCAAGTTTGTCGATGCAGCAGCACTGAGGGCCCTTGAGGGGTCACCTAACTCTGCGTCAGTCGGCAACTGGAACTGGCTGAAGATGAAGAAGTCGGACCCAAACGCAAAGTCTCCTCAAAGCGCTGGCCGCAGCCCCCTGGAGCAGGACCTATCCCCAAACGACCGCCCGATTGTCATTGGCATCGCGTTGCCGTCAGAGATGGCCGACAGAGAAATCAGCCCCCAAACAGCCATCATTGAGACACCGCACGATCTGCCGCCGAAGTATACCAATAAGCCTACCACGACGGGCAAAGCAGACACTGTCACTCCATTGACTCCCTCACAACAGAGATCTGTGTGGAGCCCAGACACACCAGATACCACCTCCCCTTTCCAGTCACCACATCGCACTTCCAGCATCTATTCTCAAGCAACTGGCCTTGGTGTTGGTATTGGTATTGCCCACGACGCCCCCCCTGTTCCTGCAGTGCCTTCTACCTACAAACGACAGGAAAGAGTAGTCAGCGTGGTCCTCAAGAATAGGGACGATGAGGACGACGATGGAGGCAGCCCATGCACCTTGTTTGAGGAGGATGGGACGGCCTCGAACCGACAAAAGCCAACAAAGGCCAAAGAGGCATCAAAGAGCCCAGACAGCGCGGCAACGCAGACTCGTGGTTGGTGGGATCATATCACGACACCCTTTCTAGAGAGGAAGAGTCCTATTGTCCCACCTCAGAAGAGTGAATCACAGCCAGTCAAATCATCAGCGCATGACGACTGGTGGAGTGAAAAGGGCGCCAGGGTCTCGGTCTCGGAAACAAAAGCCTTGCAGCCTACGGTATTCAAGCCACAAGAAGTTCAACAGGTTATTGTTCAGCGACCAGGCCTTCCAGCATCTCCAAGACCATCACCACGCAACATAGAGGCGCCGATAGTCAGAGTTCCCACTCCGAGAAGGACCCCATCACCACTCATGGACAGACGGGATCCTTCACCCGCGTCGTCTTCTCGGTCAGCTACTCCACGACTGCAGCCCAGGTCAGAGAAAACACAGCTAGCCGAACCCAGCCCAGCTCCCTCAGAGCAGCCCCCCCCATACTCTCCTCCTCCTCAGCAGAAGGCCGTGCGATACCGAGCTGTCTTCCCTGCGGGCCACCCTTTGCAGGCACTTTATCCCCCATCTCCGGGACCAATCTCGCCAGCCATTAACGGAACAATGAGTTCCCAAGGCGGCATCAACATGACCGACATACCCTTGACACCAGCGCCGAGAGGCAACAATCCTGCTCCTGGGCAGCAAGGCCGCCTTCCAGAACGATTCGCTGGCACGTTTGTGCCGCCGGAACACTTCCTTGCAGCAGAAGGGAACGGTCATCGCGTTGAACGACAGCGTCGTCGCCACGAAAAAGAAGAAATTGCAGCTCGCAAAGCTGGAGGCTTCTGGAAAGGCCGTGGCCGCATCCCGGCGAATGGATGCTATGGTCGCAGTGGTCGTGAAGGTCGAAAGAGAAGACGCATTTGCCTTGGCATATGCGGAGCCAGTCTTTTCCTCAGCATTCTCATCATTGTTCTCTGCATTACCCTCATCCCGCGAAACCACACCTCTGCACCAGTTGACAGCATCTTTCTCAACCTCACAAACTTCCCTCCGATGCCAACTGGGGTTCTCTCAGTTGTTGGCCCGGACAACACAGCCGCTGTCACCGGCTGCAGTAGCCCTTCGACTGTTTGGAGCTGCGCCCTTCCCAAGGAAGAACAGGAATCTGTGGCCCCCAACCGTCCCAACCAGCCGACTTTCACCATGCAGATCCAGTGGGATAACAACACTCGCAATCTCTGGAATGTGCCTAATGGTGAACCCCCACGGCCCGGATCTACCTCTGGGAAGCGCCAGTTGAACCTCGGCGGCATCATAGCTAGGGCTGGGGCGCTCATCAAAAGACAGAACCCAGTTTTCACACCCAACCCAGCCCCTCCTTCCTTTGAGGAAATGTACTTCCTCGGAAACACAACCGACGGCATTGTCTCCAGCGAGAAAGCTGGCGAACCGACTCCATTCTATCTCAGCATCCTCAAGTCCGCTAGTGAAACCGTTGGCCCCAACGCTTTGGGCAAGCGTCAGAGTTCGGAAGACTCTACCGATGACTTTGGCATCAGACTGCCGGCCCCAGATCTCGAGGCAGATGGCACTGGAGCCCCCGCACAGCTCTTCCCTCATGCTGTCCAGCAGCCCGTGCGGCTTTATGATCGCGGCCTCCCGACTGAGCACTACGGTTTCTACACCTACTTCAAGCGCACCATCTACCTCAAGTCCGTCACTACCCTCAACGGGACTGAGGGCGAGAGCAATGTGCCGCTCGACAAAGACGGCGGATCCCGCAGGAGCGAGGCCAAGTTCCTTGTGACATGGTCTCAGACGCGTTTCCTCGTCCAGATCTGGACCCGCTCGGCGAACACCACGCAGCTCCTTACCAACCCCGGCACCATGCCTTACCCCGTCACGATCAAGACGGACACCCACGGCGGGGAGTCGGGCGAGAAGTTCGTGTGGCACTGGCCCGTGAATGATCGCCAGGGCATCGATACGAGTACACCGAAGCTTCTCCCCAATGATATCGGCTTTGGGGGAACGACTGTGAACCCTCGAAAGGACAAGAATGCTTCCTTTGGCGGTTTCGACGGTGGTACCGGCGGCTGCCGCTGCGAGTGGGTTAATTTTATTGCCAGGAGGGACGGCGGTAACTAAAGATGAGGAAAACTTTACGGAAATTCATGATAGTTGAACGTCGGCAAGGATATAAGGGCCGACTTGTATATGAACTCTAACAGGATCTTGGAGTTGGAAACAGGGATGACATCAGCATTATTAGCATTACTACAATTGCATGGTTGGTAACGGGAGGAAAAGGATCTCAAAAATGCATGGCAGCTAGAATCTGCACAGTATCTTAATCATTGAACTCTTCAATATGCTTTTATTGCAAGCAAAAGTACATGTGTGAGTAGGTTCACTAAAGAGGAATTTTCGTGCGCAATACGTCCCGAGTGTTCCACGGCAAGGGGTGGTCTCCACCAATTCCAGCAATAGCACCGGCGTAAAAGAAGGAGATAAGTTCATTGGAGTTCTCTTGAGTATTTCGTAGTAATTGAATGCCATCTAAAGGCTCAGCTCTCTCAGTAGAGTCTCAGTAGAAGAAAGAAGATTGTCTTAGGGGCTGGGAATACACCAGGCGTTGCAGCTTGGTTTCCATGGGAAGCGTGTAAGTCGGTGAGCCCTCGGTGAAGACAACCGATAAGATTACGTTTGATAAGATAAGAGCTTCCTGAACTTCTCATCATCGCATTTGTCGCCTTCCTCTCGCGAAGCACTCCCCAACACCTATATCCACAGCATGCTCCCTCAATGCGCTGCTCTTCCCTCACGATCTTCCAAAGATGGCGCACTCCGTCTCATCACCTCCGTCGAACAATCAACGGTAGCGCAGCAGTGGCCCCGGCAGCGCATGTGCGGCCGACACCCTTTCGACAGCAAAACCAGCTCCTGCGCCGGCACCAGTACCGAACTCTTCTAACCCTCGCAATCGAGACCTCGTGCGACGACACCTGCGTCGCCCTCCTCTCCAAAGACCCCGGTCCCCTGGGCCGCGCGACCCTCCACTTTCACCGCAAAATCACATCCGACAGCACGGCCTACGGCGGCGTCTACCCGCCCGTCGCCCTACGCTCCCACGACGCATCGCTCGCGCCACTCGTCGCCGAAGCCCTCTCGTCTCTGCCTCCAGCTGCCTCCGAGGAAGAAGCCTGGAATCACGATGACAGCAAGTTGATACAAGAAGGAGGCAAAGGGGGAGGTCGCTCTCTCGCAGGAGAGCTAGGGCCATCAAGCAACAACACGCTCACAGTCGCCGGCACTCTGCGCCAGAAACCCGACTTCGTGACGGTGACCCGCGGCCCCGGCATGTCCGCGAACCTCGCCTCCGGGCTCTCGACGGCGAAAGGCCTCGCGACAGCCTGGCAGGTCCCCCTCCTGGCCGTGAACCACATGCAAGCCCACGCCCTCACCCCTCGCCTCGTCTCCGCGCTCGCCCGCCATGATCCGACGACATCTGCAGCGTCCTCATCCACCACCGCCTCCTCCTCTCCGACAGTCGATGTCGCCGCTGCTATAAAACCAGAATACCCCTTCCTCACTCTCCTAGTCTCCGGCGGCCACACCCAGCTCGTCCACTCCCGCTCCCTCACATCCCACCGCATCCTCGCCTCCTCCTCCAACATCGCCGTCGGCGACGCCCTCGACAAGGCTGCGCGCCACATCCTCCCGCCGGACATGCTAGCCTCCCACGGGGACGTCATGTACGGCGCCCTCCTCGAACGCTTCGCCTTTCCCGACTCCTTTGTCCCTTCCTCTCCATCATCGCCAGATCCCAAAAGCCAGCAAGGCTACGACTACGAATACACTCCTCCCCTCCGCCGCGTCGACGAAATCACGCCGTACACCGCTCCCCCGCCCTACTCCTGGACCCTCCACCCTCCCCTCTCCGCCTCCCGCGCCTTATCCTACGAGTTCAACGGCCTAGGCAGCGAGGTCCGCAAAATCGCCACCTCAAAAGGCGACTTCATGTCCGTCGACGAACGACAGATCCTCGCCCGCGCCACCATGCGCCTCCTATTCGAGCATTTGGCAACTCGCATCTTTCTCGCTCTTGCCGCCGAGCCGGAGCTGAAAGACGCACTGAAAACACTCGTCGTGAGCGGCGGCGTAGCGAGCAACCGCTTCCTCATGCACGTACTACGGAAGATGCTCGACGTCCGCGGATTAGAGCATGTAGAGATCACGGCACCCCCGCCGGCGTTGTGTACGGACAACGCGGCCATGATTGCATGGACCGGCATGGAAATGTACGAGGCTGGCTGGGAAAGTTCACTTTCCGTACATCCCGAGCGCAAGTGGTCGATTGACCCGTCCAGCGAAGAGGGTGGGATCCTGGGTGTCCCTGGGTGGAGAAGAAGAGAACATTAAAATCTTATGATACCCCTTTTTTGGTTTTAGAATCACCTGTAACAACAATGTAGAAGAAGCGTGAGAATGAACTTGTATCATAATCTAGTGTACAAGTTACACAACACCTGCACTCTCCCTTGAGAGTGTAGACGTCGAAAGGGACAACCTGACAAGCCATGCTCGATTCCGCGACTGCGCTCGATTTGCCTGTCATAACCGTTCTATTCATTCGTGTGCGAGGTAGTAAAATCTTCTTGTCTCCTAGCACGTCATAGTGATAGGTGGGATATATCGCTCTGTCCCGGCAAAAGCGGCACTGGAGCGAGATTCGGTCTCGGGCTTTCGCCTGGAGACTGGCTGAAAGCGGGATTCTGGAAGGAACCCCACGACACGTATGACTTCAGCGGCACCAAATCACTGTCCTTCTCCACCGACATCTAGTCCAAGTCGGCAGTGACGTTGGTGAACTCGCCCTTCTCCAGCTTCGTCTTCCAGAAGATGGGATTCGTGTCGTTGAAGCCGTGCTTGACCCAGCCCTCCTCCTTGACGTGGTAGAGGTTGATGAAACCACCAGAGTAGGCGTCACGGTGCGTAGCGGCAAGAATACTTCGGCTACCAAGGTCGAGAGCTTCCTGGTCGGTCAAGTCGTAGCGGTACTCGGCGTCCAAAACACCGTAGGCGAAAGTCTGACCACTGCCGACACAGAAGAGGTTGCCAGGCAGACGAGTGCCGTCTGAATCGACGTAGTACAGCGCGGGGCCTTCCTCCTTCGTAACGCCGGCACACATGGTGCCCATGCTGAGGCCCATGCCCTTGTATGAGTAGACGAGGTTGGCGAGAATCTTGGACGCCGCGGCGACGGAAATGCGGCGCTTGTGGCGGAGTTCGTGCAGGCGGCACTGCATGCCCAACCATGCAAGCCAGTACTGACAGTCAGCGGCACCGCCGGCCATGGTGCCCAGGAGCACTGAGTTGATCTCAATGACCTTCTTGACTGTTTGCGAGGCAATCCAGTTTCCGGCAGTCGCACGGGAATCGGTGGCGACGATAATGCCGCCTTGGAAACGGAAGGCGAGGGTCGTTGTGCCGTGGGCAATCTTGATGGGGCAGTCGGGGTTGGCTCGGTCGTCTGTTGCTGCGCGGAGCCAGGAGGAGGGCTGGATTGAGGGGTTCAACATGTCAGTCTGATGGTGCATCTCAGGTTCAAACGGAAATCCAGTCAAGAGGTAGAACTCACATGTGCGACGGGGGGCATAGCAAACTTCAATGACAGCGGCGGCGCTCCACCCAGGAGCTCAAGGTCCTCCTGCTCATCGTCTCTGAAGGTGTTGTGTTGCTCGAACGCCGGGCGGCTGTACTTGGCCACAAGGCTGTCCATCTCGGCGGTCAGCGGGCGGGGTAGATTGTCGAAACTATTCGGTAGGTAAGGGGTGATGAGGGTTAGAAGAACTTATTCTGAACGGGCTCTCGTTGATGTTCGTGGGAGTGTTGGGCTTGGTGATAATTGGAATGGGGGATGGGGTTCTTTGACGTTGACTTGGGGAATAGCTCAGGCAGCTCCATGCTCGCGTCACGGCCAGCTTCAGCAAGGGAAAGTGCGTACCAAGCTGATTGATGCCTTGTTGCCTGATTCGGAATGGGCGTCTGCTGCAGGTACGAAGACACCTCAGCACCAAGGCCCGTGTGTGCCTCAAGCTTACATAAGGTGCCTCCTACCTCGAAGAGCGATAAGTTAGCTTCCAGCGCAAGCCATGGATAGTAACGTGCCTAGTATAAGTCATTTCAATGCTTCCTGTCCTCAAAACCCGTACAATCCATAAATACAATGAATTTATTGACTTTTTCTTCTTTCTCAAAGGTCAGAATTCGGGGGTGTTCAAACCGAGCAGCCCCCCTCTACCTGACCTGAATACCTAGGTATCTACCCTCAATCTACCCATCCGATGTATCCACTTGCTACCTTAGCCAGAACTCGCAGGGGTCTAAAGTGATCACGTGGATCTGTTGATAAGATAACGCGACTCAAACAGGGTCGAAAATCCACCTCAGCTAAACCAAGGAAAGCGATTCCACCATCATCCAACACTACCACTTGCGACGGCGAGCGCCATTTCACCCATGATCAGTCTCTCACATCAACTCTTACCAATCGCCGACTTGAAAGTATCACAATAATTTCGCGGCGATGGCTAGTATCGATCGCTATCGGCCTTCGAGAGAGGCCTACCAGCCTCCCACGCTCCCCCCGGGTCCTCCTCGACCAGACCGGCAATCCAGATCTCCCGGGCGTCGTCTTGATGTGCCACCTGCAGTTCCATCTCCCCCGACACATTCATCGCGGACCTCGCCGCCGCGCCCTCATTCTCAGCGAGACACGCGCTCGCCTCAGCGGTCAAGGGCGCAAACACCAGGACCTCCGCCCAATCAGTGGTACTTCACCCCCGACGAGACCTTGAGCACACCGAGTATTCTAGATGGCATTTCACCGGCAGAGGAGCGCCTGCGACGCGCAAAGGGTGTCAACTTCATATATCAGGCCGGAGTTCTTCTCGACCTGCCCCAAATCACCCTTTGGGTTGCAGGTGTCTTCTTCCACCGGTTCTATATGCGATACAGTATGGTTGAAGAGAAGAACGGCATCCACCACTACGTGAGACATATCTCTGCTCAATCCCCAGTCTAAATGCGTTCGTGGTTGTGTCTTATAAGTGTCAGGCACAATCCGCACTTCCCAGGTCCAAACGGGGGACCGAAAAAGCTCAAGCTGAACCAATGCTGACGGAATCGGTTGAACAGAACATTGCAGCCACTGCGCTCTTTCTCGCGAATAAGACAGAAGAAAACTGTCGAAAGACGAAGGAAATTATCATCACAGTGGCAAAGGTCGCCCAAAAGAATCCCAAGCTCATGATAGATGAGATGAGCAAGGAGTATTGGCGGTGGAGAGACAGCATTCTCATGTACGAGGAGTTGATGCTGGAATACCTCACATTCGACCTCATGGTGGAGAACCCTTACCAGCGTCTCTTCGAGCTTCTCGGTCAACTCGATATTGTTCACAACAAACATCTGAGGCAGTCAGCTTGGGCGTTCTGCAGCGACGCCTGCCTTACCTCCATCCCTCTACTGCTCGAAGCACGCGACGTTGCCATCAGTGCCATCTTCTTTGCCAGTATACACACACAGCAGAAGATCGAAGATGTCAACGGCGAACCGTGGTGGAGGGCACTGAAAGGAAACGAAGAAAAGTGTGCCAAGGCCATCGACATTGTCCGACAGTTCTACACTGAGAACCCGCTCCGTAAACAGAACCCGTCACTGCCATCACCAGCTTTTGACCTGGCCAATACTAGACAGCCAAGGGATCCGATGAGCCAGGACGCTCTCTCGTCTACAGCAGGCACCCCTTTTGAGCTGGATAGAGGAACGCAGAGCCCAAGAGCTAGGGCTAATGGCCGCGATGACGTCACTAATACTGAGTCTGGCTCGCAGGCCACGCTTAAGGAGCCAGAGAGAGCGAATGGCAATAGCCTGGCGTCTCCAGGAAAGAGAAAGGAAGTTGACTCGGATTCTGAGGGCAGAGAACAGAAGCGGGCACGACTGTCCGATGAAGATGAAGGGGAGGTTTTGGACTAGGAGCTCTAGCCTGTAACATTGTAATAATTCCACGGACCACGGGCGTTGGAGGTCCATCGCATTTTACGGCGGGTATTCGGACAGAGGGTCGACAGGCGCAAGATGACGCTTATGTACCATAGTGGTCACTCACTTAAGGCGGCTTCAAGCGTAAGCATCTTGGTATGCGCAAGAGTCACAGCACGCTTTCACAGAGACACGGCGTTCCAAGGGTGGTAGTTTGACAGAGGTCATGGCGCAAGCGATGCTTTGCAAAGGTAGGGGATACCTTAGCAGTGATTACAATTCATAGCGAATTCATCCTAAAGTCAAAGGATATTGCTGCAGATTGAGAGGGTAGTAGTTTATGGTATATGAATTGTTGAGCTACGTCTCGGCTCTCGGCGAAGTCCTTCCGTCCTGCCTGTCTTGCGATTGATCGCATCATCCAAGAAATCTATCACGTCCACCATATTTTCGAGAGCGAGTAATGCTGCCCTCTCCTGTCGATTCAGCAAAGCACGCTTATCCGGCCCCATACCTGGCCCACACATCTCGTGAAGGTGATGCTGAACGAGCTTCACTGGCATCGGGGCACGAATGACGTGGCGCATGAAGCATTCGACAGCCTCCCACGGACAAGACTCGAAACCAGCGTAAAGAGCAGGGTTTGCGAGGATACCCCGCGCAGACATAAGACCTGCCAACTTGGTGCCACTGGGGGTGAAGTCCGTATGGCCATTGTGGCCGTTGATCAGTGTCGGTTCCAAAGGTTCTTCTGGTGCTTTGGATACCGTCGACAGGGGTAGCGTGGCCATGGAGAAGACATCGCCAGATAGAAGGATTGGGAGCGTGTCACCGTATTTCTCGAGGAGAATGCCGAGAGATTCGGTGTTAATAGGGGTGGTGGATGCAGTGTGACGGGTACGGGGGTGGATCGTCAGGAAGTCGATATTACGGTTCAGGGGGTTGCCAATCACGGTGTCGATGAAGTCCATCGTCTTCCTAGTCAGTGAAGCATGAGAGTCAGCGGAGGATGGCTGCCGAGAGAATGTGAGCAGGAGCTCAGGGTTAAGGTGCACTCACCTCAAGTCCTTGTGCACACGGATCTTGACGCTGACGCTCCTCCCCTTTGGACTGTCGATATCCCGCTCCTTGCCAACATGCCAGCCGTCACTAGCCAAGCGTTGACGAGTCTCGATGACCATATCTCGCACGAGTTCACGCTGCTCCATAAGAGCGGCACCAAGAGTCTCTGCGCAAGCCCATGACTGTGGGCACCCGCAGTTGAGATCGACACCGTTGACAAAAGGGGCGGCAAGAGATGATGAGCGGGCGAGCTCGAGAGGGCTGTTTGCGCCAAATTGAACTATCGTGGGAGGCTGAATTCCACGGGTGGATATTGTGAGATCTTTGGAGAAGAGTCAGACCGTGGTAAGGTACTGGGGCGAGGCGCAGGGGAGTCAACGAACCACTGTCCCGGGCAAAGTTATTGCGGTTGAACTCTTTCGACAGGATCATGGGTGTCCAGCAGAGATCGGTAGCATATTCATGAACGGTTTGACGGAAAGCGAGCTATGCGGTGATAAGTCAATGGCCTCCTTCACTGAAATATCAGAGTTGAATCACCTTGCTGTATCTCACCATAGGGGCTGAGACGTTCAGAAATCTATCTTGACTCTTGGCAGCATCGAATATTTTCAGGGGACTGCGTAAAGTCATATGTTGTTAGCCACCTTGACTCATGATGAACAAGAAGTGGAATTCAAGACCTACTGTGTTCTATCTGAAAGAGTTCCATTATAGAGGTCGGCCGCCATGGCGACAATCTGGACACCCACGAGAGTGTGTGGTATGATGCCCGAGTTGAGATGAGAGTGTGCTTGAGTCGGATTAGGACGCACTCACAACGTCGAAAGCGCCTGCAGTGAAGAATTACAGAGGTTCTTAGTGGAGCAGGGGGGCCCTGTGGCATCAAACCTAGATGGGCGATCCTCACCTGGGCTGTCATAGTGGGGGTGGGGTTCTCTTGCGACGATAACGGCGGGGTGATTTTTCACCGCCTGCCCAATGGAGCAGAAACCTGTAAACTTCCTGCGTCAAAACTTTGCTCTACCCCAGCCAAGTGCTTGCATTTTTGAGTCGTTTCTTCCCTCGGGAAACACTCTCTCTACCCTTCTTTTGATCTGTGCTATTGTTCCGCTCTAACTTGCTTCTCCTCACCTTCGCACCCGCGCTATTATAGTCGCAAAGTCGATCCTCACAATGGTCAAGAAGCCCGTCATCGGCCTCCTTGGAGGTGGCCAGTTGGGCCGAATGTTGTGCGAGGCCGCGGGGCCCCTCGGCATCGATATCGCGATCCTGGACGAGGCCAATTGTCCTGCGAAGCAAGCTAACCAAAACAGCCGGCACGTCACCGGTTCCTTCAAGGACCCGGCCAAGATCAGAGAACTGGCCGCCATGTGTGACGTCCTCACTGTCGAGATCGAGCACGTTAACACTGAGGTTCTCGAGGAGATTGCGACCCGCGGTGTTATCACTGCTCCAGGCACCGTCAAGAAAGTACCCTGTCACCCCCATTGGCAGACTCTGCGTCTGATCCAGGACAAGTACTTGCAAAAAGAGCACTTCGCCAAGGGTGGTCTCCCTATTGCCCCTCAGATGGCCATTGAATCCGGCCCTGCTATGCCTGAGAGCCTCACAGCCGCTTACAGGGCATTCCAATTCCCATTCATGCTGAAGGCGAGAAAGGGTTCCTATGACGGCCGTGGTAACTTCAAGGTTAGGGGCCCGGAGGACTACGAGGAGGCTATTCGGACGATGGGCAAGCTCTCACTCTACGCTGAGAAGTGGGTACCTTTCGAGATGGAGCTCGCCGTCATGGTTGTGCGGACTGAGGATGAGGACGGCGAGTTGAGAAAGGTTCATACTTACCCGGCTGTCGAAACTATCCACGAGGAGAGTATCTGCACCAAGGTGTACTACCCACCCCGCCAAGTCAGTGCGGATGTATGTGAGAAGGCACGCCAGGTGGCTGGGGATGTTATCAAGACGGTGAAGGGCAGAGGTGTCTTCGCTGTTGAGATGTTCCTGCTCAAGGACGGTCAGTTAGCAGAGACTACAAGACTTGAGGATCAACTAACTTGGTGATAGGCACAATCACCGTCAACGAGGTTGCTCCTCGTCCCCACAACTCGGGCCACTGGACTATTGAGGGTGTGCCCTACATGTCGCAGTACAAGGCACAGCTCCACTCCATCTTGGACATGCTCCCGCGATCTATCAAGTTGCAGCCTCGCGTCTTCGGCGCTCTGATGCTCAACATTCTCGGCGGTGCGCGTGAAGACTCCCACGAAGAGTTGGTCGACCTGACCACATCCTTATACGATGACAACATGGATGTGTTCCTCCACCTCTATGGCAAATCGTCCAAACCTGGCCGCAAGATTGGACACATCACCGTGACGACTCACTCTGCCAACTCCAGCTTGGAGAGGCTAGCAGCGCCTCTGATTAACGAGGTGAACTACATGCGCGAAGCGCGACTTGATGCTGCCTCAGACCAACTCCGTCTGCAAGAGTCTCCTGCCAAGAAGACCAGCTCCCGCAACGCCGATAAGCCCTTGGTTGTTGTCACCATGGGTTCTGACTCAGACCTCAAGGTCTTGAAGGGTGCCTTCGAGATTCTTGAGCATTTCGAGGTTCCCTATGACCTTGACATCACTTCTGCTCACCGTACGCCCCATCGTATGGTTGAACTTGGAAAGACCGCCGCGCAGCGAGGCATCAAGGTCTTGATCGCAGCTGGTAAGTCTACATATGTCGATCGGCCCTTTGGAGACATTACTAACATCACCAAAGCCGGCGGTGCTGCCCATCTCCCAGGCATGCTGGCATCCGAGACAACTGTGCCAGTGATTGGCGTGCCCGTCAAGGCCACTCATCTTGACGGCCATGACAGCTTGCTGAGCATCGTGCAAATGCCCCGCGGTTGCCCCGTGGCAACGGTCGGCATCAACAACTCCACCAACGCTGCCCTCCTCGCTGTCAAGATTCTCGGGTCGTCCAGCCTCGAGTACCAGCAAAAGATGGCTCAGTACATGAGCAACATGTCCCGGGAAGTTGAGCACAAGGCTTCCGAGCTGCAGAGTAAAGGATGGAAGGCGTACCTCGAGAACCAATGAGGGAAAATGAAGAGATTTTAGTAGCATGTGTGGAACTTCACTCCACGTTTGGGCAGCATTGATTGATACCAGCAAAGGCGTACATAGGAAAGTTAGAAAATAACAAATAAGGGGCGGTCACCACAATATCATAAATGCTTGGTTTCCGGGAAAATGCTTGGTTTCCGGGATAATGCTTCGCTGCCGTACTGCCACCTTGGCTGGTGTGAGAAACGGGTTGTTTCGTCAAACGATTTCCGGGGAGATGCATAAGGACTTGCGGCTGAGACATGGCCCAACGTTTGGAAGACGGCGTGGGTTATCGCTTGAAATAAGACCCGGGGTAACTGTGAGCCAACACCTTGAACTCTGAGAAATCGCCTGCCGATTGTTGTGTTGTGCAAATGACTTCTTACTTTGTAGACACTCCTATGGTGTCTCCTAGGTCTGATGATGATGGTTGGCATGACTGGCGGGGCATCTATTACTTTCTTGCGGGATTTAGATATCGAAAGGAACGGCCAGAAACACTAGGAAATTTCTCTTCCCGCTCGGAAGGTTACGGTTTAAGTCTCAAAATCAATGATTCCATCGATGATCGCCGGGTCGCCCAGAAACACACTGTTGGGATCAAACCCACCTCATGCTACGGATCTTCACCCCGATTCCTCTTTTCACTTGACTTTGAGCCACTTACATTTTTTTTTGCCAATAATAGAACTTGCTGAAGACGGCCTCTTCCTTGTGACTCGCAGTCGATTGTCATGCCCCAGCACACCTGGCACATGCAATACGAGAAGGAGCTGTCTCAGTCAAACGTGGCGATCACTGACTGTCTGACTTCTATCAAGGAAGGAACCTCCAAACACATCAGAGTACTGAGTATGTGGCAAGGACGAAAAGGCAAAAGCGAGGTAACTATGATATACGACAGGAGCCTGCCATGGCTGATGTCTCAGTGCGACGGGTATGATCTCTCCCCGCGTTCTGACCGACGTATGTCCTCGACCTGGACAACGTGAGGGTCAGACAAGCGGCCAAACTGGACAGGAAGAAGGGCTCGATAGACTTCTTGGACACTAACTCTTACACATCAAAGGAAGAAGGAATCAGCCGCATGCTCGGTGCTATTCATAGCTTTTGCATGTTGCGAGGCTTGGTGCCCGCTTGTCGATCCCGGTATGGACATCCCTCGCAAAATACGAGATGAAATCCCTTCGAACAACTGTCTAACCTATGACTTGATTGATGTCATCAATTTTGACTACCAAGCGGTGAGCGAAATCTCTCATAGCATGTTACAGCAAGCTGCCTGAACACACCTGCGGTGACATTCCTCCAAACGGCGGAAGGGGTTTGTGGGCTCTCTCAAACCATGTTTGTTGGTTCCACACTCTTGAGAGTATCGCACACACTTGGCAACTTGGGTATTACGTGAGTATCCAAGGTGAACCCGTCGATGATTCTGGTGAATGACTTCGGAAAATGTCCCGGCCGAGCTAATGCCTGCTCTGATACCACTCGCTGAGGACCCTGCTCGCCACAAGGCGCATCTCGCAGCAGACGGACTGATGCATCGCCCTGATCTTTTTGATCCGAAGGACCGGATGCGACTTGAGAAGCGAGTTAGAGATCACCGGTCCAAATCTATCCGCGGAGACCGTTCGCTGACAAGGTGGTCCAGATCGACGCCCTCCTGAGACAAGCGCCTTGGCAGGAATATGATAATCTGGGGCCTCGACGGGTTCTACCTTGACGTCGCCTCACCCCGATAACTTCTTTTGATAATTAGGCACTGGAGAGCTATCGAGAGTTTCTGCAGATTAATCTAGACGACATCGAGAACATCACCACTATTTCTATGCGCAAGTCTACTTATGAAGGTCCAAGCTTGTGTATTGTGGGAGAAGACTTCATTATTCATCGAGGACAGGATCGATAAGTACCACAACCCGCAGAAAACCGTTTGCTGCCCTATTCCGTCGCTCGCATATCTTTCTCAAGCTGAAGGGTATCACGAACAAAGGTCGTGTGTCTGTATAACCCTATGGGACCCCGCAATCCTCTCCATTCATCCCTTTGATCCTCGGGAGCGAAAACCTGCTAACCTTCTTGCGGCACTGTGGATGGAATTTGAGCTGTTCGAAAACAGCCTGAAGAGTAAGACATCGTCTTCACGGCCGATCCTAGATCATCAGAGAGCCGTCCACTATGGACTACACCTTGCGGCTTGATCCTGCGGCGCGTACTATGTCACCAATTCTCAACCGGATGCGCTCATTATCCCATTCATCGCAGCCCTGGGATGATCTGCACTTGGGTCTAGCATATCTCTTCCTCTCTTGGCAATCACACCAAGAAGGCCGAGGTGACCACCAATTCGAGGCTATCGTGGAATGAACTACCAAACCGGGGCTGCGTGTGCTGAGGCTGGGCAGGGCGAACCAAGCTCGCCTGCGGCCGAGAGAGTCACAAACCTACATGTGCTAGTGCCCGTCTTCCCGTCTTGGTAGCTACCCTTATGACGGAGATCGGAGAGCTCACCGACCCGCACAACCTCAAGGCAAACTTGGGGACATATATAGCAACCTTGATGTCCAGCTTCATCAGAGACTTTGCTACTGTGCAAGTTACATCACCCACTTTACAACTGCCCCTCTGTATCTCAAGCTACACCAAACAGCAACCGCAGAGATTTCGATCATCTTCATCACCAAAGGCCACCACGCAACCAAGTAGTCAAGATGCTCACCAACAACATCCTCACAATACTAGCCATCGTCGGCCTCTCAGCCGCCCAGATCCAAGTCCCGCCCTCCAACGCCGCCGATTGCCCGCGAACCATGTGTCTCGACGGCATCAACCCAGAATGCGGAATCCGATGGGGCGGCTGCTACGATATGTGCCAGCCGCAAATGAAGCCCACCATGCCGCCTTGCAAGTCCACGCTGAGTAAGTCGACAATCTCGAGGACATTCAAACCCTCCTTCACGAGGCCAACCCGGCCCAGCCTGCCGCCCACGCGCAGCCCGACAATCACTCGAGCACCGCCCAGCTTGACTACTTTACCCACGACGGCGGTCGACAACTGCAGCACGCGTAGCGTGTGTGTTGATTACATCAACGAGTGCGGACAGTGGTATGGCGGGTAAGTTTTGCTTCTTCGCTTCTACTGCTTCATGGATGAGTTATAGCGTGTCATGTTTGCTAACTTTACCGTAAAAATGTAGATGCCACGCCGACTGCAAGCCCTGGCCGTCGTACTCCAAGCCTTTGTGCACACCCACGTCCAGCTTGAGTGTTGACCCGTCCACGTTACCTACCGATTACTAAGGACGCTCGTCAACGCCATCGGGTTTATGAATGGGATGAAAGAACGAGGAAGCGGTCGAGACGACGTTTGACGAACCTGTATCATGAATAGATGATTTCCTTCACAGTACATATCAGCTACTAGGCCTCAATAAGGGTACTGCAGTCTCTTACACGATGATACGGCCGTTGAATTAAGGACTTCTGCAACATCCCGTAACTTATGTTGCAGTTCCTCTGTGCCTCACATGAAGTTAATAGCTCAGTACTATCCGACGAAGAGTCATGGCACACAAGATAGCCAGCCCTAGTGTAAGTCTTTGAACAAAATGAATTTCTCCTCCTACTTTACACGTTTTTAACTCCAGAGCCAAAGCCCAAAAGCCTGCGGTGTATGCACCAGCCCTAATAGCCTGATTCCAAGGGGTCCAGGTAGCGATATCCCCCACGCGGCTCATCCACGATCATTAACTAAATTGTTGTCGTGGTATTACGATTGCCTTTGATATTGCCTTCCGCCACTCTCTGACCCTCCCATCGTCTTCGTCTTCCCATCTCCTCGCATAACCGAATTTCCTTCTAACACCCGACACCGGTTCTAATCATAACAGGTTTAGTACACACGCTTGAAGGGAGGAACAGCCTTGCACTCGTTCTCGTCCAGAGTGTTGGCAATAACGCCACGGTAGCCGAGGTCGACCTTGCCGTGGGGGTTCTTTTGGAAGGAGAGGGTGTGCTTCATCCAGTTGACGTCGTCACGGTCGGGGAAGTCCTCGCGGGCGTGGGCGCCACGAGACTCCTTGCGAGCGGCGGCGGAAGTGGCGGTTTGGGAACTATTCATCGTTAGATAAAATCTCCATGAAAGGAAGAGTGTTGAAGGGAACTTACGCGCAGGTCAACAGGTTGCGGAGCTCAAGGGTCTCAACCAAGTCAGAGTTCCAGATCATGCTCTTGTCCTTGATGGAAACGTCGGGGAACTGAGCGTCAATCTCGGTCATCTTGCGGACACCCTCGTCCAGAGACTCCTGTGTTCTGAAAACGCTGACCTCAGTCTGCATAGCCTTCTGCATAGACAGACGAACGTCGGAGGTGGTTCTGCTACCCTCGCGCGTGCGGACGTCATCCAGAGTCTCAATGGCCTCAGCACCAGCATCAGCAGCCAGAGGCTTGTGCTTGGTACCAGGAGTAAACTTATCACGGATGGTGTGGGAAACAGCACGGCCGAAGACGACCAAGTCGAGGAGAGAGTTGGCACCCAGACGGTTGGCACCGTGGACAGAGACACAGGCGGCCTCACCGCAGGCGAACAGACCAGGGACGACCTTGTCGTTACCAGACTCGTCAACAGTGATGACCTCACCGGTGTACTTGGTAGGAATACCGCCCATGTTGTAGTGGACGGTGGGCAGAACGGGAATAGGCTGGGTGCGAACGTCGACACCAGCGAAAATGCCGGCAGTCTCGGAGATACCGGGCAGACGCTCGTGAAGAACCTCGGCGGGCAGATGGCTGAGCTGCAGGAAGATGTGATCCTTCTCCTCGCCAACACCACGTCCCTCGCGGATCTCCATGGTCATGGACCGGGAGACGACGTCACGGGAAGCAAGATCCTTGGCGGTGGGGGCGTAACGCTCCATGAAGCGCTCACCCTCGGAGTTCAGAAGGTAACCACCCTCACCGCGGGCTCCCTCAGTGATCAAGCAGCCAGCGCCGTAGATACCAGTGGGGTGGAACTGAACGAACTCCAAATCCTGGTTAGGCAGACCAGCACGAGCAACCATGGCCATACCGTCACCAGTGCAGGTGTGGGCAGATGTGCAAGAGAAGTAAGCACGTCCGTATCCGCCGGTGGCCAAGACGGTGTGGTTAGCAAGGAAACGGTGCAGAGTGCCGTCCTCCTGGTTGTAGGCGACGACACCGCGGCACTCGCCATCTTGCATAATCAGGTCGAGAGCGAAGAATTCGATGAAGTAGTTGGTGTTGTGACGGAGAGACTGTCCGTAGAGAGTGTGAAGAAGAGCGTGACCAGTACGATCCTCAGCAGCGCAGCATCTGTAGGCCTGTCCACCCTTGCCGAACTTCTGAGACTGACCGCCGAAAGCACGCTGGTAACTGTGAAGCGAGATATGTCAGCATCTGTCTGGAATCAAGATTTATCTGGGCCTTCTTTTTTTCGACTCACATCTTGCCATCCTCAGTTCTTGAGAAGGGGCATCCGTAGTTCTCAAGCTCGACAATGGAGGCGGGCGCCTCACGGGTCATGTAGTGAATAGCATCCTGGTCACCGAGCCAATCTGAACCCTTGACGGTATCGTACATGTGCCATCTCCAGTCGTCCTCGTGCATGTTTCCGAGGGCGGCATTAATGCCACCCTGAGCGGCGACAGTGTGACTTCTGGTAGGGAAAAGCTTGGAGATACAGGCAGTGTTGAAGCCAGCCTCTGCAAGACCGAAGGCAGCACGAAGACCAGCACCACCGGCACCGACAACAATGGCGTCGTACTCATGGTCGACGACGGGGTACTTGCTGGACAGGTAGGGTGAAGCCTCCTTTGCGCGGAGATGCTGGTTCGCGTAAATCCGCGCGGCGGATCTGGTCGTGGAGAATGCGCGCGCCTGCGAGAACTGAGATTGCCAAGTATTAGTTCTACTGTTCATGCCGAGGCCGCATCTAAACGCAGGACCGGATCAAAGGAGCGACGTACAGCAGGCTTAGCAGCAAACCTCCTCAACGCCATTGATGAGGCCATGATTGATGTGTACACTATCTTGCAGTATCAGTATGCGTTTCGGTCGCGGTTGTACGTTCTATCTCGAGTTGCGGGAGGCGAAGGGGGCGAGGTGATGATGGCCGGAGATGTTGGGTTGAAAGCCGCTCGTGTGTAACCGGGTGGATGGATAGATCGGTACTGACCGTTATCGGAAGACGGAAGAGAGAGGAGAGGTCAAGCCTAGAATTGCAGAGTTAGCAAATTGGTACCAGATGTACCTGGAATCTGGGATACTGACCGTCGAATTGAATTGGTCTCCAAAACGAGGTGCGGTCTCTAGGTGATGAATAGACCTCCAACCAGTGTATGGAGAAAAGTACGGAACAAACCACGGCAAACCTCGCACACGTCTTCTGCAATAAGTCAGCTCGGCACCTCGGGTAATCACACTGTTGGTGATTGGTTGAAATAGCTATGGCTAGTGGACTCACGCCACAACCACAGTCAAGCCACAGTTGGTTTCCGGGGCAGAGTTCACATGCAAAGTCCCGTCAAATTCCGAGATCGATTCCGGGGTATCATCAGTGCGACCGGATGAAAGCTTAGCCTTCGTTGATCAGCCGCCCGAAACTCGAGGTTCTATTCTTGTCAGACAGGCAATGAACCAAAGTCAATGTCTCTGGTTGCGATCAATTGTTGATTCCATATTTTGGCATTTCCCTTTTCCCTCTGATTGTCAGTTTGTACGTCGAATTGTGTAAACTACGGGTGCTCTTTGCCCGTTCCCGAGCGGCATTGCCGAGGTGCGGGTGGAACTGGGTCTCTTTGTCGATGGGGAGGAGAAAATCCATGACTTCACGACGAGAATCGCCCATCGTCAGCAGTTCTACTTTGCCACACTTTCACACAATGCAGAGCCTCGGTAGACAACCACAGTTTCAACTAAAAGAAGAACGTGACTCTATACCGACAATTGAAACGCCAACCAATTAGACTTTTCATGTCTTCAACACAATAATGCGACTTGATCAGGCGCAACGATCTGCGCGGTTGCTGCAAGACCAATTGACCCACAATAACTCTTGCGCTGCAGAAGTGAAGTGTTGAAAATAGTAATTTAGGGTTACTCTAGGTATCTGGTATGGTAAAGCCACCCCGTTGCACAAACAATTCGCCCGTGGCGACTCACTAGTATCGCGACCTCTGCGTCCTCTTCAATCGGCTCGTTCCTAAACGTGCCGCGCCAGTCTCGGGCATAGGCCTGGCCTCCCATCTCATCGCTCAGGCACTTTCAGACACAGGGCCAAACTCCTATGAGTTACTGCGGGCTAACGAAAACAAAAGAAAGCCTGAATTCAAAGTCCCCTTTTAGTGTGTCCAAGGAGTTCAAACTCCAGCCATGCTCATAAAGTACACACTACCTAGTATACAGCCAATATCGCGCCGCCCAAGATTATGACTCCAAACGTAGACCCCGCAGCTTCTATAGCTTCTCAAAAAGCCATCTGCTTCTTGATCTCGGCAATAGCCTTGCCGGGGTTCAGGCCCTTGGGGCAGGCACGTGTGCAGTTAAGAATCGTGTGGCAACGGTACAAGCTCATCGAGTTGTCGAGTGCAGCCTTGCGCTCGGCCTTCTTCTGATCGCGAGAGTCGGCGAGCCAGCGGTAGGACTGGAGGAGGATGGCGGGCCCCAGGTACTCCTCAGAGTTCCACCAGTAGGACGGGCACGAGGTTGAGCAGCAGGCGCAAAGAATGCACTCGTACAGACCGCTCAACTTCTTTCGGTCGGCGACGCTCTGGCGGTATTCCTTGCCCTGTCATAGAGGTTAGCTGGGATCATTCGAGATACTGCAGTCTGAATCACGTACATCAGGGGCAGGAGTGTCTCTCTGGAGGTAGGGCTTGATTGAGCGGTATTGCTTGTAGAACTGGGTCAAGTCCGGCACCAAGTCCTTGACGACGTAGGTGTGAGGCAAAGGGTAGACCTTGACGTCTGAAGCGTTCTCTGAAGGGATACGGCCTTTCGTTCTTGTTAGCATTGAATCGCCGTGAGTTCTTTCAGCAGCTTGCAAAGCCAGGTGGCTACAAGGGTGCTTCAGGAGTCAACGTACAAAGGCAAGCGAGCGTGTTCTGGCCGTTAATGTTCATGGCGCAGCTCCCGCAAATACCCTCTCTGCAACTTCTGCGGAAGGTAAGGGTAGGGTCCAGCTCGTTCTTGATTCGAATCAATGCATCCAGCATCATGGGTCCGGTCTTGTTCAGGTCCAGCGTGTACTCCTGCATCTTGGGCTTCTCGGTCGGCGTGTCGGGGTTCCAGCGGTAGATGGTGAACTTCTTCATCTTGGGCTCCTTTGTCGCAGGCACTTGATCGCTAGGGGTAGCCAGGCCACGGCGAGGAATAGTGACGGCAGGGCGGAAAGCAGCCTTGGTGGCCGAGCCCAAGACGCGGGTGGAAGAGCGGAGAGATGCCATTATGGCGGTTGGTTTTCGTGTGCTGCTGGACAGGAAATGGAGATGAATGAATTGATTGTTGACACACCGAGTGGAAGATGAGCGATTCCAACGAATTGGCGGGGCGCGGTGTGGGAAAGCTGCGATTCACCGTAGTATTATCCTTGGTGGCGGTTCAGAGTGTAGTGGAAGACATCATGGAAGTTTGCTTCAATCCCTCGGTTATTGTGTCGAAGCGGCCGGAGCAAAAAGGTGGGCCCTTTGGCCAATCACTGCTGAGTGATTTTAAACCACATTTCTATTGCCGCTTTTGACCTCAATCCCGAGCTCTTACCTTGTGCTTCCGGATAAATGCTCAGCAAACCGACTCGAAGGTCCAAAACCCCCCATTTGAAAGCATCTTCAATGTTGTGTGAGTACTATATCGATGTTCAAATCTCCAGACTACCTTACTTCGCTGCATATTTCGACAATCATATCTGTAAGGCACATCCGGACTCCCGGCTGGTGATGACTTAAAGCAGCGCACACCTCATTCCCCCGGTTTTCGTGTGGAATAAACCGGCATCTTGGACCGGGAGCAGCTGAAAGCTGACTCAGCGGGAATACCCCGGGTAGATAGCATCCCTGGGGAATCTGGGGTTGGGGCCTTTTTCTTATGACATCAAGTGGACGTTGCATTTCCTTTCAGATGCGACTACCTATCACAAGTCGTCTGTCCATTTGACGTTGCGAGAGTGCTCGTGTCAAAGAAGCGTCTCGAGGTACGAGAATATCTTGGGTCCGCAATTTAGCTATGTGATTCTAGTCACATTTCTAACGAGCAATTGATACGGTTAATATGCGGACTGCGGAAGCACCGCATCTCCAAGAAACACTCTACATCGCAGCACATTGGAAGCAATGGCCGCAACGGTGACAGTATTGCGCCAGCCTCTGGTCCTCCTCCCTGCCACAAGGCCATTGTCACAAGGTATGGTCTTGCTTTACTTCGAATTCTAAAATCCGCGTACTGATTATTCCTCAGCATCCGTTAGCTTCTCTAAGTATCTCGCCCGACAACGGTCGACCCCTCCGACGAACATCTCATCGCGATACTTCTCAACAGCCAGAAGCATGAAGTCCGACTCGGCTGCAAAGCTATCCTACCACGTTGCTGCGTCTTTTACCGCGAAAGACCATCCCTACGATCCATCAACGCACGTCTTTCACTTCAATCCCTACAACCGTATCCAGCAGAACCGTAGCAAACGCTCCAGACCAGACAGCGGACACGATGCCTTCTTCGTCAGTCGAGTTGGCGACTCTGGCGCTGTAGCCCTTGGTGTGGCTGATGGCGTCGGCGGCTGGGTAGATTCTGGTGTTGATCCGGCGGATTTCTCACACGGTTTCTGCGATTACATGGCTTCGACAGCCTACGGACATGGTTCAATCAAAGACGACCCGACCACAAAGGGCACGGGCGACAAGGAGCCGCTAAGAGCGCAAGATCTGATGCAAAAGGGATACCAGGCGATCAATGAGGACAGTACCGTCATTGCTGGTGGCAGTACAGCGTGTGTTGCTGTAGCATCCTCAGACGGCAACCTCGACATTGCCAACCTAGGCGACTCTGGCTTCATCCAGCTTCGATTGAACGCCGTACACACCTACTCCGAACCCCAAACGCATGCCTTCAACACGCCTTATCAGCTCTCTATCGTGCCTCCCAGCGTAGCTGCTCGTATGGCAGCTTTTGGTGGCCAGAACCTATGCGACTTTCCCAAAGACGCTGACGTCACTCGCCATGACCTCCGTCACGGCGATATCATCGTTTTCGCAACTGACGGTGTATGGGATAACTTGTTTAACCAGGACATCCTCCGTATTGTTAGCAATGTTATGACAACGACAGGCGCATGGCTCATGACGAAGAATGGCGTCCGTGTCGTCGACAATCTCAAGCCCTTTACAAAACCCGCCGAAGACGCCTCAGAGCGACCGTCCGCAAAGTTTCTTACCTTGCAGAGCGTGCTCGCGGCGGAAATCACGTCCGCCGCCAAGTCGGCGAGTCTAAACCGCAACGTCGACGGTCCCTTCGCCAAGGGAGTGCAGAAGTACTACCCGCAGGAGAACTGGCACGGCGGCAAGATTGACGATATTTGCGTTCTTGTCCTCATTGCTTCGGATGACTCCAAGGCTGCGGCCAAGAGTCGCCTTTGAGGCCGTCTTGTATCATTACCAACACTATTTGCCGCATTTGAAGCTCATGACTGCTTTTTCCAGTTGCGCAGAAATTACCCCCCATAGAAGCCCCAAAAAGGAGCGCCACCGCTGCATTTGTCCGTTGGATCGTTAATTTTCGACCGTCGCCAATTTCTCATTCGGTGACGCAGCAATGTTGTACGAAGGATCCTGAGCAATATTCTATTCTCTCATACACACGCAATGAAGAGACGTCGAGAAGTCAGTAGTCAGTCAGTTATAGCAGTATCAAAAAATACCACCCAAAATCGAGTTCTGACCGTTTCATCGTACTCTACCTAAAAACCAATTTCTACTCGCCTCAATCCGTTGCAAGTTTCTCTGCTTGGATATGTGCTTCTCCACCGATTAAACTACACGTTTTGGCTCATGCGATCGGCAGGAACGGTCAAACGAGAGGTCCAATCGTCTTCCCTTTCTCCCCCTTGTTTTCTCTTCTCCTTTGTCCTTGCCATGAAGCGGGGCGAGGCGATGGGAACTTGCCGATCGCTCTGCTCGGGCGGGTTTCTTGTTGCTTTTCTACAGTACCTTCCAATGGACGGAGCCCCTGTTTTCTTTTGAACTCCACGTCAGCTCTGGAGTCTGCACCCGTTTCTCCTTTTTTTTCTCCACGTGGGGTTGGTCTGCTGTATGAACCACTGATCTGGGTGGAAGAAGATACAAGATGAAACAGCTTTATTCTCTGGGGAAACCCAATGGGCTGTGCTTTAAAGAAAAAAAACCTGCCTTGCCTTACATTGTGGATGAAGGGCAGAAAAGACGATGAGTTTGGTGTGGACGGTCCCAGCTCGATATTCTATTGTTTGTCTTTGAAAGTATGACAATAACTCGCCGTACGAATGCATAGTGTTACATGTTCCTCATGCCAGAGGCAGAGCACGCCCGCTTCCGAGTGGGATAGGCGCAAGTCGAGTGACACCACTTCGAGGTGCAGACGGAAATGTCACCTCACCGAGGACAAATGGTCATGCGATGCATGCAGCCTGGAATGGTAATATCAAGACGCGGGGTTAAAATGACCCATGTCACGCTATAGACATCATCGTAGGCAGCAGAACGAGAAATTTGGAAAGGCAACAATGAATTGAATTGTTAATTGATTGTTTACAGGCCCAAAGATTTCCGATGGGCCCGACTAACACACATTGTTTACTTCATCATCCCCTGTCCTTCGAGAGCGTTTTGCAACTCGGCAACTTGACCTGCTTGCTTCATTTGAAATGCAACTCCTGGTCCTGTTTGTTCTTGGATCGCATTACTGTATTATAAACCTTGGTTCGCATCATATACCAGTCATTGGGCTGAGACAGCCCGAACATCCTCTCTAGCTCCCAGCTTACTGGAAGTAGAGCATGGCAGCGACGGTGAGGCCGATCAGGGCAATGGGAGAGCCCATGCGGACAGCGTCACTGCCGGGGACGGTAGTAGGAGAGCTGGTGGAAGAGGTGGAAGCGCTGGTGCCTATTCAATGGGTTAGTCAGGGTTCTTGTGCTTCAAGTAGATGGCGACGTACGGGTGCTAGCGCGGGTGCTGGTAGAGACAGTGGAGGCAGCGGTGGAGTTAGCAGCAGAAGAGGCCGAGCTGCTCTCAGCGGAGGCGGAGGAAGCAGAGGCGGAGGAGGTGATGGTGGAAGCGGCAACGGTGGTGGTGACGGTGGCGGAAGCAGAGGCGGAGGCGGAGGCAGAAGCCGAGGAGACAGAAGCGGAAGCAGTGACGGAGGTGGTCAGGGTGAACTGCTCAGAGTAGTTGGGAGTGCCGGTAGAGTCAGAGATCTCAATGGCGTACTGGTCGGTGGGGAGAGTGGAGGAAGGAGTCCAGGAGAAGGAGGTACCGCTCTGGCCAGCTGAGATGAAGTCAGTATCAGATGGCATCTCACCAGGGCTCGTTATGTACTTACTGGCGATGGTGGAGACAGTCTTGAGGTCGGTGCTGGGGCCGTTCTTCAGGGTGAGAGTAACGGGGCCAGAAGCATCAGACCAAGTGATCTCGAAAGCCTGACCAGCCTGGACGTTGAAGTTAGTGTTGGTAAGCTGAACAGCCTGGGCCATGGCAGCGAAGCCGGCGACGAGGACGGAGGTGAAGCTCTTCATTGTGACGGATTGGGTTGTTTTTCGAAAATTAAGTGATGAACGAGTGTAGGAGTATTAGGTATCGGACTACTGTAATTTAGCAAAAAAGGTCAACAACGAATGTCGGGAATAGGCTCGTGAGGAAACAAAAGGGAGAGAGACAGGCAACGATGGGAGGGGGGACAGCTGGGTAGAAAAAGGCTTCCTCGTCTCGCGCAGGCGCGAAATTAGGCGAAGTCGAATCAGGGGTAGAGCATGGAAGGGGGGGCGTGTGCGGGTTTGGCAGAGAGGCAGGCAGGCATGCGACTTACATCAATACCTAGACGGGGCTTTTCCTATAATTACTCGCACGCGTTACTGTTGCTGGGGGTGTGCGGATGGATGGTTGGCTTTTGGGACAAAGTAGCACCAGAAGATCAGCAATTTGAATTCTGGGCGTGGTGTGGTTGTGATTCTTGGTTTTCTTCGGTTTTCTTCTTGTGCGCAGAGTGTTGGAGCCTTGGAGGGACGTATTTGTAGCGTGGACCAGGCAAGTTTGTTTGGATTGAGATGGTGATGGAATGGATGAAGTGTCAGGTGGGAAAAGATGGGCGCACTTGAGCTTAAGAGGAGGCAGGAGGTATCGAGGTTGAAACAGACAGGCGCGCGATCGAGCCTTCTTCTTTCCTATCTTCCAATGTACTGCGTAGGTACTTATGGCGACATCATAACAAGCACCCAACGCAGCAACAGCCGGGGACGAACAGCAACCGCGCGCACCTTGAGGCTTCTCGAGGGCGCCGCGGACGGCATCACGGCTCCCACTGGGCGCGCGGACTTACATACCTACCTTACCTTAGAGTACCTTAGGTAGGTGCCTTACCTTGGTCCTCACACTGGTGTGGTAAGCGTTTTAAGGGTGGTACGGTACCTTAGCACCTGAGCAAGTCGCAGGCTATTCGTCGCAAATACACTAAGAGAAGGAAGCGACGACAACGAGCGGGGCGCGGGTACCTTCCCACCTCTTCCAGCAGCCCTGGCAACAGGAGTAGCACTAACTCCCAGATTGGACTAACGTGGAAAATTCTTGGAGGGTACCCCTGTCGCAGAGAGGAACCTGGCGAACCCCAGGAGAAGCGCTAACAAAGACCAAGCTTCAGTTTCTTGTCCTTTGGTTGTTTTTGGTACTGGCCGACGTCCGGCCTGACTTCTTTCTGCTTCTCCCAGTCGCCTCCTCTTCTGCCGTAGAATGCAACGACTGCGCGCAGCAGCTTCAGCTTACTAGTGGTGGCGTTCCAGGTTAGCTGCAAATTTTACCTTTGCTCAATTCACCATACATCCGCACGCCGTCGTCCGGTACTTCATATTCGACCTAAGGCAGGTCAGGTAGGTAGCAACTCTAAGACGACCGTATGGTATTCTTACACAGTACCTAAAGTAGATTTCCTCCAAGCTTACGGATACTCCAAGGCGATGTAGGGCGATGTACGATTTCTTACCTACGCGCGACCACTGGGCAACCCCCCGATGCAGCCGTCAACTCCCCTGGTACTCCTAGCTTGTGTCCCCAGAGTCGCCCAAGGCTCCTTATTGGGCCCTTTTGGCCGGGGCGATGGAAGGATCACGACCATCTCGGGCAACAGCAGGGAACTTGGAAGAGGTCTGGGCCTCAACGGTCCTCGCCTGGGAGTCTGGGACTCTGTCCTGGGACCCAGGGCAGTCACTGGCGTCAATTTGAACAATGCGCCCAGCAATGGCACAATCTTCCACATGCCATGCCATGCCATGCCATCTCGCTTCCCTGCTTTTCAGCCCACAGCAAGTGACACCACGTTGGAGCCCGCTGGAACGGCCCAAGACGCGAAGAGACCCCAAAACCCCCTCGGCCGGTCACTGACTCTCTCACCATCGAATGGGTACTCCGTCCATAGGTAGTACAGATCACACTACCCTTCACTGTACGTCCCGACAAGCGGTGGGTACATTCGTTCTGGGCCGGTAATGGGGAAAGGTTCCTGTCGATCTGGGTCTCTGGAGGCGCAGCAAGGGAGAGTGGTGCGCAGTAGACTTCTCCATCTCGCACATTTCCAACGGCCGCCCTCCTCCGAAGCCCCTTCTTCGCATTGGACTGATTTTGCAGCGGACAATATGGCAAGGGCCCTTTTCGCCTCCCATGGGAATGTGCGAATACTTCTGCTGCTGCCGCTGACGCCCGGCTCAGCCTGCAATTGCGTGCGCAACCAACAGCATCCATCCCTCCACCCTCCCTTCCAGCTCGTGTTCCATTTCTCCACGGCAAAACTTTACTTTCCGCGGACCAGTCACGAGCCGCCTGCGATCCCATCATCAATCCGAGTTGGCAATGACAGCTCAAGGCTCCCCCACCACACTATTGGAGGTGACGACGCCTACGGATGCTGGATGCTCGTGAAGGTGGCTTTTACGAGTGGTATATCTGTCGAGAAAACCTGTGCAGAATGCCCTGTGCTTGTGCATGTGGAAGACTCGAAAATAGCATCGGCACTTACACACCTAGCCTTGATGTGTTGGGACACTTACGTCGTCAATCGTCCGAGATCTGTGCTTCATCTGCAGAGTAACATGCCTGTACGTTCCGTTCCACGCCGTGTTGTGTTTGGGTGGGTGCACCGACATGACTGACGCGCGAGACAGCAGATGAGCTGCTGTTGACATAGTCAAGCGTGTCAAGTTCCTTTTCCTTTGGTTCACCAAGCCACTGCTCTGAAAATCAAGCAATACTGGTGTCCGTACCGTTTCGCAAGGACAGTCAGACGCACATCAATCTGGAATGGGACAATCCCCTAATACTGACCAAGACAGCCTAGGAGAAGGCGTGGCAGGCTACGGATCGCCTGATGAGGATCTACCGAGGGCCTCTGGGGAAAAGATTTCACTCGCGCCTTCGCCCGCTTGATCCGTGCCGCGAGTTGCCATCCCGCCCCATCGGTCCAAACTGCAAAGTCTCGCGGAGGAGCCAGGAGCATACATATATTGCATATATTACCGTCCCATTTGTTGACGCGCCTCGCTGAGTCGCTGCATCCTTTCATATCATCGCGCCAAAGCGGCAATCTCGCTCTCTTTCGGGTGACCGGGGAGCCTCCTCCAGAACGATGAACAAGATGCAACGACGTCAGGCTCGCCGCTCGCCTATGCCAATGGCGTTTTCCAGTTCCCAGTTCCCACCGAGTTCAATTTCCAATGCACACCCCGTTGGGTCCCGTTGTGGAGACCAACATTGGCCAAATCTCCCCAGCGCACGCTACTTCACGGCTTGCACGGTACCTGCATTCTGCGCAATGGTCCTTGCTTCTGGCCTCCAATCGACGGACTCGGACACTAACAGCTCTCGCCTGACGGCCCTGGCCCAGGACTCTCTCATTGGGACCCTGTCCATGCGTATGCGTCCTCCAGAGAGGCTCCACGCCCGACGACGGGAAGCCTGCAGCATCGACAGGGCATCGCCTGGCTCTGACTATGTCGTCCGAACCCGTCAGCAAGTTTGTTCAATATCCAAGTCGTTTATTTACCACGAAATGCAGCTCCGACAGAGCCATCGGCCCAAATCATCGGATACGGCAGCTCGCTGGAACCGGCAGCCTCTTAACCTCCGTTGGGAATACATGCAGGGGTCGCACCCTCGCTCTCTCCGTGATGGGCTTGGCTCTCCATGCTTTGCATATTATCCACCCAAACCACTAACTCCGTACTTGGATCTCGCAGTAGGTAGGTATCTCAACCCTCAACCAGCCGTGCGATGACACTTCATGGCCATGCCATGCTTGGATCTTGGCTTAAATGGAACCAGCCTGCTCGCTCAGGGGGCGTTTCACTCTGATACTCGACTGGAATGGAAAGGCACCAGAACCACGGAGTTTTCCTCGGCTTGACTCAGATGACGCAAGTATACCTCTCTGACGGCGATGATTGGAATGCCGGCCTAGCAGCCATCAGTTCAGGTCAATTCAATCATGCCGTTTCAGCTCATAGCTCGGTCAAAACATCAAATTCAGACTGGGGCGATGAATGTTCTGCAACGCCACAGCCGCGTGCGTCAATCAATAGACGCATTACGTCTCGTTCGCTGAAAACGCTCACCAAACCGTCAATCTCGTAACTTGACCGAAGAAACAGTCTCCCATGAGAATTTACAGGCTTTTGAATGTTGAAAACCAGGCACGCCAGGCCGCTAGCTGGATCGTCCTGGTGTCTTGTGTTCCAAAAGGCTCACAAACCCACATCCATGTGACAGATTGCTATCTTACATCAGCTCAAAGCCTCCCGTGCTTCAGCAAAAGACAACACTCGGCGAACTCACGGCCATTGCCCGACATGTATGCATATATGCTGTTGCGCCGGTCTATCAGTTAACCCAATGGAAAGGGACGAATAGCGTGAAGGGCCGTGGCGGTGGCAAACTCACAAGAGAGGCCTCCTCTCCATGTGGTATGTAGCTTTGACTGGCATGATGTCTATTCACGAGGCGAGCCCAGAGTGCATCGAACGACACCTCGCCGAACACCCTCAGCCTCCTCCTTGACTTGAGTTATCGTTGCTCCTCTTCCCCTAGCCTTATCCACAAAATCATCGAGTGAACCTCCAACGCCAAAGTAAAGCCGCTTCGCTCCAACCAGCGCCTGCGACTGGCAGTTACTACGTTGGCTCTGTTCTCTATTGAGGATGGCAAGGACCATTTCGTTGAAAGCGTCGAGTGCGAAGGGCGAGTAGATGGTTTCCGCTCCAATAAGAAGGGTATCGAAACTGCTGGACCCGTCCAGCTTGGACTGAGTTTCATAGAGAAGATCAACAAGCTCCACTGACCAGCCACCAGAAATGAAATTGAGAGAGATTTGGGAAGACATCAGGAACTCCTTGAATTGCTGCAAGACCTCTGGTGTGAGTTCGAGCTCGTCTCCCATCGCGAAGGCCTCCTCCAGGGCGGGGTTCTGGTCTCTGCGTTCCAGAGCCCAGGCGAGGATAAAGTTAGGCAACGTGACCAGTTGCAAGACTGTCGGGTTGTAGTCGGCCAGGGTCAGCAAAAGTGGCGATCTCGGCGCTGGATTCCTCATGGTCCATTGCAAGAGAGCGAGCGATGGGAGCCCTGTGCCGCATCCAAGCTGCGCATAGGTGAGTTAGCTTTCAATTTGCCACTTAGAATAAGAATCAAAATAAAAATAAAATAAAGAACGCGCGTCAGGTGTTCAGATGCTCGTACCTCGATCACTCGGAGAGGCCGTTGCTTGAGCAAGTCCAAGTATTGGCCATTGGCGAGAACCTTGACGAGGTCCACGCTGCTCTCCCAGCTCTTGAAACCGCCCTCGTAGACGCCCGTCTTGACATCGTGGCTGCCGAGGCCTTCGGCATCCGCACCGTCACCGGCGGCCTCATCCTCGGCCATGAGCTGCACCCGCACGTCCCAGAGCTCGCGACGAGGGATCTTGATGAGGCTGCCGTCGTCCAGGGTGACGTCCAGGGTGCCGAAGGCGACCTTTGAGGGCAGCTTGGAGAGCATGTCCTGCAGGTCGTGGGCGGTGGGCGGCAGCTGGGGTTTGCCGGGCACCGGAAAGGCGCTGGCTGTTGCAGCGGACTGCGGGGTCTCGGGCTCCGGGGCGGGCGCGGAGGCCTCGGCGGCCGGGACGGAAACGGAGTCGTCCTCTATGTCATCGCCGCCGAATCCGAAGGAGAATGATGCCATATTTCTCTTCGAGGGTGGGAGATGCCGCGTGGATTCGCAGGATTTTTGTACGTACCTTTCTGCAAAAGATGAGTGAGTTGGGTACACACGAAAGAGACTATGAAAATGTGGGGGCGCGGGTTCACTCACAGAGTCACACACACAAACACAAAACGAAACGCAGTCTCTTATTGGAACCTCACCGAGGCAAGCTACCTTATCGGGTGTGTTTGTCGAATCGAAAAACCAACGACAACAGAGCTCTTACGCCACTCGAATGACTTGGTGGCTTGCAGATGTGAGAAGTCTTCTGGGGCAGTGAGTCGATTAAGCTTGAATAAAGCTTGCGCTGCTGGTGCCTGTCTGTGGCATGAGTTGGTATAGTCAGGAAGTCAACTGCTTGGATTGGACTCACACCCAGTCCAAGGTTGGGTTCAAGCCGTCGCCACCAGCAAATCTCGGCCAAAACAAAACGTCTTCCTGTTGCTCGCATGTCCAAGGCACCCAGAGAGTTACCAGCTACTAATTGGCCGAGTTGACCATCAAGCCAATCGGCGTCGGTGGCCCAGACTGGGAATGCTTGCTTTTTGTTTGCCAGAAGTTCTTCCCTATCGGCGCTTTATCATTCGAAGACTCTTCTACTTCTGCACCAACGCCGCCCGCCGCATGTTTGGGCACTTGCTTGGTCGCAAAGAGACCAATAACCAGCAACTTCTCAGAGAGGCTCCATGCGGTGCGGCGACTAGGGATGAGGCATCACAACTGAGCGATTGTCTCATATCTATGTACCTGTACAGAGCCACGGAGCCTCCCCTTCGGCCTTGGATCTCGTGCTTACCAGCCCAACACCCATGCCCTGCTGGCTTCTGCGAAGGCGAGGATGAGTTTGAAAGCTGCAACTTTAATAGGCTGAGTGGCGTTCGGGAAAATGATCCGCAGCTGAGCCTATTCCTCCCACGTCTCTGACCGCATCTCTCACGCATGCTCTGCTCTACCCTCTGCGCTTGCGCTTCACATAAGGTAGATTGAAGAAAGGGGGAAAGCCGCAAGCTGAAGAGCCAGCGCCCGTTTTTGGCACATGACGAACCTGCAAGCCGTGGCCGCAGCGGTTCATGGGCTCAGCTACAGATGCCTGCCAGACAGACACGCATCTCCGCATCCTAAAGGCCCGGAGGATCTGGTGCATCTCGAGCTTTGTGCTCCTTCAAATGAGATCTCGTGTCTCAGTGGTCAGCAAACGCGCGAGGATGCCGCCCCCCTCCCGTCATCCCACCATCTCTACCATGCGGCGCCGAACATGCTCACGGCCGATCGACGATGGACCCGGCACTCGCGATTCCTTCTCTCGGCGATCCACTCTATCAGGGTATCACATATCCCCGTTCTTCGGTTCTTTGTCAGCTGGGATGTCGTTAAGGAAATAATGAAGCTGATAGAACGGTCGGCAGCCAATGCATCCTCATCCTCAAGACCGCATTGTCTTTTGCCTCCAGGAAACGGCCGGGGTCAGACCCCTACAATGGCATCTTCTCCATCCGTAGATACGCCCCGGTTTGCGCTCCATATCGCCCCCCGTCCGCGGCACTCACCACGATCCCGCTCCGGCTCCAAGCCTCCATCCTCCAGTGCGGCAAGAGTCGTGATTCGCCACTCACCGTACTTAGATCCATGCCATGAACACCCCTCAGCCCGGTTCTCCCCTCCTCCCGCCGTGGTTGGATGGTTTACGACCTGGTCCAGCCCAGGACCCTTTTCTTGCTAATCGGACCTTGCTTGACCGCAACGAGCTAGCAGACGTGCAGACAAACCATTTTGTTCAATTCTTCTGCCCATGGACCAGCCTTGTTCCAAAGTCGTTTGGATACGTGCAGCCACACCATGTGCCGTTGCACCTGCCAAGATTGATAAACTGCCCGTCGTAAATCGACCAACAATGAGGCCTGGTGCAGACCCCTCTTAGGCTCCTACGACAGGAACCCCCAATTGAGAGGACCCATACCCATTGGCGCCTCTCTATCCGTAGAGTCCACCGTTTTGTTTCATGTGAGCTGTCTCTTTTTCATCATCAAAGTCTATGTAGGTATGCTTCTTGACAAGAAAGCTGTGCTGCGTCAGCTCGTAGTTTCCACACTAAGGTAGTGCGGTTTTTGGTGTAAGTCGCGGAGGCATGGTAAATTTCACCTCGGACTATGCTGCCTGTTACTAAGAAGGACAACGTCTTCTGAATCCCGCTCCAGTGGATTCACTCGTTGCTTCTTCCTCTCTGGCCCATCCCAGGTTGTCTCATCCATTCTGCCATGGTAGAGGCTCCTTTGCAATTATTGGCTAGTCTCCGTGACAGACCGCCGCGCTACACTTGCCAAAAGCCCACAGTCACCCGCCCGCATCCTCTCTTTCAACCGTATCTCCGCCAAGCGAGCAGGAGAAAGGCGCTTGTTCGGAAAGAGATTCCTTGCAGCCACTCGCTGGCGCCTTCCTCGGGACTCAACACCCCTTGGCAACTTCAACTCAGATATAAACCGGTCTCTTCTTCCTCTCGTCTCTGTGCCTAGGCAGCTCTACAGGCATACAAACCGGCAACCTTCACAATGACACGGCAACTCCCTCAACTATCTCGTCATATCGACGCCCAGGGTAGCGGATCCAGTCATCCTACCCGCACCAATACCGCCTACACCGTGAAGGAAGCGCCGTTCGGGACTCCGCAGCCCATTCGCATTGTCGGGATCGGCGCCGGTGCAAGCGGGATCAACCTGATACGCACCCTGAGAAACACCCTCGGCCCCTCGACGTACGAGCTTGTGGTCTATGAGAAGAACGAGAATGTCGGGGGTACCTGGTTCGAGAACCGGTACCCCGGGTGCAAGTGCGACGTGCCTAGCCACAACTACCAGTTCAGCTGGAGACCGAATCCGGCCTGGTCGAGCTTCTTTGCCCCCGCGGCAGAGATTGAGGACTACCTTTGCCAAATATGTGACGATGAGAAGCTGCGGCCCTTTATCAAGACTTCGCATCAGATCATCGGGGCGGCTTGGTCGGAGTCCAAGGCCATGTGGGAGTTGCAGATCAAGAATTTGGGGACTGGCGCCGTCTTTGAAGATTATGCCAACTTTTTTATTGACGCAACTGGTATCTTGAAGTACGTACATTTCCATTGCAGTTGCGTATTATATCAACGTCTGACTTGCCTAGTAAATGGAGATTCCCGGACGTGGAAGACATCGCGCTTTTCGAGGGTACCCTAATTCACAGCGCAAACTGGCCTAAGAACTTTGACTATACAAACAAGACGGTAGCAGTCATTGGGAATGGTGCGTCCGGCGTCCAGATCGTCCCAGCAATGAGACCACGTGAGTATATACCATCCCTATCATGGCGATGCAGCCAGCTCACAGCAAGCAGATGTTAAGAAGCTACACCACATCATCCGGACACCCACCTTGATCATCCCTCCCCGTGTTGCCACAATGAAGATGGGGCCTTCAGCAGCTCTCCTCGACCAAATTGAGATGGACGAGAACGAGCGATTCTCAGCGGCGACGATTGAGAAGTTCAAAAACGACCCGGCCTTCTACAACAAGTTTACAAAGACTCTCGAGATGGACTCCAACATCAAGTTTGCCATCTCTCTCATTGCGGGAAGCCCTCAACAGGCTTGGGCGCTGGGGAAGACTAAGGAATTCATGACGGCGATGCTCAAGGGAAATGAGAAACTCTGCAAGCAGCTGATACCCGACTTTCCCCTCGGGTGTAAGCGACTCACTCCCGCCCCTGGATATCTCGAATCGTTCCACGATCCCCGGGTCTCCCTTCACACCGACGCCATCAAGAGGTTTGTGCCGCAAGGCATAGAATTGGTCACTGGGGATATCCTCGAAGTCGACGTTGTCGTCTGTGCCACTGGCTTCGACTCATCGTTCCTCCCCTCATTCCCGTTAGTCGGTCGACACGGCAACTTGCAGGACGTCTGGTCCGAGCAAACTCCTAAAGCATACATGTCCCTTGCTGTTGCTGGTCTGCCAAACTTCTTCAGTAAGTCGGGATCCCCTTGCACTTACCGCTTCGAAGCTAACCATCCTGCTTGCTGTAGAGTTCCTGGGGCCCAATGCGCCTGTTGTGCAGGGTGATGTCTTTACGCTTAGCGAGCACATTGCCACTTACATCGCCAATACTATCCTCAAATGCCAGACAGAAGGCGTGCGGACTATCGCCCCGTCTGAAGCGGCCGTGGAGGACTATTTTGAGCACATCTCAGCCATCATGCCTCGCACAGTCTTTGCGGGCGGATGCAGATCTTGGTATAAGCAAGGCGAGGTCAACGGCCCTGTGACAGGTCTGTATCCCGGGAGCCGTATGCACTTCATCCGCTTGCTGGAGCGATTTAGGGGCGAGGACTGGGAGTACACGTATGAGAATGCGAAGCAGAACCGATTCGCATACTTGGGCAATGGGTTCACGGCGCCAGAGATGGCAATGCTCAAGGCTGGAGCGCCGCCTTCCTGAATACGGCGTTGGGGGCCGCGGGGACCAACATTGCCTTGTACATAGACAGGGATAGACGGCTGGATATTATACTCAGTGGCATCACTTTCTGGGTGGTTTGCAGGCGTTGATTTCTGGGAAGGGTCTAGTTCTAGGCATGACGGATGATGAAGTCCGATTTGAGTTTTTGACGATTCAAGCGAGTCTAATACCAGAATGGCGTGTGAGACGCCACACAGACAGGAATCACACGTCATCTTTTTGACACCATCATTGCTTTTCCCTGTTGACCCAGACTTGTTGCCTGTGGCTCGAGTCGTCAAGTGAGATCCTTTTTTTCCTCCTCAAGTCGGAGAAGCCGCGGCCTGCGGGAGTCGTCCAATGTCTCGGATGCTGAGCCACTGGGTGGTTGTGTCCAGGCGACTTGGCGCGGCGCACCCGAATGTTGATTACGTTGCTGGGTTGCCCCGTGAATCAACTCACCAGTTTTCCCCTGGTCCAGCTGTGTGATGCCTGTTCGTGCGGAGTTTATGCGGGAGATGCGAGGGCTCCTGATAGGTAATGGCGCTGTCTTGAGTCGTTGGGTTGGAGCCTTGGTTGCGCTGGTGTTGTCTCAATGTAAGATAAGGCTTGTACCGGCCCAAATGGGTAGTATGAATGCCTGTTGGTTCCAGGGCATGTAACTTGAAGGTTGGATTGAAATTGCTTCGACGGAGCAGTTGATATTTGGCTTGATGGATTGATGGAAATGGAACGTGGTCTCCGCCTTGAAGAACGAGTACCATCGAGAGGGCGATAATACTAGTCCATGAGCCTCCAGTGCCTAGCCTTGCAACTAAAGATTTATTTGGCTGGAGATAATGGAATGCTGCACGTAGAATGAAGGCAAGTGATTCAAGACTATTGCTGAACGAGTTACGCTCTGACTTGGCATTATACTGGAACCGGATAACTAGAACGGCTTCGAGTGAATGCGATGGTTTAATGTAGACTATTGACAACTCCATCATCTCGAAACCTTGTGGCTGAGATGTTGGAAAGTAGAGTCTTTGGATTTGTAGTAAGAGGATCATCAAGAAGGCGATAGTCTGTTTTGCAACAGAGACTTCTAGTCCGCCATGTCAGTGTATGCTGGAAGAAGTTGATGAAGATTGGCTTCCAGACTCTCAAGATGTACACATTCAGCTCTACACCCGGTTTCTTCAGGGCGCGCTCACATTGTCCCCTCCTGAAGGACAATTCTTGGATGATATCCTCAGCTGTCGGGGTCCCTGGACATTCTAGTACAGACCTGTGAGTTGCCTTGTGTGAGTTCATACCCGGGACTAGTCTCGGCTTGCATTATCGGTTTCGCCAGACATGGTGGCATGAGTGACGTTCTGGACTCCAGTGTCCCTCTGGTATAGAAACCGGGTACCCTAAAATCTTGGCCATTTGAATAAAGCTCCTGATAACATCTCTCAATGATGGATGTTGTCATTGAGGCAAAATGGACGAAACAGTGAGCTGAAGAGCAACCAGCTTGGCCCTCTACACACTCCGAACTTCCCAGCTCATGTACAGTACTTTCACAAGGCTTTTTCGACTACTTGAAAAGTAAAATTCCAGCCGGGTTGATGGTTCTGCATGAGAAATGGTTGGTTGGCACGTAGTTTGTTGGTTCAAGTCGATCATCATAGCGCCACCCCGTTCAGTGGCCCGACCCGCTCCATAAGGCCGGCGCTTAGAATCATGCACCAACCAATTCCGAGTCTCATCTTCCTCTTGTCTTCTGACTCCTACAGATATCTGATTATATATCTTTCACCCCATTTCTCGATTTTGTGGCGCTTCTCACGAATGCCTTCTCAATGAGATTGTCAAGCAGCATCAATAGTTGCTTCCCGAATCTCGTTCGTAGTCCATCTCATTCTGCCTTTGGTCACGTACGTAGTATGTTGGGAACATGCTGCGCCCCTCCGTTTCAAACAGGGTCTGCAGGAGGGCAGACTGACAATTGCTGCGCGAATGTAACAGTCGCTATGAAGCCTGCCAACTGAGGCGCACATTTGACCACTCCATCGGGTTGCCACAGGTTCTCAGGTTTGCTGCGTCTGGTTACAACTTGACCTAGACAAGTTAACTACAGTAGGGGTCAGCCGATGAAATATGCATGTCGGAAAGTCGGTGTTGGCAGCCAGGATGAGAGTTCGCAGGCCTATTGGTGTGTATGCGGCCGTGTCTGCTCCATATCCTGGCGAGTGCTGGGCGCTTAGCATGCATAATGCATCGAAGCGGATTCCAAAGGAGGCCCCTCTCATGGGCTTGATCTTCGGGCAAGTATCTGCACTGCCCAGATGTTGGTTGGGCGGATTCATTGAAGAAGTGCCGCTGTCCCTCACCTTGGCTCCCTGTTGAGTGCGCAAGTTTTGCATTTGCCTGGCTCGAAAGCCGGGAATCGCTATCCTTATTCACCTATTCACTATTTCTTGTATGGACTTCGTTGTTTCACTCTTGATCGTACACTGCTTGGGTTTTTGTTCTAGATCGTCGCAAGATGAGCGAAGATGAGCCACTCTATCTCTTGTCATTGGGTACGTTGCTCCTTGGCCATTTAGGAGGCCTTATTTAACACAAGGCAGACGGTGGAGGCATCAGAGGGATATCAGAACTCGTTATACTACACGAGATCATGAAGCGGCTACAGAAGGTGGCAGGACTCAGAGAGTTACCCAAGCCTCAGGACTATTTCCATTTGATGGGTGGCACAAGTACTGGGGGGTTAGTTGGTCTTTCCAATACACCGTGTTGCAAACTTCCGCTAACAGCAGATCATTGGAAAGACTCATTGCCATCATGCTAGGTCGCATGGGTATGTCGACTGAGGAAGCCATCAACGCATATGAAAGTTTTGCAAAGGACGTTTTTCGAAAGAAGAACCGCAGGCGGTGGTGGAACAGAACTTACAAAGAGGAAACACTCGTCAAGATCATACAAGACAATGTAACCAAGAAGAAGCTTGCAAAGACCACGATGCTCGACGACACGAGGGAAAGTGGGCTCGCTTTTGTCTGCGCAGCCACGTATGACGCCTACGAAGCCTACCTTTTCCGAACATACAAAGGGAGCAGCAACTGCGCTCACAATGTGGAAATTTGGGAGGCGGCAAGGGCAACATCAGCGGCACCGACATTCTTCCACCCAATCTCCATCGAAGTCGAGTCGGAGAGGGACCAGTACGTCGACGGTGCTGTGACCTACAACAACCCGGCTCGCCTTGTCTTGAGTGAGGCCGAGTCCTACTTCGGTCCGAGGAGGACATTGGGCTTTCTTCTCAGCTTGGGCACCGGACTGAAAGTCTCCGATAAAAAAATCAATGTGGTTCCTCAAGGACAGCTTGTAGATCGCCCAGTCGTGGCCAGGCAAGGCAGCGGCGCCCTCTTTTCAAGAGGCACGATAAAGATTCTCAAGCATGCCAAAGCATCGCTGACTGATTCCGAGCCCGAGCACCAAGCCCTAGAGCAACGGTTCCAGAAAACAAACTACGCATATTGGCGGTTGAATTTGGATCGGGGTGCTGCAGATATCAAGCTGAATGAATATAAGAAAATGGGGTTGTTGCGGGCGGCAACGGAGAGGTACTTACAAGACATTGAAGTCTCTACCAGCATCGACAAGATCGTCAGCATGTTGCACAAGAAGGAGGGCGTCAACCTATCTCTTGATGCCGCATGTAAGTTTCCTCACCAAGCTACTCTGCTACGTGACTGACTCGCATTAGGTCATGCAGTATCCGACGCAGCCTCGAAGCAAGCCGTTCAGCAAGAGGTTCAGATCAACAGTATTGCAAGCCCGCAATTCACTGGCAGATTAGACATACTCAACAAGATGGAACGGCACTTTTACGAACGCCCCTCCGGATCTTCACCCAGAAGACACCTCAGAATTTGGGGCATGGGAGGAGTCGGGAAGACGCAGATTATCCTCAGATTTAGAGACTTGTACGGGTCGAGGTAGGTGGCACGACGTTCATCTCCATAATTTTCTTACTAAGTCCGCGTATTTCAGATTTGATCGGGTGTTTTGGATTAACGCCGCCACGCAAGATTCTATCTTCGAGAGCTTCAGACTGTTAACAGCTGAGATTTTCGACGAAGAAGCTAGCAAGCCTAACATCAAGAGAGTCCAGAATTGGTTAGCGCAAAATCAAACTGAAGAGTGGCTTCTAGTCTTCGACAACAACGACACAGTCGACGTGAGCAACTATCTCCCTCCGGGAAACACTGGAAATATTCTTTTCACCAGCAGACGGAAAGACATGTCACCTACTTTAGACGCCGACCAGACATTCCCGGTCGACATTATGGACGCAGAGGATGCAGTCACCTTATTGCTTCGCGCCTCAAAAAGACAAAATACAAGTTTCGGGGATGATGAAGACAGACACGGAAGAGCAATCGTTCATGAGCTTGGATATCTCCCGTTGGCCATCGATCAGGCCGGTTCCTATATTTACAACCAGGAGTGTTCATTCGAAAAGTATTTCGTCACTTTCCAGAAACGCCGAAAAGATATTCTAGGAGACCCTGTGTACCCGGGAGTCTTTGAGCATAATCCCGCTGTATATGGTACATTTGAGCTCTCGTATGTGGCATTGGAAAAGCTGTCACTGAAAAACCATAGCCCAGGGCGGGCTGCCTTGAATGCCCTTCGAATCCTCAACATCTTCTGCTTCTATCATAATGAGAAGATCACAAGTGCGATTCTGGGGAGGGCAGCAGTTAGCAAAAGGAGGAATCCCGATCGCTTGCGTGGCGAAGGGGGCGACAATGGCATTGGGCCGCTTCCGCTGCTCAACACTACAGGAGAAGGCGATTGGGATCCAACCAATTTCGAAAATGGCATCGCGATGCTGAGAAGCTATTCCCTGATCAAGAGGTCTGCTTTGGTCGGGTGGTGGTATTCTATGCATGTTTTAGTGCACTCTTGGGCCAGAGACCGAATGAAGCCCACTACTCTCACCATGCAACGCAGAGCAGCTGGCGAGATACTCTATCTTACGATTCTGAGAAATAACAGCTTCGACTCAGAGCTCTTTCGCCCCGAGGTGCTGCCGCATATGCAGGCATGTTTCGAGCACGGGAACCTAGAGTTCATGAAGTTGACAGGAGAAACTCACAGGGAAGGTGCATTCTCAGGTGTGCTTATGGCCCAGGGACTCTGGAACAAAGCTACAAAGGTCTTGGAGGAAATCGTTTCCGCCAGCCAAGAGATATTCGAGCCTCAAGAGATTGATAGCATAGCGGCCTCATGGGATCTGGCGAGGGCCTACCGAGATTCCAGCAGGCTAAAAGAGTCTCAGGCTCTTTTCCAAGATATTCTACAATTGCTTGCGGACCACCGTGAGTCTAAGGCCGCGTGCCGCCATCATCCTCGCATTGGCATCGACCTGGTCGAGGTGTACATTATCCAAGCAAGATACAAGGAGGCCAAAGATTTGCTAGCTATACTTCTAGAATTAGGGGAGCAAGTCGGGCGAGACGGGGCCTGGTCCGGGGGCTGGTGGCGCAAAACTGTGAGAACGCTTGCAACCATCTTCCGGATGGAGGGTAATGCTGAGATGGCTTACCCTATTGACCTTGATTTCTTACGGTATTGTGTGGAAAACAAGATCCATTCTCTTACAACGGCGAGCGCATTGAGCAATGTCGCCGCGTCGTGTTCAGCCTTGGGGGACCATATTGAAGCGGACCGGATTTGGCGCGATGTCCTTGCCATGGAAGAGGGACGGGAAAATAAGTCCAGGATCTTGCCAGCAAAGCGAGATGTCGCAACTGGGTACGCGAACCTGAATCGGTTTGAAGAGGCAGAGAAAATCTTGCGTGAGGTTCTTGAAGTGAGCGAGAACTTTCTTTGGAGGACGCATCTCGATACACTGGCAACGATGGACCAGCTGGCGGGTGTATTGGCTCGGTGTCACAAAACAGAGGAGGCTGTCCAGCTTTGGGAGGAATGCCTAGATGGTTGGGAGGATATTCTGCACAAGCAGCATCCTCTCAAGCAGAGGACAAGGTGGGCGTTGGAAAAAATAAGGAATGGCGATACCGGCCTCATGCAAGAGGATTTCCAGGCCGGTGGCATCATGTTTTCTGGAGGATGCTATTTCGTACCTAAGGAGGTGCCAAACCGGGATCGCCGTTTGCTGACTTGGATTCCATCATCAGAGGTTCTTGAGCCCCTCTTACCCCCCGAACTAGAGGAGGACGTCAATGCGCGAAATCCAACGAAAGGCGCCAAAGTGTAAATGGCAAAACGAAACGGCTCTTCATTCAATTGGACTTCTAAGCCGGGACAACTCGCGGGTGACCGGGACAACTCGCGGGTGACAGGATTGACTATTGCCGTTACACATATGTAGTATGACTTCTCGGTTCTTGTACAGAGCACCTACCTCCTTCATGCTTAACTGTAATGAAGTACATACTGTGTGCAATGCTCGTCACAAGGCACTGTATGGGTCAACGAAATGGGTCACCTCGTTGACGTCCTATCAGAAAATGGTGATTTGCATGACGGAATATCTAAACATCATTTGCCAGTATCTTGAACAACCAGCAACGGGGTGGCCATTATCCGTTCAATTGAAAGTAGGAGAGAGGTATTGAGTTTTAGCGTTATAAGTCACATCGATCCACGACTCACTTCCCAGTGAGCTCATCGCAGCCTCCCGACCCGATAAATTTCATCACCGCCAACCCGTCACCAATGCGGTCTGCATCAGTTTTGAGAATGGCCTCGGCCTCCGTCTCAAAGGGAAACGGCCTCAGGCCCACGCCGATGGCCCTCCTGCCCCCTATCCCGCTATACCGTCGTCTTCTACGCGCTCACCGCAAGCATCTTCCTTCCGAGATGCGCCTACTGGGTGACGAGTACATCAAGGCTGAATTCCGTGCTCATCGCACAGTAGATAACCCGGCGCACCTGGTATGTCCTCTGCTTTGGTAATGGCATAATTATGGGAATCATTCTTTACACGAGAGAACTGACTAATAATTCCTTCGAAATGTGCTAGATCGGTTTCTTGACTGAGTGGCAATTATACGCGCAAAAGATCGAGGGCAACTCGTGGGTTGGCGAGAAGATTGACCCTGTCAAGGTTGCCAAGATGAGTGGTGAGTTATCCCTCCAATGATTTCTTTCGTGACTTCGCAATGGCCGACGACTCATTTCCCTGTTAGACGAACAAATCGGTCAACTTTATGAGCTGATGCAGGCCATCAAAGAACGGCGTGAGTCAGGGGAAGGCGAGGATCAATCATGATGTCGCTGCGTTAAGGAAGGAAAGCACCGTCATTGTCAATGATGCGAGATGCGCGACTTATGCGCGTTTGTATTAACACCTATGTAAATTTGTACCCTTTGCGCAGCATCGTAGTCATCTTTCAGTGCCCCTCAAACGCCTCGACAATCCAGTCGGCCTGGATGATGCTTACTTTCTTAGCATAGTTTTTCTGCGTGAAGACATGCTCAAGAAACATGATGGCCTCCTTCTTCTGCCCGTGTAGCACACTAGACGGGTGAATGGCCACAACGTGCTTGCCTTGTGACGTGACGTAGCTCGCATCCGGCGCCAGTATGGCCGTCTTGGACACGAAGCCGCGGAGGAAGCATTTGAGCAAAGCTTCGGCCTGTTCCGGAGCCAGAGGAGTAAAGGGCTGGGGGTCAGGTGGTGGAGCCTCTGTAAGGAGACCTTCTTTGAGGCAGAGGCTGCGCAGTTGCCTGCGGATGTTGAGCGCTGTCTTCATGTTGCGAATGTTGACCTTTCTCTGCTTGCACCACTGTATGCGATCGGCGTTCTCGGCGGCGTATTGTTGCATTGTAGTAAGATATGTTAGGATGTCGCCTTCCCGGCGGTAGAGCTCCTTGCGAAGTTCTTCAATTTCTTCGCGTTGTTCTTCCGACTGCAGCTGATGGAAGATGTCGTCGCCAGACGTGATGCAGGAGATGACGTCTATCGTCTCTAGGACGCAGTCGAATTCTGGCTTGGCGGAGGCAAGCAGGACCGCACCAAACGCCGCAGAGATGGGAAATCCGGCCATCTTGCGGCCGGGCTCAGTGATTGTGCCGTCGTCTGCCAAAGCACCTAGTCCATGAAGGCTGACTAGTGCTCGTTCGATGGCTTCCACATCCGGGGTGTCCATAAGGGGAAACCCGAGAATGTCATCAATGCCTCGTGCTTTCATCGTCAAGACAGCTCCCAGAACATCGATCCTCAGGATCTCTGGCAAGTCTGTTTCCTCGAGTGTACTGAATGTGCCTTCAGTGTATAGCCTGAAGCACTTGCCAGGGCCTTCACGACCAGCACGGCCTGTTCGCTGGATGGCGGAAGACCTGGAGATAGGTTTTGCTAGTAATGATTCCATACCGAGGCGAGCGCGGAATTGCTTAACCTTGGCCTTGCCGCCGTCCACCACGTAACGTACACCGGGTACGGTGACGGACGTCTCAGCAATATTGGTGGCTAGCACAATTTTCCGCGTGAAACCTCCCTTGACAGGCTGGAAAGCTGCGTGTTGTCCTTCTATCGAAAGCTGGCCGTACAAGGGTAGAACCTTGATCTTGGGAACGTTGGAGGCCAATGTTGCGGCGTACTCCTCGAGGAGCGACTGCGCGGATTCGATTTCCTCTTGTCCGGTCAGGAAAGCAAGAATGTCGCCAGGAAGCGGCTCTTCCATGTGGATTTTGAAAATCGTCTTCAACAAAGATTCCTGGATATCCGGCACCGGTTGGGGAGTATGTATCGTCTTGACCGGGTACTGCCGGCCCTGAATTTTCAGTACTCCAACAGAGTTGCTCTTCTTGCTGACCAAGTCGTCACTACCGCTTTTTTCTTCAGGGCCATGCACAGAGAAAAAGCTTTGAATGCGCTCAACATCGGCTGTGGCACTCATGACAACAACCTTCAGTGGTATGCCGCCGCGGCCCTTCCTGCTACCAAGCAGGATTTGCTTAAGGAATCCGGACACCAGATCCACGTCAACACTTCTCTCGTGGATTTCGTCAACGATAACGGCGCTGTATTGTTTCAAATCTGGATCTCTCAGAAGCTCCTGAAGAAGCATACCTTCGGTGAGGAACTTGATCTTCGTGCCCTTGGGGACCTGGTGATCAAAACGAACTGAGTATCCAACTAGTCCGTCACGGCTCTCACCGAGAGGCGTCCCAGCCTCGCGAGAAACTCGATGCGCTAAAGTCGTGGCGGCTACTCGACGTGGTTGTGTGACTGCGATCATGCCACCGACACTGACTTCTCTTGCCCCTGCGATACTGACAATTTGTCTCCTACACCACGGCTCCCTGACCAAGAACTGAGGTATTTGAGTACTTTTTCCGGAACCAGTTTCACCGACAAGAAGGAGTACATCATTATGGCGTACACGAGCTTGTATCTCTTCTCGGTGTGCCCAGATGGGTAACTTTTGCCTGATCTTCAACAAGGCAGGATCTTCTCTCCATCTTGGGCCTCTTTTGTCAAATTTTGGCCTGTCTCGATCCTGGGATGTCTTCGACGAATGCTTGATGAAGGTCGGAGCTGTTTGGTGCGAATCCTTTGAATCTTTGACTAATGCGTCTGACGTGGCATCAATTTCTGTCTCCTGAACAGACCGCAGCTCTTCCGTTGGACGTTGTTGAACTTCTGCTTCTTTTTTCTTTGCTGGGGGGTTGAGATACCCCTCGAGAGAAATTACTTTGTTGCCAACCTTGATCGTGTTTTTGCCATCAAGCTTCCGCTTTTTGGGGGCGCGTTCAGCGTCCAATACAGATGACATGTTGAGGTTGCTAACAGAGTTTGCGATGTTTTGTGTAATCAGCGGATAAGTGAGAAATTGACGGGAGGAAAGAGGAAGAAATTTATGGGGAGACCGCTGGGTTTGGGTTCACACCAGGTGAGTTTCTGTTTGGATATCTACCCCAGATTTACACAGGGCACCTGACATAGGTACCTGACCGCCTCATCGCAATGGTCGCAACGTCTCCTCCAGAGCCTCTTCTTAAATAGGATAGTTGAAATGAGAAAATTGACAGAAATCTGTTAAATACATAAGTGATGGTAGCCTGTAGTTGATTCTAAATTGGCGAAATAAATACTCCCGTCAAGTCGCCAAACTGTAACCGACTTTGCCCGTATACATCATGCTGGTCAGACGCCCAGCCTCGAAGATACTGTGTTCCAATTGCAAATTGCGTCACTTTGTTCGCTCTCAAGCGTTTCCCCTCACCCGTACCGATACAAGTCGCTTGCTTGCTCCCGCCTTCTCATATAGTGAGGCTAGCCTGCCGACATTCTCTCGTCGACACACAATCTTCAGTCAAACAATGACGGACCGCTACAAGCTCATTTACACCGTGCCAGGTTCGGTCTGCCTAATATTATCGAACAGAAACCAAAGCATGCTGACTTCCTCCTCTGGCATTCCAACAGCTTCCCACTTGGTCGCTACCAAAGACGCCGTCTTCGAAACGGGTGCCGGTGTCTACGACCAGGGCAAATATATTCAAGTGGCCTTCGAACTTACTGGCCAAGGCCAATTCAGGCCCGTAGCGGCAGCTGGGGCAAACCCTCACACAGGCGCAGTGGACCAACTTGAGCGAGTCCTGGAGTACCGAGTCGAGATCCTATGCTCTGACATAAATATTGCGAAAGCCGCTGTGGCAGCCCTCAAAAGGTATCAAGTCTAAACTTCAAGGTTCTTCATGTGTTCGATTGACAATATGCTCTCTGTAGCGCACACCCTTACGAAACCCCGGCCTATGAAGTCTACAAGTTGGAGGACATTTAGTTGCCGACCAGCTCTTCTTTGTCACTTTCTGGGCATTCTCAGGAAGAGGATAGTCGGTGGAATTGGCTCCCGACCGTTCACCTGATGCGGTTCAGACGCTCTCTGTTCATCCTAACTCCGTCATCGACAGCGTCGCTCTGGGAAATGTGATTAGCATCAACACAGAACATGAATAAAATTTAGTGATGAACTCACCTTCTTGGCAATATTGTCGATGAGAACAGTCTGAGAATCGATCTCTCTTCCTAGAGCGCGCGCTGCTAGTTGAATACGCCCAGTCGAGCCGCCAAGTGCTCTGATATTTTCGTCAATCATCCTCTCCTCCTCCCGTGCTTGAGCGGCGGCCTCCTCGTCACTACTATCATCGTCTAATTCGAATTGGGACTTCCCTGCTGGCTTGCTTTGTTGTTCCGCCCCCTTTTGAGGACGACCAGACAGCGACATCTCCCTGAAGGTATCTTCCATTCGCTGGTTGGACTTGAAAGCCTCATGTCTGGTTGCCTCGCGAACTTCGCGCTCTTGGCGGTGTCGGTCGAGAATCGCCGCATCTCGTTCTGCCGCGCGCTTCTTAGATGTGAATGGGTTGGCGATGTGAACTGCAAACATGCTTCCGTTGGCGGTTTTCAGCTCCTTGGCACCCTCCTCCGCCTTCTTGTTGTGGTTTGCCGCTATGTCCATGTTCCTTTCTGTGTTATGCAGACGCTCGCCTTGAGCAGCAAGCTTAGCAAGAGATGCATTGGCTATGTCCTCAATATTGCTCGCATTTTGACGCATTCTTTGGGTGGTCTGAAGAGACTGATTTCTGACATCCTTGATCTGTGCCTTGGTAGCGCGGTATTCTTCTGCTTCTTGCTCTTCGGCTGTGAGCTCGCGAGTGGCTCCATATCCGCCGTATCCCCCATCAGCACCAGACGGGGTCGATTGGCCGTACCCTTCAGCCGGCGGCTTATTCTGTTGGTATCTGTTTTGAGCCCCGCTGAAAAGTTCGTCACGCACAGCATCGGTGCTGTCACTGTTGGTTCGGCCCAAGCCTCCGTAACCTCCGGGTCCGCGAGCTCCACCATTAGCACCTGATCGCTGATTCGCGCCGTAGGCGTTCTGGTTGTCGTCGTAGCGATTCGCCCCGTATCCTCCTGCGGCGCCGTACTTTTCGTTCCCGTAGCCACCGGCAGGCTGTGGCGGGGCACCGTAGCCACCACCAGCCCTCGGGCCGCCAGGAAGGCCGCCGGGGGCATCACCATTGATGGGCACTCCGGCTCGTGCTCGTTGATAGGGTGTCATGCCGGCGTACTTATTCGCATCCTGTGCGTAGGGATCGCCGCCAGCCGGAGCTTGTGCGTAGGGATTGTCGTTGCCCGGAGCAGGAGACTTGCTCTTTCGGCCGAAGAGGGCGGAGCGATTGGCATCGTCGCCTTCGTCGCCGCCTTTCTTGCCGAAGCCGAACTTCTTCATGATGAGGAGCGATAGAGTGGAAAACTTAGGTTTCGTCGGGTTATGGTAAATGTGTTGGTACAATTGGATTTGTTCTAGAAGGAAGCAAAACACAACGTGCCGCTGAAGGTTTGTCTAAGGGAACAGAACGTAAGGTAAAGGAAATGTATAAAAATAAGGAGAAGTCAGGTCGTGGAGGGACAGCACCGTAGATGGCTAGATGCAGGAGGTACGAGCAAGGGACGGGCAGTACCAGCGGGCCCAGCGGGGACCCAGCGGGGTTGGACAAGGGGCGTCCAGTAGCAGCTTAATGTGGCAAAATCGGGCCCGTCTTGGGTGTGTTTCGAAGGCGAACGGAAGTGCCCCCCTCAGGCTTCAGGGTCTAAGCCATAAAACATTCGTCAGGCTTCTAATGGTTTGGACCTGACTTGGGGAACTGGGCTTGGGCCAGCGACGACCCGAAGCGCAGCGAATCAAATATGCAAACTGCCTGGGTCAGGCCTGGGTTCAGTGTTGCGGGCTGCGGCAATGGAGAAGACATTATCCTGCTCAAGTCATCGTGGCCGTTCCAGATGACAGGGAATGAGTTAGCCACCCAGGTACTCCGTACCGACATTTGAGTTGGGGTACGGATCTCCGTACACGCTCCGTTGACAATCATATTATGGCGCAAGGAGCGGGCTATACAATGGTGGTGGTCATCATCAGCCTATAGCAGCTCTTCGTGCTCGACTCAGCCTTGAGTCTAGCGCTGGAATCATCGCTTTTCCTTGGTCACTCTTCAGCTTACTGCGTAATCCGGATGTGTTGTCTTAGTGCCGCAACCAGACTCGGTATTAGATGGCATTGGGCTGAATGCCTAAGCCGGTCGCATCTGCGTATACCTACCTTACCTAGATAATGTATCCGTGCTCTGTGGTTTTCCCACAATTTGCCATGCGCATCTTATCTAAGCATATGGCCAAATGTGCAGTAACATTATTGCTTATGCTCTGTGAACGTGGCATTATGCGCTGATTACCTACTCTTTCCAGGTAGCAAGGAGATGAAATTAGGACTGATTTCCGAAGCAAATGAGTCCAGCCTCATCTGGGAGAATGGTTCTGCGGAGTACTTTGACAGTGTCTGTGCCTAGCGGCCAAGCGAATGCAGCCGTGCAAGACCCTAGGTGCATGTGAATGCGGCAAGACACGTTGGCTCTTCTACCATGTTCCGATAGACTTGGAGATTCGTACCTCAAGTTGGTGCAAATGTTTGCTTGCAGGCAGTGGTTATTTTCATGCTGTACCGGATCCTCGGGTATGACAAGCCAAGGTACGGAAGGGGGGAACAAAGATAACCTGACGGCTAATATTAGGTAGGTAGGGAGATTTATTGGGCCACTGACACAGGTACCCACGGTACCTTACGTAAATACGTACAAACCTGACTGGAGTCCCAAGATTCTACGCATGGCGAATGACTGAGTTATCTTAGAAACAGTACCTACAAAAAGAGGATTGCCTACTTGTTATTCAAAACTAATGGCAAGACTGGCTTTGTCATAGCTAGCCAAGCCCAAGACCAACAATGCAGGAGCTGAACAGATCTCAACAAGCGCAGGTGGAAGAGTTGATGAGCACGTTGGCATGAGTGAGTCTACTTCAGGTACTCGCAGCGTAGACAAGTTCCGAGGTCCTTGAGTAGAGTCGTCGCTAGGGATACTTTGATGCAATTCAACGCTGTGGAGTGTAGACTCATGGAGTCATTCACCGGCGGCCGGTAGGCGGCTGCTATACCTTATGGTGCCCCATGGTCGCTGGATAAGCTGGTGGTGGAACACCCGGACTTTCCCCGCCCGGAGGCTCCACAGTCGAGCCACTCAGAGAGGTGCCACGCGGTGGCAACAAAAGATGGCCGGGTTTGTTACTGCCACTGCACCAAAAAGCGGCCATCTTTAGTTACCACCGCGTGGGTGCTAAGGCAGTGTCCCATCTTGCCATCTTACCCAGCAGGGTACCTTAGTTACTTTGAACTTGACTTCCGGCCAACTGCGTCACACCTCGGCTGAGACCTCTCACCGTCCTTCGAGTCATTGCTTCGGCCAGACTGCAGCGTCAAAACTTATCCATAGCCTCTCTCTGTCCAAAGCCTCCAATCTTTGAATGCACTTGCAAACTTCCACACCACAAATATCAGACACAGCTGCGCATAGATAACGATCGCCATGGCCTTCAACTAGGAATCCAATTGAGATTCCTCCCCGTCACTCCAAAGTCAGCAACAGCGCCTTGAGCACGTCGCAGATATCACCACTCAGCTCAGTTATCAAAATGATACCGCGCATAGCGTTTCGTTCCTCTGCCCTTTTTACTGCAATAGCTCTTCAAAATCGGCGTTGACGTTCATCGCGAGTTTGTTTCTACTCGATATCACGCGCTTGACAAACTGCCAAACATTCGCCACCACACTCCCCATCCTATCGCCACCCTTGTACTTGAACCATGGCTTCCGGCTCAATATTCACATTCGATACGGATCCTCAACGGGTCTCATCCCCATGGCTGGCTCCTGAAGACTCTGGGAGGAGGTCCAACTCTGATAGTGGACAAATCCAGCCGGGGCACCTCTCGGACTACGGCGTCACCAAATTGGAAGCAGAGCCGCAAGAAGGTCCCACTGAATATAAGCTTCACCTCTTATTGCGGCCAAGACGGACATACACCGCTATGAGCACCATATCTTCCACCCAGAACTCCAGAATTCCCGCCAGCCGCTCAAAGATTGCAACTGCTGCCCTGTCGGCCTCTAGTCAGAGCCGACAGGTCCGCCTACAACAACTGACTACGCAATTGCTTTGGAGGCTCCAGCAATCATGTGCCTACCATGCTCTGAATCCCAAGGACCTCATCATACCAAAATTACCCGATGATACGGACGACTTGAGCCTGGCGATGACTCCGCAGAAACCTCTCCCAGGCTTGGAAGAATCTCGTGGAGCATTGTATGAGATTGGTGTTGCTGATGACGGGACTTTGGTGGGGCTTACCAAAGACGAAATGGACGAGAGCATCACGACACTCAAGGTCATGGCAGCCACGCTGGGCTGCCGCGTCGAAATCCTACGCCATGTAATTGTTGGCGAGTGCGAGTGGCTAGAGACGTCCGAGTTGGTGGATAGTGTGGCCACTCAACCTGCCCAAATTGCCCGACAAGCAAGACTCTGGGTTGTAGAGGCTCTCGTTACTCCCGACTACTCAATGAAGAACGGGCACCCAGATGGCTCGGCAGAGGGGCGTCGCGAAGTGAAAGAATCGCCAAGGGCTACCGAGTCTGTTGTGCAACCAAGCAGAGGGCGCTCTACCACGGATCAGCTAAGGATAACGCTCACTGGACCAACAACGTCCGGGAAATCTACTTTGCTGGGTACTTTGTCCACGGGCACTGTCGATAACGGACGAGGAAAAAGCCGGATCAGTCTCTTCAAACATCGGCACGAGGTCGCATCTGGGCTTACTAGCTCTGTAGCACAGGAGCTTATCGGCTACAAGGACCGCGCCATATTCAATTATTCGCAAGATCACGTTGAGTCGTGGATTGATATACACGACAGTGCTGAGAATGGTCGCTTGGTTTTCGTTTCCGATTCCGCCGGCCATCCCCGTTACCGCCGGACCATTCTCCGTGGTTTGTTCGGCTGGGCTCCACAGTGGACTATTCTCTGTCTGGCGGCAGACGATACTGACGCGAGTTCGACAAAAGACGGAGCGAGTTCTACCGCCAATGACGTCCTTGGAGTCGCAGGGGCTGGCGTGGATCTTGCCAAAGCTCATCTCGAGTTATGCCTAAAATTGAAGACTCCTCTGGCTATCGTCATCACAAAGATGGACCTTGCAACCAAAGCTAGTCTGCATCGAATTCTTGGACAGCTCTTGACACACATCAAAGCAGTCGGCAGAGTCCCCAAGATCCTCCAACCAGCTCAAGGCAGTGTTCAGGAATGGACAGCTGTTCCTTCAGCAGATCTCGACAAGGTGAAGGCTGTCACCACAGAGATGGATCGGGATGGAGACCTCCTTAAATTTGTTCCAATAATACTTACCAGTGCTGTCAGCGGTGCTGGTATTGGGATGACACATGCCCTCTTGGAGAGCCTCCCCCTGCCACCAGTCCCTACTGCCAACGACTACGTCGGGATGGCATTAAATCCCGAACAGCCGTCGTGCTTGTTCCACATTGACGACACTTTTAGCCTTCCGGCGTCCTATGCTTCTCTTGCTGAGAATCCCGATCAGAATGACATGGGAACGGTTGTATCCGGATACCTACGTTTTGGCCAGCTTTCGGTCGGAGACAGCATCATTGTTGGACCATTTCCTTCCGGCGAGGACGACTTCAAAGGCATGACACCGGAGGACCGGGCCTCTCCTGGCAATTATGGGTTGTCAATATCTCACCCATCGTCGGCAGAACTTGCCAAGATTGCAATTCGCAATACAGTGGCAGCCTCCACAATCCAAGGAGAATGGCACAAAGCAAAAATTGTCAGCATACGTAATTTGCGGCTCCCCGTGAACACACTTGAAGCTGGTCAAGTCGGCACCATTGGGATCGTCCTGGAAATGCCTCAAGAGAAATCGGCTGAAGCGGCTTTCGAGACACCGTTGGCAGCTCCTCGAATCCGGAAAGGCATGGTCCTGGCCATTCCATCCAAACATATGGCGGACACCGGCATGTCCCTCCAAGCAGCTAGTGGACTTACGGTGTCATTCAGAGACCCCAACACTGCATCGCTGGCGTATGGGTCTCTTGTTAATGTATACGTCGGTAGCGTTCGGGCGGCGGCCCGAGTCAAGGGTGTTTCCAAACTTGCCTTAAGGAATGGCTCGAACAAAGCCAAGCCCGAAGAGACTGAAGATATCTTCGACATGAACGAACATGACGAAGCAGCCCCTACATATGATCTTGAGTTCTCGGGCGGCGTTCAGGTTACATTGGAGCTGCTAACCAGTCGAGAATGGGTCGAAATGGGCTCTCAAATCCTTGTGCTCGAGGGAGGCCGCAATGATAGATCTGGTCTAGAGGGCTTCGTGGGAACTGTCGTCGAGATTGTGGACTGATTTTATTCTTGCGTTTTGCGTTTACGTTTTGCGTTTGCGTTTTGCGCAGGAATTCTGTTTTGATCAGATTTTATAGCGGCGTTGTTGAGCATGTTACCACATCCTTCACTTATATCGTTATACCAGCGTTATCATGTTTATTTTCAGATTATGGTTCTGCCATGATGTATACCTGTGACTAGACGCATATGCTGATTCCCCAACGCCTGACGCCAGAAATGCCCCCTTGACTATCCGTATTTGATTATGCCCTCACCAAACCGTAGAACAACGTCCAAGTGAGAATGAAACCAGAAAGACCTCCGAGCAGCCCACTCGTCCAGAAGTCGAACGGCCCCTTAAAGTAGCGGCTCGTGCTGAGGAATGGAAGACCTGCTGATGTCGATTCGGGAGCGATGCGCAGAACGTAGAACAAGGCGGCGGTGATGAAGGAGAAGACGAGGTAGAAGAGGAAGCCGCTGTACGATTCGAGACCGAGGATGCCGGCCGCGACACCAAAGAGGGATGCTGAAAGACTCTGCAAGTTTGATAGGGTCTGCAGAAGGCGCGATATGGTTAGCGACAAAGATTACGTCGGCCATTGAGGTCAGTTCCCGGGACCTATCCCACCTTGGTGTTGTGCATCACGGATTCCTGCACAATGGGGGAGATTTGGTAGTCGCGTTCCGACGGCATCGTTGCGGTATTGCTGGTATTGGGTGCACGTATATCAGGTCGCCGGAGAGCTCGTGTATTATCAGGGGGCAACGGGAGGTCTCAGGTCTCGCGGTCGTATCTTTTCCGTCGGCGATGCACTTCGTGTTTGGAGGGTCTATAGACTACCTTAGGTGGTGGTGTCTGGGCTGTTCTGTTCATTGAGCTCTTCCGTCACAAAGCGGGCCACGGATTAGGTAATGCTAGCTTCCAATCGAATAAGGTATGGTCCGTTGGGGTTTTGGCAGGTCACTGGCTCACTATGATTCCTTACCTAATCCTGCGAAGGAAAAGTTGGAGATCGGTTGGCGGCATGATAATTTTCCACAGCAGCTAGGTACCTACCTGCCCATCCAATCTTGCGTTAGTGTCCCCAGATCGGTGGGTGGAGAGTCATGTCGGTCTCGGCTCCGCCCCGTGTCGTCCCATCCAATGTACCAAAATTAAAAATATGCAAATAATAATCCCCAGGTACGCAATACGTGATGCACAAGCCACATTCTCGGTGCGCAAAACCTCACCGCGACACCGTTAGAACGCTCCGTTAGCTGGGGCAGATCATATGCAACCACCCCACCGAGGTTCCGACTTTGTACCCCTAGCACCTTAATCGGTTACAGGGGTCCAGTTTCCTTCCCCATTCGCGAGCGGGCTGGTCACTCTCGGGTCGGCGCTTTGAGCGAACTCTCCCTTCCCCCCTGGTGAGCCCTCCGCAATCACAATACGTATCCGTACTCCGTACATACAATCCGTATATATCCCCCGAAGCACCGTCTGCCTACTAGAGAGTAGCGTTTGCTCATGTTTTGCGTTTCCCTTAAGTCTCTCAATCGTTAGTCAACTACAACACCTCAACACCCCTCAAACCGTTTACGATCCCACGACGCAGCGGACAGCGCGACGACTTGGGGCGACAGATGGCCGTGCTGCTTGCAGGTGCCTCCTCGATACTTGCCAGGTCGCTCGATGGAGCCTGTTGTGTTTGACCAGTCGCCGCTCGCAGAGTACCTTCGTGGTGAGTGCAACTTTCTCACAGGCGAACACCCGTCATGCCATTGAGCTCGCCCACTGATAATCTGCGCGCATGCTGTAGACGAAGGCGAAGAGGAGCAGGCAGGATGGGCGCACGACGATCCAACCTACGATGTGTCGCCTCCTTCGAGCCCTGAATTCGCGCCGACAGGTCGGCCGATGGTGAGGTCGAGATTCCGCAATAATCCCCTCAGAGTCGACATACCTACCAAAGCGGCCTCCGACAAATCTTACAGACTCAGTTATTCGGTGCGCATTCCAAAATCCCCTATCTGTTGGCACATGGGGAAATTACTGATGTGTGTCCTTTCCAGACCGCGGTAGCATCCAGGATTGACCGAGCCGACAACTCCAAATTCCTCGAGCAATTTCGCTATACTATTATCGCATCCCAGCTATTGAGTGGGCACTCCATATTATCCCAGAACCATGCATCATCCCGGTCCGCCAATGTGGCCATTGACGGACACCCGGCCGACAAGTTGCTGGATTCAACGAGCGCGGTCGTCGTCGTCGTTCTAGGAGCACTTGCTCTCGTCGTCTCGATCAACTGGCTTGCAGGAACAGGACCATTGAACAAACGGCGCACTTTCGTCATTCTATTGGTTTTTGTGATCGCTGCAGGGATCGCCCATGTGTTTATGCGTAGACAATGGCTGAGGTACAGACGGCTCCAAGCACTGTCAGAGGTCACTGCGTTTGTTTCAAACTCTCAAGAATTCGACAGCGCGACTGGCGCAGCGATTGCTCTGGTACAGGAGGTGGAACTTGTTTCCAGAGGTTACCGTCTGTAAGTTCAATTTCTCCTCTGGCCCAGTAGATGGCGAGAAAGTCCGTGGTGCGCTGACACAAACTTTAGGAGTGCGCCTCTTCCGCCCATCAGTCGCATAGAGGATCGCTCACAGACTCGCAAGTGCGTGCGCCTCCGCAGAGCTTTGAGGGCGTGCTTCGCGGATGTCATTCCCGCATACGATCAGACCGTTGCGGTAGTGAAAGGGTTCTCAGAACAACTAGACCTCGAGAAGTACTACGATATTTACGATATTAGCGATTTCGACATGTCCGATGCCCAGCAAGGCTTCAAGGAGGATGAGTTTGAGGACACCGAGTCTTTGAGAACGCTCAAGATCCTCGCCGCCCGGTTCCACACCATCCGGAAGATGTTCTTGTGTGCATTGTTGGCCCTGGACGCGAGCGGTGAGAGTGACGACCTCTTGAAATGGACTACCACAGTAGAAGCGGTGCGCACTCTCAATACGGTCACCCAGAGGGCATTCGACAACCTGAAAAGACTTCTGAGCGATGAGGAGTGTAAGTGGTCTTTCCACCTCACTATAAGGCGTGTTGACTGACGTTCTCAAGCATTTCCACCACCGCCAACTCCAAAGATGCCATTAACACCTGGTCGTGAGAGATGGAGATCGCAATTGCGGAAACTGAACTCTTTGTCCAGCGGTATCCGCGGCTTACAGGCTAAATTGACGCTGTTAAGGGAGGAATCTGACAGAAGCCTCAATGAGTCTGACGATATTTCCGAGCTCGGATCCAACCTCATGTCACAGTATGAGTCCATAGGGGCTGACCTGAAGATACTGATGCAGGCCTGGGAGGAAGGCAAAGCGGCACTCGCTCTGGGTATCGACCGGAACGAAAAGCGACTTTCTTCCATGAGCACACTGTTGTCTCCGACCAGCTCTCTCAGTGGGCTCACAACAGTTGATGAAGGAGGCGGAGCGGCCGAAGCCCTGAAAGCTTTGAATGGAGAATCCCCTTCAAGTCTAGACTTTAGCAGCACAGGGGAGCCCGACACGGAAGAGATATTTGAGGCAGTTGCTAAGCCGTTCCGGCCCCGCAGCTTATTGACGAGAGACGAGCGCATCGTCAAGATGAGAGAAGACCGGGAGAAACGAGAGATCGCCAAAGAAAAGGCGGATGCCAACAGAGGCATGCTCAAGGAACTCGAGATGGTCATCAACCTCCGACCCCGCCCACGAACTGGGACGAATCCATCACGCATTGTCTCGATGTGATGAGGATATGACATTTGATGACGGATATGGCGTTCTGGTGCAGACGATTCAGCTAATCACAGTCATTTGAATCTTTGTTTTCCTTTTCTGTTTTTGGTTTCTGATACATAATCTCTGCAAACACATTCACACACGGGATGCATATAGAAGGGGATTTCAGAGAACCCGGATGGGAGGTATTGATCTCTTCTAGTTGACCCATCTGTATTGTATAATGACACTCATGCCCAGCATGATATCTGGTGCAGGCTCAGAGATCGGGCCAGATAACATGTTCAGACTACTTTAAGCATTACGAACAGAAAAATCAGTATCTACAAGGGAACCAAAAGCGAGAGAAACGAATAGCCTGATTGTTTGATGTGTACTTTGCTTTGTTTACATCTTCACCAGCCACACAGGGTAGCAACAACTCCAGTGTTTTGGGCCGTTTTTATTGCTATATCCAACTGTTGCCATCCTGACCTTGAACAAAGAAGCCCGGTCGTCAGGGAGAAGAAAGGGGGAGCCACAATTCAGGGGCTTGGAGCATCAACGTACACCCCTGGCTAAGTGGAGAGAGCTCGGTGAGCCCGGACCAGCTGCTATCTCAGGAGGGCAAAATGCGCCCGGCAGGCTGCTCGCTTGTCCTTCCATTCGGATACGTAGGTGAACGGTGCACGAGCCATCCGTCAGCGATCAAAGACGGAGCGGACGCTGGCTGGCGTGCCTGTGAGTGAGTGTTCCTGCCCCCCGCGCGTTGTTGGCGTTGAGCCCTATTAAACGCTTGACGCGTCGTTCCCTCGCCAGCCCACTACGACGCGCGACCGTGTTTGCCCATTAAAGTGCTTTCCGCGACAAGACCTTCCACCCTTCATCAACCCCTCAACCACAGACTTGACGATCTCAACTTTTACAACAGCTCACCATCATCTCTGTGCCTTCTCTTCCGCTTCCTTGATACCCGAAGATACCCCTCTGCTCTTTTTCTTTTCACAAACATATAATCAGCCAGTACGTCGCACCATCCACACTTTTTTTCTCCTTCCACAATTCTCCCAGTCTCCAATCCAAGTGCATGACGCTGACATTTCGCAGAGATGTTGGAAGCCAGACTCGACCAGGCCGATATCCTGAAGAAGGTAATTCTTTACTATACTGGTTTGATAGTCATAGCGGCTGGTTCTGATACTAATCTGCCCAGGTTGTCGATGCCATCAAGGACCTCGTTCAGGACTGCAACTTCGACTGCAATGACTCCGGCATCATGCTCCAGGCCATGGACAACTCTCACGTTGCCTTGGTGTCCATGGCTCTCAAGGCCGAGGCTTTCTCTCCCTTCCGCTGCGACCGCAACATCGCGCTCGGCGTCAACCTCGGCTCCTTGACCAAGGTCCTCCGCGCCGCCCAAGGCGACGACATCCTGACGCTCAAGGCCGAGGATGCCCCCGACAGTCTGAACATCCTCTTCGAGAGCTCAGCCAACGACCGTATCAGCGAGTACGACCTCAAGTTGATGGACATTGACCAGGAGCACCTGGGCATTCCCGAGACGGACTACGCCTCCACAATCACCATGCCGAGCAGCGAGTTCAGACGCATCTGCGCAGACTTGATCGCCATGAGCGAGTCGGGTACGCAGCACTGTCCCTTTTAACCGGGTTCTTTGAAAGTACAGATTCTAACTTGCTGCCGTGTATAGTTACGATCGACGCGAGCAAGGACGGTGTCAAATTCGCTGCCAGCGGTGACATTGGCAATGGATCCGTCACCCTGCGAAGCCACACCAACGTGGACAAGCCCGAAAACAACGTCGAAATTGAGCTCTCTGAGCCCGTCTCCCTGACCTTCTCTCTCAAGTACCTCGTCAACTTCTGCAAGGCCGCCGCAATTTCCAAGCAAGTCAAGATCTGCCTCTCTAACGAGGTACCGCTGCTTGTTGAGTACGCTCTGTCGGGCTCCAGCTACCTGCGCTTCTACCTGGCGCCGAAGGTAAGTCTAGTCTCTTGCATGACACTCAACACCATCAAGGCAAAAGGCTAACGTGCATCCTAGATTGGTGACGAGGAGTAAATCGGCGATTAACGACGGAATGAAGTTGATATTGCTGGCGTTGCACGGGATCATGGACGGGGCAAAGGGCCTGTCCTTTTTCACTCTGGATTGAGTTTTGCATGTTCTAGAGAAGATACGCAATACGTTGGTGAAGGAAGAGCAAAAAGCACTTTTTGGGACCACGAAAGATAATGAAATAACTGTTTCCGCCTACCTTACACATGAGGCAATGGGTCCATGACTTTAATATCTAGTGTACTCGCCATTCATCGAGTCCAGTCCTCTACTGGATTCTCTCAATTAAAAGAGTGCGCCAGCTGAGAGCAGCTGCACTGAGGCGAGCTGCCGTACCGTCAGAGCTTTCCAATCTCGGGCTAGTGCGGGGTTCTTCGATGCGCCCTTTGGCTCTTTGGCGGGGTCGATTTTTTTCCCTGGAAATGTCACTTCGGGTTGGGCGGACATCGGCCGTCGCAACGTCAGAGTCAGAGCAAGAGCCACTGCCAGAGCGGGAATTGCGAAGCTAACCAAGTGGAAGAACCTGGAACCGCATTACACCCGTTTGGATCCTTTCTAATCCACTTAGTCACTCCCATCTATAACCTCTCTCTCTGCCTTCCATTCACATAAGACCAAGAGATATCTCCGGAATAGATAGACATCCGGGTAATTGCGCCGATACAGGACCTATTACTTTGCCCAGACTTTTGATTCGCAACGCATCGCTTTTGCTTGTCTTATTTCTGCATCATTCTTCAACGCAACCCTCCTTCTCATTGTCCAACATCTGTAATCGTTCCGCGCATCGGCATCTTTCCCGATAAAGCATCCCGCCGATAACCGACTTTTGAGATCGAAAAACTACAGACACACGCCTTCAGTAAAACATACCTAGTGTATACCATAACCACGCATTTTGAGCAAACAATAAAGTGTTGTTCCTGAGACGTCACAAGTCTCGCAACAGGATCATGACGGTGGAACTCCCGATCCCCGATACACGCGTCCTGGCCGTTGCCAGTCATGTAAGGCTTTTTTCTCTGAGCTCTCGCAACCTCGACCCAGATGTGTGACTAACTGCCTCGTACAGGTTGTGTCCGGGTGAGTTTGTGCTGCGCCCTTCCACACACGCCCTATGTGCGCCAGTCATGTCGACAAGCAAGGTGGTGAACCGCGGGTCTGACAGCCTCCCGCAGAAATGTAGGAAACAAAATCGCCGTCTTCACACTGCAGTCCCTTGGCTGCGATGTCGCGGCTCTCAACACCGTCCAATTCAGTATGGCCTCCTCCTTCCACTCTCCCCTCCCTCTCTCCGTGACTCACTTCTCCTTCCCCCCCTCCCTCGAAACATCATAGGCATAGCTTTGCTCACACACTCTCTCATAAATCGACAGGCAATCACACAGGCTACAGACAATGGAAGGGGACAAGGGTGTCCGCCCAGGAGATCCGGGACCTCTTTGAGGGGCTCAAGCAGTCGTACCTGGACGACTTTGACATGATGCTCTCGGGCTACATCCCCGGTGCCGAGGCCGTTGTGGCCGTGGGCGATATCGCAAAGGAGCTCAAGCGGAAGCAGGCCGCCGCGGGGACGCCGGGCGGCTTCTTTTGGGTCCTAGACCCCGTCATGGGCGATAACGGGAAGTTGTACGTCGCCGAGGAGGTCGTGCCCGCGTATCAGAGCCTCGTCGAGCATGCCGACTTGATTCTCCCCAACCAGTTTGAGGCCGAGTATGTATTTTTCTATCCTCCCTTTGTCTCCTCCACCCCACCCCTTCTTGAGTAAATGGTCAGATATCCGCGGCGCTCGGCGTCTGTCCATGCCCCTTGATGAAAGATACCCTCATATGAAGAAGGAAACGTCATCCCCCTCTTTCACACGCACAACAGAGACCACAAGACAATTAGACTGACGAACGGGAAAACACCAAGGCTCCTCTCGGGCGTCAAAATCACCGACATGCAAACGCTCCAAACCGCCATCCGCGCCCTGCACACAAAGTACCGCATCCCCCACGTCGTAATCACCTCCGTCTCCCTCGCCTCGCCCGACCACCCGCCCTCCCACCTCTCCGTCGTCGGCTCCAGCATGTCGCCCTCCACCGGCGAGCCGCGCCTCTTCAAGATCGTCTTCCCCGCCATCGACGCCTACTTCTCCGGCACGGGCGATATGTTTGCCGCCCTCATGACGGTGCGCATGCGCGAGGCCGTCATCGCCGCCAGCGCCGGCGCCAACAGCGAGGGACAGCAGCAGCAGCTCAAGGACCGCGAATCCTGGCTCAGCGGCGACGAGGTCGACGCGCTGGACCTGCCGCTCGCCAAGGCGGCGGAGATGGTGCTGGCGAGCATGCACGAGGTCCTCACGCAGACGGTGCGCGGGATGCAAGAGGTCGTCGCGGCCGCCGGCGGGGACGCCTTGGCGGAGACGGAGGAAGGGAGGACGAAGCTTCACCTGCTCAAGAGCAAGAGCGCCGAGCTGAAGCTCGTGAGGAACCTTGCGAGCTTGCGGGAGCCGACTGTGGAGTTGAGGGCGAGGAAGTTGTAGACGGTGCTGCCCTTGGAGGACAGGGGGTCAGAGAGTCAGGGGTTTGGAGGGGACCGGGGGGCCGTGGTCCGAAATCTTTACGACGGGGAAGAGAGAGAGAAAGACCTATAGAGGCGTGTTTGGTTTTGGAGAGGCGCTTTTGTGTGGTGTTCCTTTGCTGTTTCATAGATTTGAAAAGTAAGCGCGCTTGGGGAGATTTCTGTCACCTGCATGTAGAGACGGCGTGTGGATCAGGACTAGAAAAAGGCACATCATGGTGGTCGTAGCATTTGTCATTATTCGTCCATTTCCAGTTCTGTAAGAAATCCACAACTTTTGTATCGTTCCCATGGTGATGTGATGGCATCAATTGCTTCGTCCCCGTGAGCCCAATCTCTTCTAAGCCATAACGCGAGGCCTCCCTATCAAATCTACCAAACGCTACCGTATCTACTGCGCAAGAGAAACGCCGGTGCTGCCGAACCCGCCAGCGCCGCGCACGCTTTCCTCGAGCTCGGCGACCTCGACGACCTCGGGAGTGAAGATGCGCTCGATAATGAGCTGGGCGATGCGGTCGCCCTCGGCAACCTCGAAATCGGTGTCGGCGTGGTTGAAGAGGAGGACCTTGACCTGGCCGCGGTAGTCGGCATCGATGACGCCGGCGCCGGTGTCGATGAAGTTCTTGGAGGCGAGGCCAGAGCGGGGAGCAACGCGGCCGTCTATAGTGTACGAGAAAGGTTGGTCAGTACATCGCCATGACTACAATTGCTAAGGAGGGGGAAGCTCTTGAGGAGCTAGCTGTGGACAGGAGAGGTCTCAACACATACAGGTGCCAGCGGGGACAGAGATGGCAATGTCGGTGTCGACCATGGCCTTGCCGCGGGCCGGGATGGTGGTGACCTTTGCTGCGTAGAGGTCGTAGCCGGCGGCGAACAAGCTGCCGCGGGTCGGCAGGCGAGCCTTGTCGGAGAGCTTCTTGATCTGAAGAGGTGGGCAGGGCTCCATGGCGGCGGGGACGGGGGCGTCGTTGGAGGAGGTCTTGACTCGCTTGGCGGGAGGATCGGACTGCTGCTGTTGTGCGGCGACGGGTTCAGAAGAGGTCATTTTGGGTTGAGAGAAACGTTAGGGGATGTAAAGACTACAGAGCAGGTAGAGTTTACCTTTTCGACGTTTGAATTCTGGACTAGAGCAAAGTGGGGAGTCGAATGCTGAGCGAGAGTCTACTCCTTTGAATCGACAAGCTAGGTGCCTGCTCTGCTGGAGCTTTCCACTGCTGGGTTGTCAGTGGACACTCTCCCACCGTCTGCACTCTGGCGGTGTCGCGCGAGACGCGTCAGGACGCGGCAGAGCAATTGACCAATCAGAACCAGAGACTCCAATTGCCCATTTACATATCAAGTACTACATACTATGAAGAGGTCGTCATCCGACTTAAGGTAGCATGCAAGGGCATAAGCTACCTCATGGCATGGCAGAGTTCATTCATCTTGCGACGATCTCTCTCAGAAGAATCAGATAGCCTCAGAGTTGCCTTGTGAACCCCTCCTGAAAGAAAGGCTCGAAGTCTCAAAAGTCTGTCGATTCTCCATACTGATTTCTTGCATTGACGAGGGCGGAAGGAGATGCTTCAGACGCATGCTTCGTACGCCAAGGTGCCAACCTGGACACCAACTTTTTTTTTTCTCCGTTTTACCCAGACCCGGAGGCAAGTGTAGAGTTAATCGCATACACTGTGACGCACTATCGAAAACGAGCGCGCACTGTGAACATCGGAGCCTCGTTTGTATACTGCAATGGCCCCAGTGAGCCTATGAGAACTGCGTGCCCTGAGTCAAGAGACTCAACGCTTAACAACAGGAGCTTTTCTCTGACAATGCAAGGCCCAGGGTAGACATGCTATCGCAAAAAATTCATTTGATTGCCTGGTTGGCCATCTCCACACGGGGGATCTGCGCCGACTGCGTCGCAGTCACACTCGCACGGATGTGCGGCAGACCAAGCCCTGCTAGTCGTCCAGCTCTCTTCCAAAATCAATGAGCTTGAGCCTAGTCGCGTCCCTAGGATGGAACTGCGCGACCTTGGATCTGACGAGGAATCGTGCCGCTGCTGTTTCCTTTGAGAGCTTAACGTACGCCGCAGTGCTATCGCCAGCTGCTTCAGCATGTTGGTTCAAAAGCTGTTCTGTAAGGTCGCGCATCTCGCGACCAGCAGCCGCTGCCTCGTCCGCATTGCCTTTTCCGCGGCCGGCATCCTCTTGGGATAAACCCCAAACTTCCTCGAGGCGTCGTTGTCGTTTATCCTCGTCCACATTGGATTTGACTTTGACAGGTCGGCCCTGGGCGTTGAAACCAGCACCGAGTTGATCCGAATCAATTTCCATCATGTCGCCCACGACAGGTCCGCCGAGGTCTTCCGCAGCTAGTTGACTTCCCAGGTGACCGTCAATGAAGTTTCTCAAAGCTTTGAGTAGCTTGGTTGTCTCCTTGTCGTAACGCTTCTTCTTTTGCCTCAGTTCGTCCAGTCTTTTCTTGGCTGCCTGTTCGGGCGTCAATTCCATCCTAGATTCGGCCTCGTCTTTGAGAGACAGAACTCGCTTCTCCAAACTCTGCTGGAGGGTTTTCTGGTCAGACAGATTCGCCTGCTCAACTTCGAGCCTGCGTTTGGTCTGATCAAAAGTGGCTCCTTGACTCGTCAGATAGTCTTGGGACTCAACAACGGTCTGATGAGTCGTTCGCAGGGCAAGTAGCGCGGGTAGAACGGATTCCGAGAAAGGTACGAAGGGAGACGTGCTGGCAACTTGCTCGAAAGCGCCTTTCATGACTTCATAAGGTTCTTTTCCTGGTCCAGGAACATTCTGGCTTGAGTTGGCATTTCGTTGAAGCTGTTCACGTATTAACTTATAGAACTCAAAAAGCATAAATTGGAATGCATACTGCGGCAAGCTCTTCCCGGTGTTGCTCAATCTTTTCTTGGAGTTCTCGCAAGCTCTGATCCAGGCTCAAGGCGTACCTATCGCTGACGGGATGGGGCGTTTCGTCCATGTTGTGCTGAAAGCGGTCGCTCAAAGTGAGAGGCTGCTATATGTTGTTGTATGTCCTTGATTCAGGCCAAACAATCCGGTATTCTGGCGACACGGTGCAAATATCAGATAGAATGGCGCACGCGAACTCGAGAGGGTTTCCCGGAGGAAACGAAACACTTCAAGCAACGGTAGCACGCGCAGGTCTTCAATCCGTCCTAAGCTCACGGCCCGTCGGAGCAATGGGCACGTCCAATGGTGTCGAGCGTCTGATTCGATCCTTGTCAGAAAAATTAAGGCGACTTCGGGCGCTAGATCGTCTCTGCTTGTTTCATACGAGGTGTCACTGTGTGTCGGGTGCTTTCAAGATTTCTGGGGGTGCAGACAGTCCGCGACTTGCACAGATGATGGCTCTGTCTTGGCTGTCAAGCAGTCTGGCGCGCTGTCAATCGCGATTCCTGACTCGGTGGACTGGATTAATGAAGAAATTGTTTTAGTCGTCGGTAGGGCTGTGGCTGCTCATAACGATGACACTGACAGCGACGAGGAAACTTGTTGAAAAGCAATCGATGTCTATCTCTCTCACATGGACGAGACGTGTCGTGACGTTGTGCCGGTTCGGTTTGTGTACTCTGTAATACCCCGTACGGAGTAGGTATGGTGTGCAGGAGGTGTGTTGGTGCCGATGGGAGCATCCCCTTGCATTGGAAACAATGCAGAGCACCGCATTGGAGGCAGGGTCGGTCGCAAGGCGCAAGGCGCAGCTTCTATTTCCCTCCCGCACCTTTTTCCTTTGGTCAATTAGTCTGCGGGAGATGTGCGGAGGAAATGCAGACGAAATGGCAAACACTGTGCGGCTCGCTGCATGGATCTGCCCAATGAAACATCCAATCCCCAGCATAGGTACGTAGGTGGGAAGGCACACAGGTATCCGTACGGCATAAGAGTACCAGAAGGACCAGCTGGCTGCGCACCTCACGTTGCGGAAGGTACGTTAGGCACCTCCGGAGCGGGGGCCACCTTCTCCCCCATGTTGCTTAATCTGCCGGAAAGGCATCGTCTCTCACTGTGTGGCTACCTTTTTTCTCTGGTGCAGAGTGGAGACTTGTCAAGGCCAGGCCGCAAATGAGGCAAAAGCACTGGCTGCGTCAATGTGGAGACCGTGCATCGAATTCAGACACTGTACTGGCCCTTGCCCCCAGGCGGGCACCGATGGGCTCCTGGCATTGGCGCCGCGCTGGCACTTGCGCTGCTTGTTCTGAGGAGAAAGCGTGAGAATATCTTGCCTTCCCATCCCGTTTCTCAAACCTCTTCGAGACATCCGGAGCCCCCTTCCAACCCATCTGTTTGCCCTGCACGGTTTTCTCTCCCCATCTCTTTTAATCACCGACTCGCCTCTTCGTCTCTCCCCTCGTTTGTCGAAAGCTTTCGGTGGGTTGTGTTTTTCCAACGGCGCAGCGCATCGGTCCCCCACAGTTTCGCTTCCCTCTCACGTGTCGCCTCCAAAAGCTATCCAGGTCCAACTACTCTGGCTTGACGGTCGGCGCGTTGCCATCATCGTTTCGTTGCTTAACAGCTCGACAAGCTTCAAGGAGACAAGGAACCTCACGCAAGGAAACATCAAAGCTCTGCTTGCAGACTTGACGCCACGTCGCGATACATCGCAGCTTGGACTGTTCGTTTGACGGAAGAAAGGTTTGAGCTTCTGCATCCGAATCGCCTCCCAGATACAACCTTTGTCTATCATCAGCTCCTTCCCTCCCACCTTCTTTACCTCTTTTCCATCATCCACCTTCTTCCTGCCCGTCCGCTGCCTCATCGCCCAGCCTCGCCTTCCCTCCGCTTGACCTGAGTATCTTTGCGATTCTCACGATTTCGGAAGTCACCTCGAACCTGATAGGATAGGAGTCATCCTGAACCCACATCCCGATCTTTCAACTTCACGATCTCTGCCTGCCCTACGACCTTTATCCTGCACGATCAAAGCCACTTCACCGAAGAGACATTCTCTGAACCCGATCCCGACTACGCCACTACACCAGCCCGTTTTCCTTTGAAAACCGTTGTGGTGTAGATAGTCGAATACAAACAAGCTCTTCTTGAACATACACGGAATTGCGAAAACTTGTGTGAGACATTAACAACTAGCCCATCATGTCCGCGTCGCCTACCCAACCCGCCAACTCGGCCAAGCGCCCCCTCGAGGAGACTTCGTCCCCTTCGCGTAGCAACGACCAGCCCGACGCGAAGCGACCAGCCTTGGACAAAATACTGAAGAGTGATGAGGAGGTTGAGATGGCGCAGCCGCTCGACGCAACTACCATCCCATCCACGGATGCGAACGGTGCCGACAAGACCAACGGCGCTGATACAAAGTCTGAGGCTGGTGACGAAGGCGCCGAAGGTTCCGAGACGAAGCCTATCCAGAGCTCCGTTGCCGGCTCCGTTCCCGCGACGTCCACGCCCTCGGCAAGTCACGATGAGAGAGATTGGATTCACATTCGCGCTGTCATTTCCAGCCCGGAAGCTGCCACCGTCATTGGAAAGGGTGGAGAAAATGTGTCAAACATTCGCAAGATGTCGGGTGCCAAGTGCACCGTCAGCGATTACCAAAAGGGGGCCGTTGAGCGCATCTTGACCGTTAGCGGCGTCGTCGATGCTGCTGCAAAGGTTTGTAACTGAATCGCTCTTGCCTAGAGAGCTCCCAGCTAACCCAGTCGAATAGGCCTTCGGTCTCATCATTCGGACTCTCAACAATGAGCCTCTGGCCGAGCCATCCAGTGCCCAGTCAAAGACGTACCCTCTGCGCCTGCTCATCCCTCACATCTTGATCGGTTCCATCATCGGAAAGGGCGGCGCTCGTATCCGCGAGATCCAGGAGGCTTCCGGTGCAAGGCTTAACGCGTCCGACTCCTGCCTGCCTCTGTCGACCGAGCGTTCGCTGGTGGTCATGGGTGTTGCTGACGCGGTTCACATCGCTACGTACTACGTCGGCAGCACCCTGCTAGAGCAGCTGAACGACCGGTTCGGTGGACCTGCTGCCTCCGCATATGCGACAAGGAGCGGTGGCCCCGCTGGCGTCGTCCCTGGCGGCATGCAAGTTGTGCCGTACAGCCCGCAGCCAACCACTGGCAACTACGGCAACCGCGATAACTACAACCGCAGACACGACGCTCGCGCCCAACATCACGGCCTGCCAGCTGCTCCGTACGGCGCGCAGCCCTACCCTCACCAGGCAGCCCAGCCCAACCCGGCCATGCCCATTCACTATGGTGCGGCGCAGGCTGGCGGCTATGGTGCCGCTGCTCCTATGCAACCCCATGCAGGTGCTGCCATGCCTCAACCTCACGGCGCTCACCCAGCTCAGCCCGTTCACGGAGGAGCCATGCCAGGCGCGCCTTTGACCCAGCAGATCTACATCCCCAACGATATGGTTGGAGCCATCATCGGAAAGGGCGGGCAAAAGATCAACGAAATACGCCAGATCAGCGGTAGTGTGATTAAGATCAACGAGCCGCAAGACAACAGCAACGAACGGCTGGTCACAATCACGGGCACAGAGGAGTGCAACAGGATGGCGCTTTACATGCTCTACTCTCGTCTTGGTAAGCAGATTGAAGCCAAGGTCAGCAGGGTCGAGCAAGATTGCTAACGAGGACAACAGAATCGGAAAAACACCGGATCTAACGTTGACGACGTTCATGACTTTACTGACTATCAAATTTTAGTTCGGCAAACCAAAATTTCGGGCGGAATGGCACAGTTTCTTTTCTTTCGCGAAACATCATCGCCGTGTTTGGGGGATATCGGATTGGTCTCTAGCGACATCTACGCCGCGAGACCCCGGCTACATCTGGAAAGGGGGACTGGTCTCGATCAGCTTCGGCAGATCAAAGGTGCTTTTAGAGGAGGTACTACTTTTAATAGTGCACTACTCTCTTTTACTTCATCCATTCTCCAGCACATCTTGACTCCCTGCCCACTCTCATCACTATCACCGTCGCGCGCCCCATCGGTCGCCGCCTTGTCCGGCCCTGCTTGTCGTCCCATCACCCTCACTCACACAGCCCTGACGGTTATGGCAGCCTTGACCCCTAGAATCTCGTGACCCGTTCCCCAACATCGTCCTGATCAAATCTACCACATACATTCGTGCACTCTGCCCTACTACATTCTCTCTACCTGCCGTATGACACGCGCGCATATCTCGTCTTGTTAAGGAGCAGATCAATTCTTTTCCTTGCCCGCGCCTTGGCGGAGGAGACGAGGTCACAATGGACACTGATAGTTTGGCCTCGTGAGATTGAGATTGCTAATCGGTTTCCAATAGGCATCGGACGAAGGCGGCAGTGGCGAAGTTTGTTGGCTGGGGCTGAGACGCATCCACGACTCGGAATCCATGGAAATAGACGTAGGAGACGGTAAGTGTTGACCTTCGACTTGCACGTGCTGATGACGCGCAGCAATCCTGCCTCGGATCAGAAGTAACCCGCACAAGTTTTCACACAGGATATCGTGTTGATGGACGGTGGTTGGGGCACAAAAGTATATTACACATCTCGTCTCATCGTAATCCCAACATAAAGGTACAGTACGTAATCGTAGTCATCCCATCCTCGTAGCTTTCTTCTTCCAATGAACAAACTTTTACATGGCACTAGCATTAAGTATATTCGGTCCTCAGATTTGCTTCAGATTTACGTGATACTGTCCATCGTCAGTCGGTGATGCAGGCAGGTAAAAAGATGCCGATGGCCTCGACAACAACATACCATGGAAATGTCCTTGCGGCCTGATCTCAGCAAGTGAATGTTTTCAGATATGGCTGTAAACAAACTCAGTCAGCTTTCTTGCTAGAGCCTGTGTGGGAAAACCCCCCTCAGCAGGGGGTTAATGTTGACCAAACTTACGTCCAGCCTTGGCTTTGGCGTCGAGGTGAGCCTGCTTACTATCCCACCCCAGCAAGAGCGTCACAGCAGGGCCCTTCTCCCCGTCCCCGCCTCCGGAGGTGGTATCCACGGCAAGGGGCGTCGTGATCTCGCCGTACGCGTGCCCGTGATACCCGGCGACGCTCGCCCGCCCCTCCACCAACCCCTTGGCAAACTCGGCCGTCTTGCTCGCGAACTCGGGCTCGACGCCGTACGCTACAAAGACCTCTGTGCACGGCGCGTGGAGGACAACGGACGGCGGGTCCTGGTCCGCGGAGAGAAGGGGGACCTTGTAGAAGACGGGCGAGGAGGCGGCGACGACGGCTTTGAGGGAGGCGAACCAGGGCATGTAGGCCTCGGACGAGGCAAAGGCGGAGAAGGCGTCCGGGGAGGCCCACTCGATGACCAGAACTGTTTTGGAAGGATCCTCGAGCTGGGTGCCCGTGTAGAGGGCGTTCACGCCGGGGACGGATTTGAGGGTCGATGTTACGTCGGACCAGGCTGCGGGCGGTTGGGAGGGGGGCGACGTGCTGTGGTTTTTGAAGGTGAAGGTTATGAATTCCGTGACTGGGGCGGAGGAGGCCATTGTTTGTGACCCGGTTGACTTTGGAGAATGTAGAATGGCTGGGATGATTGATGGAGATGGAAGATGGGTGAGGTGTGTGAGGTAGGTGTGTAAGATAGGTATCAGGTCCTCGAACACGCTTCAGATATGTAAGTGCTTCCCTAGGGTTGGGTGGGACTTTATATCTTGGACGGGTATGATGCTATTCACGACATTGGGTTTCCTGCAATCAACGAGTGATTGACTTCGTCACGTAGTACGAGCACCTTCTACAAGGTTCTACATTCGAGGCGGGACGTTGCACTTCCATCTGGCCGCATCGGGATGTATAGGTCACGTGGTGTGGTGCGGTTCTACTCCGCACCGCAGGGCGAAGCTTCTGGTGACACAAGTCTTTAGGTTTGCCAATGTCGCAAGCCACATTGCGGCATGTCTTCTGCCGGTTCCTCAAGCCCGGTAGGTGTGCATGTTCTTTCCCAAGGGATCAATAGGAGCTGGGAAAGACTATTCCTCGGGCTTTGGTCGGATTGCTGAAGAAAAAGAGCGGAAGGTGAAATGACGGACGGGACAGCCATGCATCGGGCTCCGCACCGGTAGAGGCCGGCCGGATCCACTCCCGCTCGCTCCAGTTCCACGGAACCTCCGCCCAGCGACGGCGGTGATGAAGTTCGGACGCGTGACCAACCTAGATGATCCTGAGCGGCACTTGCTCCCATGCGCATTCTTCGTGCAGATGATGACATCAAAACATTCGAATGAAAAAAACACCCCATCTCTGATCATAGCTTGACGCTAGTAATAGCGCACCTTCTTATGGGCAGGACATTCCAACGGTTGAGACCCGGCTTAGAAGTTGTCTGGCCTTGAAACCACGAAAGGGTGAGGCACAGGAATGCCACCATTCCGACGATTGCTTCTCCTCATCGGCAGTGGGCTGGCTGGCTTGCGCTTTCCTCACATGGGGGCGGGAGAAAGTACCGTGCTTGCCCAGGCGCGCCCAGGTTTGCTGGATGCCCTCTTTCGGGCATCGCAAGTTGACTTAGGGCTGAGGTGAAATCAATAAAAGGCTTTTTGGTGTGGCTTCTGGTGTCGCTACAATTTTCTTAACCTGCAGGAAGCTGACAAGGTTGACTCGTGTTGGCCATGATGCAACACCCTTCCTCACCGTCACTCGGTAGTCACTGAATGACAAGCAACGTTGTGCGAGAGCCCCAGCATCGTGGCACCACTACACGCATGCGAAGCTTGCTCGCTAGCACCGCCTGCATTGTCGCGGGAAAAGGACGACAGGCAGTCCTCGACCACACTAACTGGAATGCAAAAAGGCGGTCTTGTGACACCAGATCTCGCAGTGAGCGCCATCGCTGTGCCACTTGACTGCATGTAGCCGAAAAACCAGTGGTCCGTCCTCGGCCGTACTCGAGCTGCTAGGCACGCTGACTGCATCGTAGAGTTGCAGAGAAAAAGCAAACTCGTCAACGGCTGTCGAGCGTGCTACAAGGACCACAACCTAGCATGCGTTTTCCAGGTCTGGGTGTCTTCGAAATGGCCTCAGTTAGATATGTGCGAGCCCACCTATGCAGAGACTATTTCTGTCGCTGTCAAATTTGCTGCCATTGGCCCATGACGTCGCTTGAATGTAGTGGCAGGTCAAGGGGCTTCTCAGCTTCAGATGTCCTGCCAGTCAATGCCTCCATGACTTGGGTTCCACGGTTTGTGACTCGTTGTGGATGGGTATCGCTTGCTGGGTCGTTGGCTAATTGACTATGGGTAATAGAGTTTGGTGTTGAAACTCTGACAAGGGACGCAAGCGATGGGGACCTTGCTGACGGCCGACCCGATGCGTCGGACGAGTCGTTCCTTGGGTCCAAAATTGGGTTGTGGCAGTGGTGAATGCAGAACATCGGATTATGCAGAGACAGGCCGGAAGACTGCAAGCTGGATGTCATTGCGAGGGCTGAGGTTCGTAATTGAGCCATCATATGAGATGTCTTCGAAGAGATGGTGTTTTCGCAAAGCTACGAGATAGCCGATTTCAACTTCACAGCGCCCATCGGCTCCTGTCCGAGGTCTAGATTAGAGCAGCTGGTTTAAAGTGGAGGACGTTGGGTTAACCATTGCGCGAAGCTGAGGCCCAGTCCGCCCATCCGTGCTGCATTCAAGCTGCCCCAGGTCCACGATGTCCTCACATTCCGCAAACAAGGGTGTGAGTCGTCATCGGCGTGGAAATGGATATCTCCAGACTACAAGTGGTGCGAGCAGGGGTTGAAAAGCAATTGCCAGCGGGGAGACTATCTGGTGTTCCGTGATTGCGACATCTCACACCCGGAGTTGGATGCTTCGTCAAGTAATTGATTTGGTTGGATCCGCTTCATCTGTGATGTGAATTAACTCGCAAGGCCACTTCAAGGTGGCAACGAGTTTCCAGCTGCAAAATGAGTCAATCGGACACATTACTGATTCGAATTTTCTCGCTGGATTGTGAGCGTGTATGCTCTCGCTTGGCAGCTAGTGTCGCTCCTTCGTGTGGTTCTGGAAGGGCCGAGGACACAAAAGATCCTTTTGTGCATGATGTATCGTCACTTCGGGCCCTCGGGGGAGGGATCTCCAACGTCTCTTCCCCTGGTTGACCACTAGAGTATGTAGCACAGACTAGAGGATGCGGCATGGCAAGTTTAAGTGGCCGCTTTGACGCCAGGCCGATGGTAGTCCGCCGTCTAGCACTGCGGTGAAAAGGAGACGGATGAGAGACGGACTGGTGCCAGGTGCATGGCTTAGGTGTCGGCGAAAGCTGAGGGATGGAGAGTTGGCGGCAGCGGCTGGTGCCAAGTCAGGCGGTCCCATGAACCGTTTCCTCGTTCCTTGCAGTGGCCATGTCTGCTCCTGTCGGTACGTACCAACCAAGAGATGTGACTGAGCAATCAGGAGTGTCTATTTCCAGATCCCCGTTAAGGTAATTAATTAGCTTAAACGCTCTCTCGTCAGTAGATTGAACACGCTGTAGCAGAACGTCGCATCATCTGAGCCATGTGTGGGCTCATCGGGAGCGAGACACCACCAACAATGACCGCTGGAAATTGGACAATAATGAGTGTTCATGTCAGCGTAGCAGGTTTGTTGACCGCACCCGTACGGATAGATGACCGGAGAAATTCCCTCGAGGGGCGAGACCGCCAGAGCATAGAGGTACGTAGTATGTGGGTGAAGCTACCTACCTACCTTGTGAGGGTCGGTTTAGCGGTTGGAACTGCTGGCCGCAACCCCGTCTTGGTTCTTGACTTCTTAGGTTTGTCTCCAGGCTTTGGTTGGAGGTCAAGTCAACAATGCTGCTCCGCCTCGAAGCATCTCTTCCTCGATGTACCTTGGCTAGCACGCCATGCCCGAAACTTGGCTCTTGTTGGCGGCCTAGGCTAGGCTGGCCTCGTGCGTGAAGTGGTACTCGAGGCTTGATGTTTGTTTCCAAGTTTCCAGAGCTTACACCGTGCTTCGTACACTAGGTTCCGCCCTATCCCGGCTGTTGGGAAACGTAGCCATTCCGTTTCGAGGCCTCGCGTGAGATGGATGGGTCTCCGTAACATGGGGGCATTTCAAAATGGATGCGAGCAAGAGTTGCAACTTGCAAGACGAAGCGAATTCGAAGTTGTCGAGAGCTTTGGTTGCCTCGAAGGTGGTACTGTTGCCTTGAGGCGAACCACTGCACTAAAAAAAGTGTCCGCCTGCAAATGGGAGCAGCTTCGGAGGCAAGTGGGTTGCGGGAGATCTCGACGTCTCGTCACCCCCTGGAATGGGACGAGTGGGTTACCTGGGAGCCTGCGAGGTGCTGCGCTGGTTGCTTCATTGGGTGAGCTCGCGGTCCACTGAGCAGGAAGCGGAAAGCGCGTTGGCTCAGCCCTGTTCGGTTGTGATTTGTTCCTTGCACTGAGTGGAAAAGTTACTTTGCAATTGGGAGAGTATCCGCGCCGCATTGTGGCACCCAGTGGCACTCTTCTTGCAGGAGACGCCAATAGTGTAATGCCGTCAGGCTGCAGCTCCACGAATTGTCGGTGGGAACCCATGGAAATCTATGTACGCGCTTCAATTCACGCTGCAGTCAAGTGAATGGAGCGTTAGGTACCTGACCTTGAGTTGGAGATGGAAAGGACTGAGGTTGGCTGGTTGGGTGGTCCTTCGAATCCTCAGGTGCAGGTACGTACCTGTCTTACATGAGAATGGAGGAAGTTGCAGTCGGGAAGGAGGTGCCTGGCTCTAGGCCCTAGGTACCTGCGCCAGGGAAATTCAATGGCCCACACCCCCTGGCTTAGATGATTCTACCCAATTAGAACGGGGTAATCTCGTCTTTAATTTCCACACCCATGTCTGCGCTGTCGGCGGCGCAGTTGACAATTGCGACGATGGCATGCACAACTTCACCAGACGGCGGGAGCATTGCGCCCAACTCTGCTGGGCTTCCCCCTTCTGTGCCTCACTTCGTCACAGCCTGTGCCTGTGCCTCTCCAGGTTTTCGCTCCCTCCCAGTGTGATGCCCATGAGGCCATCGTGTATACCTTGCCTAATTGGGTCGGGATGTCCCCGACTCACCCCCCTCTCTCCGTCTTTACGTGTAGAACCTGGTATTTTCGCTGAATGTCGATGTCAATGAGACCCCCCAGACCATGGAAGAGAGGAGGAAGGAAGCCATGGGCCATTGCCTTGCACCCCCTTGCCGCGCGCCCGGAGCACTCACGGTTCACCTCACCACCCTCACCCTCGGGGTGCAGTACTAGCAGGGGTCATGCTCACCTCACCTCCTCTTCTTTTCCTATCCCTCCTGTCGTCGTCTGCTCTTTTCCTTCTCTTTCCTCTTTCCCTCCTTACCCTCAACCCAAGTCCCAGTCACTTTACCCCGTGCCGTTGTGCGTCTCATCATCTGGCTTCAGCCTGACACTCTTTTAAATATAGTCATTCATTAACCCGTCGCAAAGACACCTCACTCTCCCTTTTTCCAAAACCAACCTTCTCACTTTCTACCTTCCAGTCGCTCGTTCCTGGACTTTTTCCGTCTTCTTATTTTAGACCTAACTTCTAATCAACACCTCTCCAACACTCAAACGACCTCGTCGACTCAATCCATCACAATGCAGTTCAAGATCTCCGCCGCTGCCTTCCTGGCCTTCGCTGCCTCCGCCCTGGCCCAGAATGCCAACTTCGACCCCGTCACGAAGCCCACTCCCAACGAGAAGATTAACGCTGGCACCTCCTACACCATCGAGTGGACTGCCCCCGATGCCTTCAAGGACGTCACCGTCTCCATCAGCCTGATCGGTGGTGCCACCCAGAACACCCAGATTCCTCTTCAGGACATCGCCTGTAAGTATACAAATCACCTGGCTGTATGGGACGCGATAGAGATATCTACCATCCTCCCGGCGGTAGCCAATTCGCGATGAGATCAGGAAGCAGAACTAACACGCTCTCAGCCGGCATCCCCAACTCTGCTGGAAAGTACACCTGGACCATCCCCAGCACTCTCGGCAAGGACGCCTTCTACGGCCTGGTCGTCAAGTCTGAGTCCAACCCCACCGTCGACTTCCAGTACTCCAACCCCTTCCACATCATTGCTGGCGAGGGCTCTGCCTCCGGCACCACCACCATTGTCTCCTCCTCGCCCACTGCTACCGTCACCCTGTCCGCTGCCAGCGTTTCGGTCACTCCTACCGCCTCCGCTTCTGCCTCGGCTTCCGCCTCTGTCACCAAGTCTGAGAGCGTCATTGTTAACTCCACCGCCGCTCTTTCCACCACCGCTGTCCCGACCCCCGCTACCCTGAGCGCTCCTGCCTCCACTATCACCAGCGTCACCCGCCCTGCTACTAACAGCACTGGCACCGCTACCCGCTCTGCTATCGCCACCGTCACTGGTGTTGCTGCTGGTGCCCAGGCTACTGCTGGTGTCTTCGCTGTCCTCGGTGGTCTCGCCGTTGCTGCCCTTCTCTAAGCAACGTCCGTTGCAGCATTTACTCGGATTCACTACATCTGTTAAAACTGCATTGGGCTTGGTTTTGGGTTTCAACGTGCATATTTGGTCATGAATGGATAAAAAGACGGGTGACACGGCTTCGAGGCTAATGGACTCGGATATTCCGTCTCACTACTGCCTCGAGGAAATGGGTTCCCCCGCACATGGCGTTTTCCTGTGTTTTCGATACCAGTGTCCCCGTGGACGTGGGTGATCACGAGGGACGGGTTGATACCTTTCTAGTTGATAATATGAGAGAGAACGATTCAGTCTGTTTCTAAAGAAAAAAAGAAAACAACTTTTTACAATGCTTTGAGTCTTCTTGCCTATGGTTCAACTGAATTCTGTGACATGTCGATCACATTGGGGTAATGGTGAGATGACGATCAGATAACCTTGCAGCTGTCATGGGACGGCCGCAGCTTGTCTGACGTGAACAGGTGGGATTTTCAGGCACGACTGCCCTACCACGCCTAGGTCCCAGCACACTGTTCCGGCTGACTTCTTGTGTTGACCACAGGTGGCAAGGGTCTGCAACCACAACAGCGATCCTGTAGCTTGGTACCGATAATTCTACACCGTGAAGCTAGGTAACATTTTCCTCTTGTGTTGTTATCAATTCTTGAAATGACACCTGCCGATTCAGTTCCAGCAATGGCGTCTTTGTTCGTTCTTCCACAATGCCCATTGTTCAGGCAATTTACAAAGGGCTGCCGATCAAAACCCACAAAGCAAGCCCCCGGTCGTCAACGGCTACGATTTCCCGGGCCCGGTCGGACTCGGGTTCAGGAAGGTGGCGGTCGGGGTCTGGCTCCAACGGCCAACGACAAAAGAATGCCAATTTTTGAAGCCCCCTCTGTTGCTTCCCCACGGCAATCTTCAATAATCTTCAATAACAACATGACAGCAGCGGCAGCTCGCGCCAAAACAAGGTTTTGTGTGTGTGTGTTTTTTCTTCTCTACACAGGGAGTACGGAGTAGTTCGAGTGCCAGAATAAGAAACCTGACACGAACTGGCTCATGACTCGGCTGGTTTAGATTGCAACTCCAGTTTTTCTGGAGACGGTTGGAAACTCTGTAAGGAGTCCGGCAGTCCAGGATCAGACTTGTTGAAACCTTGCCAGGAGTACTCCGTCTTTGCTGAGTGCGAGGTATCCGTATGCAGCAGTGCTTGCTTTTTCCTCTCTTCTTTTTGCCTTGGGCGTGTTCGGTACCGCACGAACTCGCCGTTCTATGAGTCTTCAATCTATGCTGGCGGCCCTTGTTTCGGATTCTGTCACTACCCCCTCAGATACCGACCGCTACGACAACATCTCTGCTGTCTTGGGAGCGGCCACTCCGGCGGTTCCGGATTTACATGTAGCTGTCTGTACAGGTTCAGGTTCACCCGTCGCCTGGCATCACCGATGGTAAGAAAAACAGTCGCAAGACAAAAAGGCTCGGATTCTTTACGGGTATCCAATACGATTACGGAAAAAGCGGCGCTGATGTGGGAATCTACCCTCAATATAAAGGAAATCAAAAGAGCGCGACTGCGTCTGCGTCTGCGTGTGCAATGTATTATACTTTCGGCTTCCTCATCTCGGGAGGAACGTTGTGGGAGTATGCGTTGCCTTCCGGCGCGGCAGTACCGACTACCGCAACCCCCTTCCACGGTGACATCGTTGCCCGGGCTAGACGGTTTTTTCCACGCACGCCAGCAATACCGTCTCACGTTGCTAAATGGCGGGGAAACCATTTATTTCTCCCTGTTTCTTGGAGGGTTTGGCCTTGTTTGAAAGTTGCGAGTGCGGTATTGCGGTCGTATATTGAAGAGCTGGGCAATGCCCCTTGAGCCAGTCTTACCAGCTGACACTGAGTCTAGCTGAGAGTCAGGCGAAAGGAAACGCTCTCCCTGGATATTCGGGTCCGGGGCGCTGGGTGTATAAGCAGTAGGTAGGCGCGCGTCTGCCCCTTGAGCCTGCGAGAAACGCACTTCCCGTCCGTTCCAATCATGTCTGTCACGATCCTGAACACGTCCTGCTTGCGTGACACACATTCTTTGGCGGTGCTTGTCTAGGGGGGCCTAGGGGGGTCATCTCAAACTTGACTAGAACTAGGCTGTGGTTTGTGGCAAGAGCTGGGTTCTTGCGAAATTCTTGCAACGGGAAGGGTTCACTTAGATCTGCTAAAGCCCACGGATCATGTCTGGGTCGTGCTGATGGAGTAGTTCCGTGGATGGTATGAACTCCTTGAAACGAAGCATGAGCATAGTATCACTCTGTTCGTTCCACTGCCATGCTTGTGCTTGGAGACGCGGCTGCGCGTACGAAGGAGGGTGTGCTTTTTGATGGGTGGATGGTTAGCAAGTCAAGACATCTTGAGGATGTCTTTCTCAATACATTCGCGAAATCGCAATTACGCATGCCAGGCTGAAGGCCAAACTTATATGCTAAACTTGTTCATGCTGGAGTGCTCTCATAGTAGCGTCTTCGGCTCCTCTCAACGTGTTGTCAAAGGTCGGCCTAGGGCATCGGACCAGGTTGCTACAAATCTCTACTTACAGAGCATGGACAGCAGAGCCTCTTGAATTCATGCCCATGTATCTCGTCGTTGTCGGTCTTCTCAAGGTGTATATTAACACATCATCGACGGGAAGACACTCCTAACAAAGGCAAATGTCGGACACTCATCTCCTTCACGCAGTCAAGAGCGACCCTTCTCATTGTCGGCGTTCGGTAGAGAGACTTCTAAGAGTGAATGCCCACTTCATCTGTGCCGAAACACAAGCAGAACTCAGTTCCAAGCTTTTGAATAGCTAGGTCCCTAAGGTCGTGGACTTTATGAGTATCACTTGCGAGTTCTGGTACCCCCGCCATCTCCCTGTTTCCAAAAGTCCCCAGAGCGAGAAATCTCAATACCAACGATAGTAGAGCACTGAGGCTGAGAGAGTACAGATTGTCAACTCGCCCGATTCAACTTGATACATACGGAGCCACTCCTGGTGAATCTACTGTGATGAGATCGGACCTTCTAGTCGTAAGGTCACACACTCTGTACGCAGAAAATATAGAGAATTTGTGAGTCTATTTCATATGTCTTCAACAATTTTGCTCTCAGTTTCAAGAAGCAGACAATCTCATCGGCTTCGACATGTGAAACCCGGTACCGAGCAAAGTACAGCGACGAAGTGAACAGGAAGCCATCTATTACTTCTGGCTTCACAATAGCGCCGAATTGTAGTTCTGTATTGAACCATAGCGTTCGGAAGTATCACGAAAGCGCGAAGCAAAGCTACTCGCCTTCCATAAGCCCAGCCTCCGGAACGAGTGGATCCAAAATCTTCAACGAATGCTCACGTTCTACAACTATTATCAGCTCATCGTCAAACGAAACCCGATCGGCTTTCCAATGGACTTAGATAAGACACTGGTGGGTGTCTCTCAATTTTGAAGTCATGTACAGGTAGCAAGTGCCGACCACGCGCAAGAGAAGTAACTTGAACATAAGTCAACGTTCACATGTTGGCACACCATATCGACTCAGGCACTATTCCACGAAACCACAGACGCTTCCAAATTCATCATGACGCCAAAATACGGAGGATTTTACCAGAACACAACAAAGTCACCGATATATACAGCGAATGATCTATATGTAGATGAGAGGATGCCGGTGACGCTCCGAGTGTCATCGACAGGGACCCACCGAATAAGCTCACACTTCAAGTCACACATCCCAGCCCGTGATGGAGATCTGCCCAAAGCCCTAAACGCACACATACAATGGTGGTGAGTCGAGCCGGGCTGCTTTGCGGAAAGGAAAACTGACTGTGTATATCAATCCAAGAGATACTCAAGTAATGTCAAAAGTAAAAGGCGAAAGCAAAGTCGAAAAAAAAAAAAGAAGTGTTTGCGTCAATCGCTGACGGGAATTGAGCCCGACGTGGCTAGTTGTTGTTAGTGATGTTGTCCTTGATGTTTTCAAGTGATGGATGAAGCTTACGGGTCGAACCCACAACCTTGAGATTAAGAGTCTCACGCTCTACCGATTGAGCTAGCCGGGCGGATGGAATCCTGCCTGATGGTTGGTGACGGGTCTAGGGCCGTGGACGGTTATGGATAGAGGGCGAAAGGGGGCTCCATAGCCTTGAGCGGGCCCCTCGTAGCAGTTTGGAGGATATGTATATGGAATGGTGTAGCTCCTGGGTAACAAGTGCTTTGGAAAACACAGCTTCTGAAGTAATTCCGATGCTTAAGGACAATGACCAACTTATTGGAGCCTAGAGGTTACCCTATAAGAGACAGACCAGAAGGATATGCGGAGGTGTCTAGCCATACGCACGTAGTATCTCACACATAGTCATGAGGCAAGACCTTGTCCGTGCAAGCAACGCGTTGGCATGGCTGTGAAACTATCCTTGATCAATTTGCCAGGTGTCTAGACGTGTTGGAAAGGTTTGGATGCTTCTTACAAGTCTAAGCTTCGTACAGTTCAGTGTAGCCATGACCATCTCTTGTCTCAAGTCTGCCACATGCAGGACTTGCGGGTAATATTCATGTGAGGCGAAGAAAGTACGGCCGGTAAGCACTGGTCAGGGCCATTCAGATGGTAACCGCCATCAGAAACAAATTTTGAGCACAGGGACATTTCGTCTTCCATGTGAACGATTCCATAGGACGAGGGAGGTCACCTGATTCAACAAGCCGAGAGGCGGCGGCTACTGTCTCTAAGTACCAGTCATAAGAACCTCCCTCGAGACTGGAGAGCTCAAGTCTGTGTATCGTATTCCTCGCGAGGTGTGTCTCTTTCGATGGGATGGCTAGGAATGGAATTTGTTTCGCTACTGCGCGTGGAGGCCTTCGAGCGTGGCATAGGAACAGCCTTGGTATTAACGTTGGCATCAAGCTCTCTGCAAAGGTTGAGATTCTCAATTAGCGTAGGCTTGCCAAAGTGGTGTAAATGGAAGTGACTTACTATCATGCCCAAAGAGCACGTTGAATTCGCTAGCCTGTCTCATGATTCACTGCATATCCAACTTCTGCAAAGCAGGTTCGAGGTCGGGAAACTGGAAGAACTTCCTGCAGATCTAGACGCATCAGTTGAACTCGACATTGGTAGTGCTATTGGGCGAAGGGTATGGTCTCGTGTCTGATGGCCTGGCGATCTCAGAGATGACGTTGAAGGGTGACCATTGCGTGTTGCTGGAGTGTTCATCTGCAGAATAACAATGAGTATCGTATGATGATTCACCGGGAGAACGCCGAGACAAAAGCCTCGCGTAGGCTGGTTTGATAGCATTGGATGTCTTTAGCCGTTGTTGTCTCAGACGTAAGAAGTAAAGCGGCGCAGTTTAGACAGCATGAGAAACACTGAATAGATCGCATCGCACGTTTCGTTCGCTGATGGCAACCTCCAGCCAAGATTTCGGGGGGACCTCAATACTGTCGCACAGTTTAGCACGGAGACTCCGGTTCGAAGACATCGGATGAAAGCTGTTCTCGTCGAACTGTGAATCCTCTGAGTGGTCGCTTTGCTACGAGGCATCTTTCCCATGATTCTGCTAACTGGGTCAGATGTACATGTCAGCGAGAACACAAGGTCACACAATTACGAGAAATCCTGGCCGTACCATATGGCATGCTATTGAGCTAATTGGTACTTGGTCTGGGGCACCCTTTTCTCAGTAATTGCCCGAGATCGCAAATACATCATCAGCGTGGCGAATACATGGTTGGGCTCGCAACGCTCTGCTGGACAGAAATCGTTCCCTCTCGACGACGAGACTACTCGGGGGGCAAGGTATATGGCAACTTTTCGGTGGCATATGTACGAACAAGCTGCCATTTAGTTCGTATCCCGATTGAAGGCTAAAATGTGACAGCGATCTGATGTCAGAGCCTGTCCTCAACACAAATCAAACCAAGTAACTCCGCTTCTGGAAGAGATAAACAACACCTCCCTCGCCTAGATGATACGTAAGGCCATACATAAGTAGGCTAATCGGATTTTCAAATCAGTATTGGACGCAATGGTGTCTCAATGAGCAAAGATATGGGTGTGGACGTTAGCCGGAGATACAAATTTCGATCCACTTGCTCAGACGAGGGAGGCAGTTTTGTGCCCACTGCCGGTCAACTCGTGGAGCTCCGGGCAACCAAGATTTGCTTCTTAGACCCCACGTCCTCTGGCGTTATGTTTTTGGGCATGACAAGTCGAGAACTTCACCAGCGTCGTCACGATGGCGCCAGATAGGGAGTTCTGGACCCGGCTAAGTTCACGAAGGCCAAATGAATTTACTAGCTCTCAATGCTGTGATCGGAACTTGTCGTGCTTGGCTGAAGGGAAGGGTGTACTCTAAGGACCGGTGATGCAAAGGAGGCCGGCTTGAAGCAGGATTTAGGCGAAAGGCGAAAACACCCAGACACAGGTCCCTGCCGCGCTCAGAATGGAGAGAAAAGCATGAAGTTAGGTGTCCAATACGGCCCGCTTGGCCAGGAAATGGCGGCCATTGTGAAATGTCGAAGCATTAGTCTCTCTCCGTCTCAACCCCAGATAACAAAAGGTCGTCGTTAGGCTGCTAAGAGCACCCGACGAAATGCTTTTGCTCAGCACTACATATGTGTCACGTTTCCTGTGCCCTGAATGTGCTACGTATGCTGAGCGCCTGCTTCCAGGTTGTACCTGTGATGCAGTCGAGTACAAGCAAACGCCTGTATGGTCAAGAAACCCTCGGCCAGGTTTTTTCCATTACTCTCATCTCAAGTCTCCCAAGAGCACTGGATATGTCCTTGCAGCCGCAGCTTGGCGCATGGGTCTCTGAGTGCACCGAGGGTTGGCGACTGGATGTTGGTTGTGCCGTTATCTTGGATTGGACAACTCCGCGGAGGTTGACTTACACAGGGTCCGCATTGCCGCGTTGAGTGGAGGCTGAAAGAGCCGTTCGAAACGCCCGCAACCCACGGCCGCTGTGCCGGATCCATACACGACAGATGCGGTAGCGTCAGTTTGTACGATGCTTCTAATGTTGACATTTCAGCCACAAGCCCCAAGTTGATAGACATGGATTTTGAGGTCGGAATCGAGTGGTAAAGTCCAGCCCTTCGCCGCGCCGGGTGTGGATGGCAGGGAATGGAAGCCGGCAAACCGGGGGTATGCACGTCGCGACGGGAGACGGGAAGACTGAAGACCTGAACCAGACAAATGGGACCGATGTGGGGGTTTGAATGGCTGACATAATCCACCGCAACCCACGCTTTGTTAGTGGATCTTCTGTGCGGCTAGGTAGGGCCTTCCATTTCTTGTCCGGCCTTCGTTGTCTCTTTATCTTATCTCAACTCAACCTCCGCCTCCGAATGCAGCGTAGCAACCTAAATCTCCCTAGTCATCCTCAATTTTCATCAGCTCTTTGGCAGCTGGACGCCAACATGCTTCTCCCGTCATACCCGGGGAGCATCACGGCCAACGAAACGTGGGGAAAGAGAGCATCAGGGAGAGCCGGCGGAGGGTACCACAACCTTGCCCCAGTTACGGGTCCCCGGACTACACCACCCCGTTTATTTCTGGCCAGTCTTTGAGGAACAGCAAGCGGCACGCGGTCCATGATCAGGATCAACGTTGTGTCAATTCCTCTGCGACGTCAAATACTGACAAAGTATGACACTATTGTTCCACGACGTTGGCCTCGCTTTGTGATGACCGTCAGCTAGCGCAGACGGCACTATCATCGAGGAAGACACGGCCGTCGGGTGCCAATTGGACGGGCCTAGTCCATATCAAAGACCAGTGCCAGGTCCCTACCTAGTCTAGTTTTTTCTAGGGAGCCAAGCCAGTGCTTGAAGTTAAATCGTCGCCGGCCAGGACTCCATCAACTTTCACCTTTACAAAACGCTGCTCACCTGTTATTCTGTGCCCTTCAGTCGCCAACAACGCAGGAGAGCATCATTACAGACCTCAAAGTCGGTTGGTTCCAAATCATCGCTACAAGCTTGACGCACATGCCATCTATGGTCGAATGAGCCCCGCGGAGATCGACGCCAACGATTAAGCATTCGCCAGTCAGATACCAGAGTCAGTTCCTTATCTCTTGGATGCCAGGGGTGGGGCCTGGGCTCGACCGTCACAACTGCATCTTGAGCGCCTTCTGTGAGCCTAGCAAAGATAAGCAATAAGCTCAGAAGCCTCCGTTTCGTCGTATTGTTCCCCCTTCCCTTTGCCCCCCCTTGTCCAATCATTCCCATTCTAAAGCACTTTACTGAGTATCTTAGAAAGGCAAGGACTGTCGAGATAAGGCATATGAACCTAGCGTCAGAGGCCCCCCGTCTTGGCTCATCACATCACTGCGCTTCACTGCCTATTACGCTGAAGGTTGCGACAGCGCAGTTTTAGGCCTCTTGCTATATTCAAGCTGCTTCTCAGTCGACGGAGAAGAAACTTTCAGCTGATTCACAAGGCCCAGGAAAGAAGCACGCCGCCGTTGGCGTTCGTCTCAGCATTCCTCTCGGCTGTGGAGGAGATTCGCCTGTGCCTCGTCAAGATCGTGGCTGTCTCTCGCTCACTTCATATTGGGTCCTCGAACAATAATTCACAGCTTCAGAGCTGTCACTTATTAGAGCTTCTCCTTGGCTTCCGGCTAACATGACCTAGGAGACGCGTTGGGTCGAGGATTAGAGACACAACGTGCAGCATCGGCACTCTCATTCAAGACACCGCCCTAGTGCCTCGGCCTACCTACGCTACAGGAAAGATTGTGTCATCTCCGTCTTTCTCCCGTCTACATATTCTTATCTGAGAGATCGACCAGCCAGCCTGCTGCCCAGTATCAAGTCTACCACGCAGTTGGTGTGGTCCGGTCTCTTTACGCCTCTTGGCCGCCTTCCATCCCGTCAGCACGTCTCCGTCACCTTCGCGTTTGTCCCCCCCCCCTTCATCCTTGTATCCCCGCGGCAGGGCAGGGGATTTCTTGCGGGAGAATCAATCCGGTTTAGCGTCTTGCTGTCCCGGAGATGCATCAACCGTCTTCGATCTTCAAGAAGCATACGTCTATCCGTTGCAAGCATACATATAAGAGTGCTCTTTGAGCCTCCCCAGTAGACGTAGTTGTAGATCTCACCATTCAGACAATCGACAACATCGGCAACCAGGTTCTTTTAACAAGCCTCGAGCTTCGTAATCCTTGTCTACGTGGGTCATCACTGGCGACTAACGCGAACCTACGACGTTTACCGACGCCTTGAACCACACGACACCCGAAAACTACGAGGAAACAACGCAATTTCCATCACGATGCAGCTTTCCGTTCTCTGGAGGGCACCCGAGGTGAACCCTATCAACCGCAAAGCGCGCAGTATCCCTGTATTCAACATCTTCAATGTCTACGCACGAGCTTTCCACTTTTCGTGGCTCGGTTTCATGATTGCCGTGCGTATAAGTCTTGGTGGTCTCTTCCGTACATGTGAACTGACATGGCGATAGTTTTGGGCCTGGTACACGTTTCCGCCTCTTTTGACGGTCACAATCAAGAAGGACCTCAACCTTACTACGGCACAAGTCGCAAACTCCAACATTGTTTCTTTGGTCGCAACACTCTTCATGCGGCTCATTGCTGGACCCGCCTGTGATCGCTTCGGTTCGCGTATCGTCTTTGGCTCGCTGCTTCTCATCGGCACTATTCCCATTGGCCTTGCACCACTGGTCAAGGACGCCACAGGCTTATACATCTCCCGCTTCTTCATCGGTGTTCTTGGTGCTACTTTCGTTCCTTGCCAGGTGTGGTGCACTGGGTTCTTCGATAAGAATGTTGTTGGAACCGCTAATGCCCTGGCCGGCGGCTGGGGTAACGCCGGTGGTGGAATCACCTACTTCGTCATGCCCGCAGTTTACGACTCTTTTGTTCACGCACGCGGCTACTCCCCTGGTCAAGCTTGGCGGTTGACCTTCATCGTACCCGTCATCTGCCTCTTCTGCTGTGGTATGGGTCTTCTTCTCCTGTGCGAGGACACACCGACGGGCAAGTGGGCAGATCGCCACCTCCATGCCCAAGAGAACCTCCACTCTCACGGCGTTGATGCCGCTGTGCGATCCGACGTTGTCGATGTTCCTGGCGGTATCACTGACCGCAACAACACGGGCTCCATGGCATCCGATGAGGAGAAGAACAGCACTCACGGCAAGAACGGTGTTGTTTCCGACCATGAGGCCTCCCTCTCTCGCACGGAGATGATTGAGACGGCTCAAGCTGATACTGTCGTCAACCCGTCCTTCAAGGAGGCCATGCAGGTCGTCTTCTCTCCTCAAACCATCTTCCACGTGGCCACCTACGGCTGCTCCTTTGGCGGCGAGCTGGCAATCAACGCAATCCTCTCTTCTTACTACCTGAAGAACTTCCCTTCCCTGGGCCAGACTGGTGCTAGCAACTGGGCTGCCATGTTTGGCTTCCTCAACGTCATCACCCGCCCCGCTGGCGGTGTCGTGTCTGATCTGCTTTACCGCTTTGGTGGACAGAACCTCTGGCTTAAGAAGGGCTGGATCACGACGTGCGGCGTTCTCACCGGCGCTCTGCTCATTCTCATCGGTCAACTAAACCCTCACAACGAATCAACCATGTTTGGTCTTGTCTTCCTGATGGCTGTCTTCCACGAGGCAGGCAACGGAGCCAACTTTGGTCTCATCCCTCACGTTCACAGCTATGCCAACGGTATCGTGTCTGGTGTCACCGGTGCCGGCGGAAACTTTGGCGGTGTCATTTTCGCCATCATCTTCCGCTTCATGGACCAGGGAACGAACTATGCAAAGGGCTTTTGGGTGATTGGCTGCATTCACATTGCTGTCAACCTGTTGGTTTCTTGGATTCACCCGCTTCCCAAGGCTCAGCGCCACTAAGCGCAGGGACGTTCACGAACATTAATGACTTTTGGTAACGATTGGTTTCTCGTTTCGTAGCTCGCTTGTTTTGAATAGGGTCTGAGCCCGGTAGACTGGCTTTTGGGGGTCTGTCTGGAGTATGGAACGGACAAAAATGATATCCACTGTTGGCATTCTTAGTAAATAATTCGATTTTGCGCAATCTTAGCTTCGTCTACAACGTATACAACCACCCCTGGACCTTTCCCGTTGTGACTTTGTACTGATGGCTTAGCTGATGTGGTTCGGGTGCACTGAACAGAACAGTGATGGAGTGCCAGAAACGGTACCTCAACCAGGGACCAGTGAGTGAGAGCCCAAGTGGGAAGTTTACTGACGCTTAAAACGTGCGTGCATATGAGAAAAGAGGCGCACCTACCTCACAAACAGACTTGTCTGATGAACCCCGTCGTACCTGCGGCATCGTGGATCTCAAAGGAACCGGTAGCTTCCCGGAGTGCTGCCAACACCCTACGCAGTAAGTAAGCATCTCCCCACTTTCCTGTTCTTCCTTTCCGCCTCCACATCATCAGATCCCGACATCCCGTCCTTCCATTCACTCACCCCCTTGATAGTCTGAAAGATAAGAGGGCCATTGCTTCGTCCGAGGAAACCACTGCGCTACTCAGGTACGTCATGTATAGGAATCGATTGCACAAGCGCCATAGAGATTGCGTGTATAGTGTACTACTATCCTCAGTCTTTTGCCAACAACATTGCAGGAGAAAACTCTTGATATCATGACCGGAGGTCTCTGTGCAGCAATGGCATCTGAGACTGGGATTTTGGCAGGACGGAGTTAGATTGAAGAGCTTTTCAGTTACCCACAGCATACGGGGTATCCTTCGGAAAGACATGCAAAATCATAAGTAAGCCGGTAATAAATGCATCTTCGTCTTGCCGACCATCTACGTTGCAAAGTTTCGTGAGCGCTTGCCAGTGAACGCCATACCCAGCCCAATCGTGGAGTGAATTCGAAGGCAAGACAATCATAACTAACATGCTGGTCATCATGCGAACAGCGTCGGATGATGAGCAAGTGCGATTGGCTACATGAGAAATGTCGTCGTCAAGTAGGCCCACCTTGTTTTCGAGCGCCTGATCACGTGAAGACGAGATGCTGCTTGGGCAACTGACTAAGCCAAGACGCGACGACACGCTAGCTAAAGTGGGTGGGGGAGGCAAACGCGGTATGCACTTTCGACGTGATGGATCGGGTGTAAACACCAACGACGAATCTTGCAACGACCACCAAAGAGCCTCAACTGTCCTCAGAAACGTCTCCCAATGACGTTCGGAACACCCCAGGTATACTACCTGCAGTCGGATAAATGACTCGAAACAACCTCGGGGACCATCTCTCCTGGCTGCTGAGCAACGTCGCGCTATCTAAACCTACCGATCTCGCCTTTCCACCAGCCCACGACCCCTCCAGTGTCGACTCTTCACAGTTCCAGAGCCGCTTTGGTAGCTCAAGCTCTCAACAAGAGCTTCCGACTCGACCAAATCCCCAGTCAATACCTGGCAGGACGCATGCAGGGTCTGCAACTCATGTCCTGGACGCGGTGGAACAGCCACGGGACTCTAGGGTGGCAATAACGGGAAACTCCGCGTCCATGGCCAGATTGACATCTTCCACAAGGCCTAGAAAGCCCTCGTTGGCGGTGAAACAGCAGCAACCGCCGCAGCAGCTGTTGACGCCCTCTTCAACGACGAGTGGTGGCAGATTCCAGCAAGCTTACACAGCTAAGCTTCGGCAAGACGGTGAATACAGACCACCCATCTGAAAGTACACTGACTGACCGACTGTAGATGCAGAGAACGAGCGGAACCGGGCTGCCCCGTCATCTTCGCAAGAAGGAAGACACAAGCCGGCGCCGGCACCCACGCCGGACTTCCTCGACGACGACGATGACGAAATTCTCGACCTAACTGGCAATGATACCGTTTTGTCATCAGACTCAGTGGGGTTTGACGATGGAGTCACCATATGGAACGAGGCGCATGCGTCAAGACCGGAACCACTGAGAAAACGAGGTCAGAAGCGGAAGAGCACTGAGATGAGCAAAGCGGGTGACTTGGAGTCGGATTCGGACGAGTTCCCAGACATCTACAAGACGTTGGGAACACCTGCGCCAAAGGGTAGTCGTTCGGTTAAGGGACCGAGGACGATTCCCTCCAGTATTCGTCGAGCAACTACCGACAAAGGTGTCATTGAAGAGCGTACTATTACACAAACAATTAGCCGGACCCAGCGTACCTACAGAATGTCCGAAGAGCCTACTGGGAACGGCACACCGCGACGATTACCTATGGCATCGGGAGGTCAGCAGGTGCTAGGTCGGACACCAAGCAAGGCTTTACGGATATCGTCAAGTCCAGAGTCGAACACCAGAGTCGGGCCACTAGATCTCCAAGCACAGAAGCAACGCAGCAAACCCCGGGTAATACAAGATACGGATGACGAGTTCGATGACGGGGATCTTGATGAAGAGCTTCTTGCTACACCAAGCCGCCATACAGGCTCGACGATGCCGTTTACGAATCCTAGGTCAAGGCCAGCATCGATTCCTCTCGATGACACCATGCTATCTGATGGGCTTGTTGCTCCTGAAACCCCCTCCAAACCTACCTCATCGGTGATGCGACAGGAAAGCCACAAGGCTCCAGCTGAGACGAACTATGCACCCTCGCCATCTCGGAATCAACCGACGGATTCCACGTCCCAGCAAAGCACCTCTTCACAGACGCAAAAGTCTGCTGTGCTCAAGTTCATTCTAAACAACAGAGACTCCCTCAAGGCCAGGGAGAAGATGATTCAAGACCAGCGCGATCAGAACCTGAAGGACTATGCCAGGGTCTTACGAGAAGGCACTAAAGAAGATCGTGCCCAACTTAAGATCGCAAAGGAATTGTTGCTGAAACAACAGGCCGGGCTGGAGGAAGTTTCTGAGCTGCTTAATGCACATGCAGCACTTGAAGATGAGAGAGAGTCTCTCGCAATGCAGATTGCCGATGCATATAGCGAAGGTCGCGACACTGAAGAGGAAGAGAACCGCTTAGATGAAATCGCCGACAAAGTCAAAGATTTGGAGCAGTCCATCGATGAACTTCTCCCTGGTGTCGGCATAGTGGACGAAACCTTCATCGAAGAATATCGCAGATCCAAGTCCGTGGTCATGAGCACGCAGCCTGGCCACAAAATGCCTTCTAGGGCATCCAGGGATATACCAGGGCCCACGGAAATGGATAGTCAAGTCATTCACCAGACACAGTTCCCCGGGTCGTCAAGGCTTACTGACCCAAGGGATCACTCGCCGCCGCCGTTTCCCCGGAGTCGACCGGCAGCTCCAAGGAGTGCGAAACCTGTTGCACCAAGTGTCAAGCCCCGTCGACACGATGAATTCGAAGATGAATTCTTCGATGACATTGAAGACGATTACGGCGCATTCATTCCTCCCCCGCCACCTGCGTCTAGGCCGACACCAAATCGGAAGAGTCCTCCCAAGAAAGCGGGTCCTCGTGCTCACGACATGTCCAGCGACTACGGCGACGATGCAGACGCGGACATGCTTGCACTGGCTCATGACTTCGAGCTCCGGCAGTCTTCATCTGCCGAAACAATAAGAGGCCGCAGTGCACTGACTTCGACATCGGGCAATGCTGTTCAGCCTTTGAAGGCAGTCGAACCACTGAAGAAGAGAGAGCCCTCGAAAGCGAAGTTGTCAATGCCACCAGAGCTGATGAAACACCCCTGGTCAGCAGACGTGAGGAAGGCTTTGAAAGACAGATTCAGGATGAGAGGGTTTCGCTCTAATCAGCTTGAGGCCATCAACGCCACGCTCGGAGGCGAAGATGCTTTCGTGTTGATGCCAACCGGCGGCGGCAAATCCCTTTGCTACCAACTTCCAGCCATTGTTACTAGCGGAAAGACGAGGGGAATTACGATTGTTGTCTCCCCTCTGCTTAGTCTTATGCAAGACCAGGTGGATCACATGTCAGCTGTCAATATTCAAGCTGTTTCGCTCAATGGCGAGACGAGTTCCCAGAAGCGAAGTCAGATTTTCTCTTCTTTCAAAGAGAGGAGTCCTGAACTCTACATCCAGCTGCTCTACGTCACGCCGGAGATGCTCAACAACAGTGACAACTTCATGAGGGCCCTGACCAGTCTTTACTCTAACAAGCGACTCGCACGAATCGTAATTGACGAGGCCCATTGTGTCAGTCAATGGGGTCACGACTTTCGACCAGACTACAAGGCGCTTGGCAAACTTCGCAACCACTTTCCTACTGTTCCCATTATCGCACTCACGGCCACAGCGACTCAGAACGTCATTGTCGACATCAAGCATAATCTAGGCATGGACAGCTGCCAGGTCTTCAGTCAGAGCTTCAATCGCCCAAATCTCACGTACGAGGTTCGACGGAAAGAAAAGGAACTGATCCACAAGATCGCTGATTTGATTATGTCCAAGTACGACGGACAATGTGGAATCGTCTACACTTTGTCAAGGAAAACTGCAGAGCAAGTCGCCGAGAAGCTGCGTTCTCAGTATGGCGTCAAAGCAAGTCACTACCACGCGCAGATGACTCCTGAGGACAGAATCAGAGTACAGAGGGAATGGCAAGCGGATAGGATCCATGTCGTTGTAGCGACAATTGCGTTCGGCATGGGCATTGATAAGCCTGACGTCCGTTTCGTTATTCACCATTCGATTCCAAAGAGCTTGGAAGGCTACTACCAAGAGACAGGGCGCGCTGGGAGAGACGGCAATCCTTCGGACTGCATTCTATATTTCGGTTATCAGGATGTAGCCACATTGAAGAAGATGATTTCGCAGGGCGAAGGAAGCGAGGCACAAAAAGAACGGCAAAGAATGATGCTCAATCGAGTCACCGCGTTCTGCGACAACCGGGAAGACTGTCGCCGCGTTGAGATTCTTCGCTACTTTGGCGAACAGTTCAACTCTGACGACTGCGAGAAGACCTGCGACAACTGTCGAGCAGGCGCTGTCTTTGAGCAGCAAGACTTCTCTGAACTTGCCGTTGGGGCTATACAGACCATTCAACTTCACGAGCGCCTGACTATAAATCAGTGCAGTGAAATCTTGATGGGAAAGAAGTACCAAAAGACTATTGATCCGCATCCTGACGATCCTCATGGTATCGCAAAGGGGATGAAGAAGCATGAACTCGAACGCATCATCGATAGACTTACAGCTGAGGAGGCCCTAGAGGAGGAGAATGTGGTGAACAAGAGGGCCGGTATCGCGATCCAGTATCTCATCGTAAGTTGCTCTACTGCTTATATCTGGCTCTATGCAACAAATCTAACACGTTCGTAGCCTGGTCGCAACGCCCACTTGTTTCTCGATGGCCGCCGCAAACTATTGTTATCAGTCCAGGTTTCTGATAGGAATAGGGAACCATTGGCACCAAAACCCAAAAAGCGGACCCAAAAGAGCAAGAAGAACGAAGAGCAGGATCTTGACGAAGAACCGCCGAGGAGACGCCTGCCGCCTTCGACCAACGTGTCCTCGCCAGCGCAAGCTCGAAGAACGCAAGACAAGAGGTCAAAGGGCAAGTCCCTTGCGACCGTCATCGATTCTGACGAGGAAGACGAGGTGCTAAGGCAAGAGATGGCAGAGGAAAGTCTTTCGCTACACGCAAACGGCTACATCAAGGATGGCTTTGTTATGTCCGACAATGAATCCGACGATGGATTCGA